AGCGGTGAACCAACGGTGAACTCTGGCCTGGCGGCTGTCCACAATTTGGCCACCGATACTGCCGTTTGCATAGAAGACTGAACGCACCGTTTTTTTTCGCGCCGGGCGTCTGATCTCTAGGTGACCGTGACGACGCGGTCCGTCAGGGTCCGTCGAGCGCCGACCATCTTTCTTGGGCCACAGTACGACTATGTAGTAAGTTACTGCCGTTGTCGAGGCCGGTCAGTTTGTATGCCTAGTGAGGTAGGGAGCATGAGTTTAAGGACTCAAAAGCATAGAAAAGCTACTGGTTGCGTCGAAACCACTCAGACGAGATCACTTATATCCTTGTGGTTCCATACAGAGGTAAATTTCTACCAAAGCAACTGTGGCACCAATAGATTCAAGCCGACTCGCAACCGACTCGCATACTTACCAAGTCAACACGATGCCCTGAGATGAAGCAAATTATATCGCAATTGTCTGCATCTTGTATGACACTCCCTATCCCTCTGAAGTCGACACAGATGGCTCTGTAAATGGGCACGCTCTGAATTCTACAATACTCATCACGGCACCCCCAATCTCGCCGCATCACTCGGTGTCCTCGGACGGCGTTGTCACGGTCACAGAGCGCCAGGCACCGCGCGCACAAAAAAAGTGCGCGTTCAGTCTTCTATGCAAAGGGCAGTAACACGGAGGCACGTTTGTAGCTAGTGGCCTAAAACCTGACGAGATTCGTCTCTACTGCATGTAGACCTGCCGAAGTCTGCCTGAGTATTTTTTTAAGTTATTCATGGAAAAAATGGTTCGGTCCGTGCGCAATTATCTCGTAGTATATAAGGTAAGTAACTGTCGAACATATGAGGGGATGAGCCTAGGATGATAGCGTCAAGAATGGCGAGGCTACATGCAGCACAAAACTCGATTTAATTATAAGTTGAGTATAAGAAGACATCAGGAAACACGTTGGGTGACGCCTCAGTCCATACCAAGTGATTCTCCAAACTCCAAATGCGTCGAGAAATGAAGTCCGAAGCAACAATCATTCTAACAGCTGATAGAGAACTGAGTGTTCTCTATGATAGCAGCTTGTGCGCCTGCCTCTTGTCCCACCGTCTTATTGACCCACGAAACCTGTTGAAAGTCATTTTCAGTTCAAGAGGTCAGATAGCTAATGGTTGAATAAGCTTACCACGAAAGTGAAGGGGTCACCGCCCACTAGCCCAGCTGGAGCCCAATCGCCGTAATATCCGGTCGCAAGCTATAAATGTTGTGTCATGAAAGTCAGCATAGTGACACAAAAAGCTATATCACGAATTGCGCATCCTTACCGTAGTATTAACAGTGGGGTCATCCGTCGTATCCGCCCACGTCGCCCTCCCTCCGACGCTGAACGCATCCAACCTACTTCCCTGAGGCAAACTACCCACCTTACTCCCATCCACCCACTGGAAATTCCACGTCACACCATCATCCGCTGGGATCAGCGCGGCCTGGAGTCCGGGATGAGGGCACGCCATAGTCAACGTATTGCTGCTGACGTAGGCGGAGATGGTCGCAGGAACGGAGAGTTCTTGCATGGCATAGCCGTAATCCCCTTCGACGAGACTGAGGTTGGTGTTACCGTGACCCTGGGTAGAGACGTAGCTAAATGTGAGGGGTACGGCTGATTGTGTGGGGGCACCGAGGACCGGTAGGATGGAAGAAGTGATAGCACCGAGGGTGAGAGTGGCGAGCGTTTGGGACAACATTGTCTTCGAGCGATGACAAGTGGTGTTCAGAGTGCTAGAGGAGTATGGCGATGGGTAGTGGGTTACTGAAGAGTAATGGGGTTTATATACGCAGAATGGGGGGCGGTTAGGCTCCTGTGAGCAGAGCGTCCAGCGTCCAACCAACGGTCACGGGGAGTCGTAGCCGGGCAATGCTCACCGTCATCGTACGTTTCAGTCGCCATCCCTGTCAATGTATTGAATGCATTATACGGCACCAAACAGCGTGCAGAGCCTAGAAAAGTCTTTCAATCGCCATCAGTAGCTGAGTGCACTTGTTTGTGCTGCTCCTTTAGAGCGGGCGGCCGTGATGACTCTGCTGGCGCCAGTGACCTATGATCTAGCAAAAAGCATAGACAAATCCGGAGGTGACCAGACTTCTGAGAGGATCAAGAGCATACAGGGTCGTGATGCACCAAGGTTGATAGCGGTGCTTGTCCAAAAAGTATGAGCTCTGAACAGCAGTAGGCACCGAGGAGAACAAGCCGGGGAGTCCCGGAAGGATACCAAGGTGGTCAAAGTACTGCACGCCGAGGCTGCCAGGCCTCTGAGATATTATGGTACTCCGACCCGAGCTCATTCGAGATATTTGACTGAAACTCGAGTAGGCCAGATGGTAGCGCCCAGACGCTAGGTTCCCTGAGACTGCGTTCTGGCTGGCGCCATCGCAGGGTTCTGAAGACCGTGTCGTGGCGGTGGCTAAGACCGTGACGGAGCTCGAATTCTGGCACCCTTTGAACCACGACTCAACCATAACTTGACAGTGTTCATCCTGTGCGCTGTGCGACGGTTGCAATACTAGAATACGATAATTCGGTGTTCTTCGCCGGGGATAGTGAGTCGAATAAGACGATCAGTAAGATCCATGGAGTTTCGTGCGTGATAGATGATGTGCGTTTAGTCTGCAGTGTGCCGGGTTTAACGACCATCCCTTCCTCGCTGCCCCCTCTTCCATACCAACCGTCCCACCAATCTTGTCCTTCTCAGCTTGACCATCCGTCCCACCAATTACGCCTTCGAACTCTTCCCCTTCCCCTCTTCTCATGTCTTCTCCTTCCTCTAGTCGTGCCCCTCTTCTGGGCGACCTTCCTCCACACGACCTTCAACATCATCCCCAGCTTCACCAACATCTTCATGCACTCCATCACCAACAACCCCTCCCATCTCACTCGGAAGTTTCGGCAATGCACAGCAGTCCTCAGCATACGACAATCGCAGGTTCGGGGCTGTGTATTTCCGGAATACGCGTGGCGCGTTGTGGATGGCGTCGACGGCGGAGGTGAGGGTGGTGTAGGCGACGAAGAAGCAGCCGCTGTGTGCGATTCATCGTCAGTGGTCTCTCTCTCTCTCTCTCTCTCTCTCTCTCGTGTGTGTGTGTGTGTGTGTGTGTGTGTGTGCACCAACGAAACCGAGCTCGAGGTGGAAAAGAAAATTGCAGAGAAAGACTCACCGCTCCTTATACTGAAACACCTTAATAACCTTCCCCCAAGTACTCCACTCCTTCTTCACCTTCGCCGCATGTAAATGATCCCATTGTCTAGGTCTGATACCCTTCACGGCTACCACCCGCGTCGCTCCTTGCTCGCGTACTGCTTTCACTATCTCAGGGTTCATTTCCGGTCGTGGGGTGGACCAGGAGACGTAGAGTTGGCGCCCGTGGTAGATTGGTGGGTTCTCTCTTGCGCGTTTGAAGAAGCGTTGGGCGCCGCCGATGGTGACGAAGGTGACGTACTATAGGTAGGGAATGATTGGGTATCATATCATAGTCAGTTTCGAATATACGGGACGACGGAGACAGACGAGAATGTATAGGTGGGTGAGGAAATAAACATACAGCGACCATATTCCTCCCTTCCTCTTTCAACAGTTCAATAGACTCCAACGCCCCACCTCTAATCACCCCTATCGTCAACTCAATATACTTCCCCTCATATATACCCCTAATCTCGATCGTTCTACCGGACGCCGGACGGGAGGGGTCGGGGTTTGGCGTGTCGGAGGGTTTTGTTTTCTTGGGGGACCGTACTTGGTGACGCGGATGGATGATGGGGGTTGGGTATAGCGGCAGCGGCAGCGGCTCGGAGGTCGTGGGGTCACGAGTGAAGGAAATCGAAGCGGGTGGTGGTGGTAGAGAGTAGGCAGGACGGGGTTTGTGAGTATTGGTTAGAATGGGCTGTGTGGGCGTCGGTGGAACGGATGGTGAGAATGTGGACGCAGGGGACAAGGGAGCGCGTGGAGGTAACAAGGCGGCGATTTCTTGGAGGAGAGAGTTCGAATGTGAAGGGTCATGTCCAGGTGATGGTTTTAATGATCGAGAGCCATGTGTATCAGGCAATGATGAAGTTGTGTCTGAAGAGGGAGCTTTGGACTGGGACGCAGGACAGAAGATGGGGAGACGAGTATGTCAGTCCAGGGCAGAAAGCGACTTTGGCTACAAATTCACCTCTTTCTGATCCTCAGAGTGTTGAGGCTCTGACTGTGAGTCTTTCTGGCTCCCAGAGTCTGCGCTGTATGTTCTTCGTAGTGCAGATGTCTGTATATTTATGCCATGTCCATGTCGTAGGCGACTACGCGACAGCGATTTGGCTGCTCTACAAAGATATAGATAGAATAAGTAAGTTTATAAATCATTAGTGTTGTCCGTGAACCACTGGAAGTGCTGTCCCACCTACGACTACATGGCGTTGCTCGGGCGAACATCGTGACAAGCTTTTGGCAGCGTAAGTCAATCTCGACTTAGAGTATCAATTTTTGGGAGACCGTAGGCGAAGGATATCTAATAGCCAAGGTCACGCCTTCAGATAACCAGAGCCGATGAAGATTTGTAGCACGGACGATAGGATGTTGACTCGAGGAAGCCCGAGTCTGTCGAAGCTGGGAGTGAGGCAAGACAGGAACTCGAATTTGAAATCCGGACGCGTCGCGTCGTTGAGTTGTGTGGCGGTGGCGCTCGACTGGTTCTTATTCGTCTTCCAAATCGCACTCGCATATCGCGAAGGTATAGTCTGGGTATATGTTATGTAACCCACTAGAATCACTCAAGATCCAGACAAGCAAACCGCAACGGTAAGTAAAAGAGCTACCCAACATTTACCACAACTGCTAAGTCCACCGTCCAGCCGTCCTCTACCGCCGAAGACTCCCCACTCCAAGTGACGAAAGTTGAAAAGGAAAGACGAGTGAAGGCACATAATGCCTCAACGATGTGCAAAGCTACAAGGTGACATATACAAACGACCACACTTGGCCCACCCAACTCTCCCTCATCCCAAATAGTGCCAAATCGCCCAAAAACAAAAGAACGTAAAGATCGCGCCGGCGACGAATATCCACATATCCTGCGTACTGTTCAACAATCCGTGAGCATTGATCACCTATATACGGGAAAGAGCAGGAAAGAGCGGCACAAAGAACACATACCTCCTCCTCTCAATCCACCCGATAACATCCCTACTCAACCCCAACGTGTTCGCCGCATCCAACAATCTCCTCTGCGTGCCCTTCAACATATTCCGCTGATCCACAAGGTTATCCAGCACCTCCCTGCCCTGCGCGATGAAGTCGTCCAGCTGCGCATGTGTATTCTGCGTGAAGCTGTGTTCACGAAGGGCGAAGTCTTCTCGGGATTGTGAGGAGTAAGGGTTGGATGTTGATGATGGTGGATTGGAGAACGGGTTCTCGGAGTGTGCGGATGAGGCAGACGGGGATGCGGTAGAGGCATAGCGAAGACGAGTCGAGGCGGACGGGTGAGCGGATGCGGAGGATGTGGCGAGGAGTTCTGTCCGTTGCTATAATGATACCACCACACGAACCACCCAGAACTTTGTTAGACCTCGTCCTACCACTACCTCATATGCTGAGTCGAAGAAAGAAAAGAACGAAACCACGTGCCAAACCCACCTGTTCCTCATTCGCACTCTTCAGCCTCTCAAACTCCTTCCTCAACTCCGTATAATCCGCCCTAAACTTCTGAACCCGTGCCGTCGCCTTCTCCTGCTTCGCCTTGATCATCTCCCGTCGGGCCATCGAGTCGTAGTCATCTATTGTGCGGCTCATCGCAGCCAGCGAGGCAGAGATCTGCCCTGACATTGGGGAGCCCGTCAGCATTCTTCCGTCCGTTCGGTCGTTCATTCGAACTCAAACACATGTTTGGGACGGTGTGCTGTTCATGCATGGAGGATAGAGGACAGAGATGGTGAGTGGTACAGACCTGAAAGTGATGCTGAGCTGTCTCCCGAGCGCAGACGTTCGAGGTCTGCTTGGATCGAAGACGTCTGACGGACGCCGAGTGTGTATAGGGAGTTCATTGTGTTGTGGCTCAGCGATAACTCGCTTCAAATTTAAATTCAGAACGTCTCAGAGAGCAGATAGAAAAGAACCAGTGATTTCCTGAGACAAAAGAAAAGGATCGATTATTCAGACTGGTTTTCGGAGAGCAGGAGGGCGCGCGTGGACTGTGCGTGTTGACTGTGGTGGAGGTGAGATACGTGTTCCGAATATCAGTTCCGCTGGAGAGGGGGTTACAGTTAGGGTTAGGGTCATCTTTCTTTCTCTTCGCCACCACAACTATCGCGGTTTCTTGAGTCCGAAAATCTTCAGCTGGACGATCGCCAGTACTGTATCAGTATCACTCGCTCTTCCTGGACACAATGACCTCTGCTTTCGTCCCTCGTGCTGTCTCTGATTTAGTTAGAGTAAACACATATCATCGCCCTCGCTGATCCCTGTGATGAAAGACATAATATCTATCTTTTGGAGGGAAGTTGGAGTGCTATGTCTGCCGAGGTCGTTGTTCCTGGTTAGGCGAAATCATTTCGAAGCCTTTAGGGGACATCCTTGAGGCAACATCTCTTGTGCTCTTCAGGGCTCATGTTAGTCCTCTTTTTGACGGCTACCCAACTCTCGAACTCTGGGACATCTCCAGCAACTCATGGAGCAGCACCGCATTGCGCCATGAACCGTCTCTTGTTCCTTCATCGGAGAGCCCACTGACGCAAATAGACATAGACACACCTGGTTACATAACGAGAACAAGGTCCTTTCCATATTGGGATAGAGTCTTCCTTGACGACGTTGTCTTTCCATACCGGTTGCCATCCTATCACGGCGGCATATTAGACGTGCCAGGAATTTTGTGGGCATTCGTTTACCTTAGATATTGACTGGCAACATGACATTGCGGCGGTGCTGTTTTGGTTGGAGCGTGCAATATATATAGTTGTGTCTGTGTCTCAGCATGCATCTAACACGCTTATTCGCACTCTTGCAATCTCTACTTACCAGCTTACATTCGATTATCGTTCTCGTTCACTCTTGTCTTTCCATCTTGCGTCCTTGCCTCGCTATCTCCGTGTCTACTCACTCCCACTCCTCCATGTCATCTTCCCCAAAAACCATGAGCCAATTCGAAGATCTACCAGTCGTACACGGCGTCGCTGCCCATAGCATCATACAGCTGGCCTCCTTTATTATCTGGCAACAGAACTGCAGGATCAACTACGTCTGGGAAGTGGTCAAGATGAAGATTTATGGGACCCCACTTCGTCGTAGTGGTCTCTGGCACCGTGAATGTGGTGTCACACCAGGGTTCGTCCCATCTCCTACTGTGTTCTTCTATCCTCGTTCTTTTTTCGCGATGGACTCGCTGACCTGATGTCATCTGCTTTTGCTTTCTTCTTGTCTCTTGAATGATCTGTTGGGTAAAACATATTATAGCTGCATCCGCGTGAGACTCTTCACCGACCTCGATGAATACAAGAAGGGAGTGATCATGATACGCACCGGACACCGATTTGTCTCCTACCACCGCTCCAAATGCGAAGCCGATTTTCCAATGTTACCCGATGGTGGACTTGATCTGAAGTTCGTCAGGCTGTGGTGGGGAATCAAGGATTTCAAAGTGCGTTTCGCAGCTCGACTCACAATTTTCCAGCCTTGTGTTGATTAAGGATCGTCGCGTTATGCAACTTGAAGGTGATCGATCCGCTGAGGTGGACGCAGTTTACGCCAGAAGATGTCCTGTCTCCTCTCGCTGTCAATATTCTATCTGAGGGCACGAACGATATCCACATCCTGCGTAAGCCCATATGTCCTCCCCTCCTCCACCATGGATCGTCTTCTTATGCCAAAACTCGTCTAATTCTCTTCACCCACTTCCTCCCCAAACAGACGACGTCGCGCACCCGCACCCCCTCGACACCTTCACCGCCCACACCCCCTTCCACACCTCCTCCCACCTCCTAATCCCCAGCCGCAAACGTATCTACCCCCGCCCAGCCTGGCTCAACAAATTCTGGCCGCTCGGACACTTCCTGTTCTGGCTTACAGAACCCATCCATCAAGAGCTCGTTCCCGATTTAGTCCTGATGCGGGCGCATGGGAAGGAAGTTAGGAAGAGGATGTGGGTGGAGAAGGTGGTGGGGGGAAGGGTGTATGAGAGGTGGGATGAGCATCATGGCAGTGACGAGGATGAAGACGTCGAAGAGGCTGAGTGGGGGATACATGAAGGGAGGGTGAGGAGAACGCCGGTGATTACGTGGGAGCAGAGGATGAAGGCGTTACAGTGGGGATATTATGCGGAGAAGATATGGCCTTTCGTATTGGGAATCTGTGCGATCTTCTGGAGTGTCAGTTTTTCCCGACAGGTATGGGATGCGACGGAGGAAGGGAGGGTGTTTGCGATCGTATGGGGCGTTAAGCTGTGGGGTATGGCGGATGTGTGTTGTGGTGATGAAGTGAGGAGGGAGGTGGCGAGACTTACGGTCGTTGTGGATGGGTTTTTGAGGGATGATAAAGTATAGAGGGTATTGAGCTTTGGTGGACGGTTTATGGTCATGGTGATATTCATTCGGGTCTTTCTGAGACCGGGTGTAGCTATGAGGAAGTGATGAAGATGAACCGAGAGGTGTGTAGAGTTGCGTTGACGTGCTTCTGTCGGTTGTATACCAGGCTTTCTGTCCTCTGGCTAATACTCGGAGTGTGACCTCTGACGATGGTATGAATGTGCTCGTGTACTTTGCATGTCCTCCCTCGTTTCTCCCTTGGTGACTTTGGGTCAACTATCTGCACCGTTCTCGAGTACCGTGCGCTACGCTATAGGTCTCGCCCACCGACCTGCGCTTCCATGTATTCAAGGCGCCCCTAAAATAGAATAAAACAAAGGAATTGACTTGGAATTGACGAATTGATCCGTAATTCCATACTTCCATGTGGCATGACGTCATCCCGAGCTTAAGCATGATTGGGCGCTTGTTGACGACCTTGTACCAAACCATTGAGGTCGGAAGTCGTCCACGACGACGACGACGAGCAGATACTAGTCTTGTTTCTCAGGGTCGACGTCAATGTCGATATCTTCATTTCTTCAGTCCGTCTTTGGTTTCAGAACTGTGCCTACCACGGTCTTTCTCATTCTGATTTATGCTGCTGCATTCGTTTCGCTCTATGTGACTGACCAGCTCCCGGCCGTACCAGCTGTGGACAAGCAGCATGGATATGGCGTCGATTTGGAGGCGGCATATAAGGATCTACATTTGGTGCGAGGAATAATGCTTCTGGAATGTGCCGACACTAATTTTACTCTGTTTGCCCATGCATCCTTAAACAGATCGCTGCTCGTCCACACCCGTACAACTCGTATGAGAACGACCGGGTTCGAGCATACGTACTTGATCGCGTCTCACAGATCGCGCAAGGCCATGACTTTGTCCATGTTCTCGATGACCTCAATACGACGGCATCGTGGCTAGAAGGACGACTGGCGACATACTTTGAGGGGAACAATGTATTAGTGAAGGTCGATGGATATGAGGGTGGAGCCGATGATGGTACGCTTTCTTATCCTATATGTTCTTGGTGCACAGGTCGTACAAGATTCCATAGGAGCCCTCGTCGAGAGGCTGCCAATTCTGGCTCTTGATTCTGTCCCACAGCAATTGACCGAGTAGCTGTGGCCCACGCTGGCGTCATGTCTCATAGCTCGCAGAGCTTCTGCGACACGTCGCAATACACATAGAATGCTCGTGGACATGTTGTTAAGGGCGTGTAAACCTTAGATCGTCTTACTTGATACTACTTTCGCGATCGATCAAGAGAACTGGAGATATCTGCCTTTGGCGCCACAATTTACCACTAGCGGACAGACCATGATCGTATGCATCGCTTCACTGTGGACCCTGTGGTATTAGATCGCCCTTCCAGAGGTCTTGATCCCGAAAGTTGGAATCTTGCTCTACTGTGATATATGTGTGGCGCCAGCGGAACTACGCTAGTTTCCTACGTAGGCCTTGTACGGTCTATCGGAGTTGGCTTTTACTTAGGACCTTATCACTCATATCTAATTCGTTTCGCAACAGGTGACGCAGTCCTATTCTCTGCGCATTTCGACTCAGCCCCCACGGCGCCTGGGGCCACCGACGACGGGATGAGCGTCGCCGCCCTTCTTCAAATGCTCACGATTCTAGCTGAGCACCAACCACGACGGACTGCCGTGTTCAACATTAACAATGGAGAAGAGAATGGGCTTTCTGGAGCACATGTGTATGCTACTCCACCTTCATACTGATGCATTCCCCTTGAATAACTTGGCTTTCGCCACACAGATTCGTGGAACACCCATGGTCCGAGCTCACATCCACCTTCATGAATCTCGATGGCGCAGGCTCAGGAGGGTTAGAAAGTCTCATCTCCTTCGAAATATGTTCAGCTAATAAACACGTTCTTCAATTTATAGGCGCCCTCTCCTCTTTCGTGCATCGTCCGTAGATACCCTCCAAGCTTTCACCAAGGCTTTTGTCCCGCACCCACACGCCAACGCCCTCACAGCCGATGCTTTTTCCCGCGGTGTCGTTCGCTCCCGTACGGACTATTCTGTATACACTAGTACTGCACCAGGTGGTCGTATGCGTGGAGCGGACGTCGCATTCTACAAGAACCGAGCTCGATATCATACACCTGACGATTCGATCAGGGGCATGGGTAGGGATGGAGCGCGGAAAGCTCTTTGGGCATTGTTGGAAATCGTGAGAGGAGCCGGAGGAGCGCTGCTCAACGAAGATGCAGAGAAAGTCGGGGTTGGACGGGGGAAAGTTGGTGATGGCGACGTTATGCAGCAGACTGAGGGAGCTGTATACTTCGAGTGTAGGTATCTTTCCGATCCTCTGCTCAACCTGTTATATTGATGCTGAATTTCCCCTGTATTTGTAGTGTACGCCAACTTCCTGATCGTATTCGCCGCCAGAATTTTACTAGCAGTTCATATCTCCCTGCTCGCTGGAGGCCCCATCATAGTCGCTATATTTGCCTTCCTTCTGTATCGGCAGTCCGCCATTGCTCAAAGAGGACAGGCACGTCGTCGATGGGTCGATAACGTCCGAGGTTATGGCCGTTTCTGGCTCGCGCTGTTCATCACCCTCGGGGCACAAATCGGTCTTGTCGTTGGCTTCATCAAGCTCAATCCCTACGTATGTACCTCCCGTCTCTCATCATAGTCCATGCGTCGTGCTCATGACGATCTTTAAATAGACGATCCATGCTCATGCACCTTCCGTCGTCCTATCCATCATCTCCCTTGCCTACCTAACCCTCTCCGTCCCGCTCTCCCTCGCACAAATCGTCCGCCCCGTCCCACCCGCAAAACAAAAACTCGCATGCCTCTTCTCTCTCTACGCCCTGACCTGGATATTCCTCGTTTTCGCCACAGTCGCTCTGCAGCAATGGAATGTCTCGGGCATGTATTGGGTGGGTGCGTGGAATGCGTGTACACTAGTGGCTGTGGTGATCGGTGCGGTGGAGGGGTTGGTTGGGAGTGGGAGGGCGGGGAGAGAGGTTCCGGATGAGAGTGTGGAGCAGTTGCAGGATGAGGAACAGGAGAGGGGGAGAAAGGGGAGGGCTGTCCGATTCCGCGGGTCAGATGAAGCGTATGGGGAAGAGCACGGTGAGGGTACAGGCAGCGGACAAGATCAAGCTCATTCCGGTGGAAATGTCTGGGAAGGCATTGAACACAACGAGCGTCCCGGCGCCACCTCACACCACGATGAAGGCGCAGAAGAAGCGACCGAAACGACGCCGCTCATGTCTCATCGTGTCGTAATGCCCAAGTCTGTTTTGAAGTCGTCGGATGTAGTCTTGGACGAGGAAGTACAGGATAAGGCCTTGTTTTGGTGGATCTTGGAGGGTTTGTTCGAGGTGCCGGTGCCGGTTACGTTGCTCGGGAGTATTCTGTTTCTTTGGGTGGGTGCGATGTCGCAGACAGTTTTGGACGGTGGGTGGGTTGGGATCGGTGAGTTTGCCACTTATCTACTTCTCGCCTTCGCATTGTGCCCTGGATATTGTTGTACTAACGTCCCCTTCATCATTGTTTGACGTAGTCTACATCCCGCTCTCGCTTCTCTGTGTCCTCGTCATGCTTCCCCTGGCCCCATTCGCCCACAAAATGCACAGCGCATTCACTATCCTGGTCTTTGTCCTATTCTTGGGCAGCACGCTCTATGCCTGGCTCATGTTCCCTTTTGATACTCGTGACGCGAGGTGCAAAGTGTACTTTTCCTCTCGAGTGGAATTGGCCAACTTCACCGCATCCTCCTCTACCACCTTATCGTCCTCCGATGTTCACGGACCCCGGACCCCTAGTCCATTCGACGCCGTTGCTCCGAAACAACCGAAGATATTACGTACGGTCACGCAGCTTACAGGCGTTCCGGAGTATATCGAACGTATCGTCGCCGAGCTACCTTCCTCTTGGAGAAATAATGATGGAGAATCGAAGGTGTCGTGTATGGATCTCACGGTCAGGAAGGGGCTTAGGACGTGTGAGTGGGAGGTCGAGGAGGGTTGGAAGCCTGCGCCTGTGTTGAATTCGACCCAGGACCCAATACTGGTGTCCCAACATGTCGCTCGAAAGGGGAAAGAGGCAGAGGGTTTGGAGGCGCCCTGGATGTCTCTAAACGCCACAAGACTCGATGATAACCTCGCGAGGTTCATCATACAACCTACAAATTCGAGGCACTGTAAGATTTCCCTGGGCGGACCCGGAAATGTTACGGTTGCGAGGTATCGTGTATTGAACACCGCTGGGCCCAGCTCCTCTATCGCCCACGCCAGCCAGAGATTCGGGCGTATCAGCGTGGATGATGTTGAGGAGACGATACGTGGGACGACATGGCACGAGTTTGAGGTTCCAGGTGGAAGAGATGCGGGCGTGCGGGAGGTTAGCCTTTGGAGTCGAACGTGGGTCAGAGAATTCGTGGTCGAGGTTGAGTGGGATCATGGACGTGATGAAGATGTGGACGATTCCTCAGACGAAGATGAGGGTAAGGAAAGGGAGACAAGACTTGGAGGAAGGGTGGCATGCGATTGGGATGAATATGGTGGTGGTTGGGCACTCGGGGCGACTTCAACCTCGATGGATCCAGATTCAGAGCTAGAGATGTTCGGAGATGATAACGTTCGTGGTGAAGAGGGACTGGGAGCACATATACCGGCACTAGAGGAGGTTTTGGAGTTTTTGCCGGAGTGGGCTATCCCGACGGCATCCAATGGACTTGTGGAGGTTGTTGGTGGATTTTTCATTTGAGTGGCGTTCGCTCTCTCATGCGAATATTTTCAGTGTTCATTTTTTCTCGTTCGGTTTGTACTCACGCTTCGTTCCAGACTCGATCACCCCCTGGTTGCCCCCTGGACGCCAATCTGGCGACCAACTAATAGTTTTGATACCTGATTTCTGATCTCCATATTCACGCTGTCGTTCGTTGTATCTACGACTGTAGCATACTACTCTTGTACATATGTATACTAGCCCTCTGTACTCATACGCCTCAGCGCTACTGTTGGTTTACCTTGCTTTTTTGTACATGTCCAATGTTCCATCTCATGATCTAAGTATAATGGTTTACTCTTTTCTTTACTGTCCTTCCAAATACATCTGTGCACGATCTTTATTCAGCTCTCACGGTCGGCGCGATACATAACAGGTATACGAGGCCGATTTTTGTTCGCCGTATACTCTATGAATGCGGCATAGACGCTACGATTACAAGAATGTATTTTCAGAGACTTGAAAAAATAGGGAGCGTAGTTGTACGACTCGTTCTCGGATATATGAGTCACAAGTCTTCCTCGACCGTAACCGTTATCATAGCAGGCGTGATTGTCGTCCTTTCATACGGTCCCAGCAGTATGAAAAATGAAACATGGACGGCATCATCGTAGGGGAGGAATTAGCAAGCATAGACAGGTCATAGCACTGGGCGCAGCAGAGATTATACGAGGATGTAAGTAATATTGATAGAAAGTGAAGACACGTCAGGCAGATTAAAATCGGAGGTGACATACGACTATTCGCCAGGCATAAAGAAAAGTAGCATAAAGAAAGGTAGGGATTGCACAGAAGAGACAAAGTCCACGTAAGGCACTTACGAGCGCAACTAACGTCTGTTTGAGGTCGTCCATCCTGGGGAACCAGGAACGCCCCTTCCCCAAGATACACCCGTATCACTGTTCTCGATCTTCGCCTTCCCTTTTCCCTTGTTTCGAGACCACTCAGGGCCACCATTCTGCGACTGCCGTGCCCCACCAGTACCGTCGTTGACACCGGCTCCGGACGTTTCGGCAATATTCAGACGACGAACCGCAGCTTGAAGATCGTTATGAGTGGCTCTTTCCGATGAAGTCGTAGAAGAACCAAATCCAGAGGGTCCTGCCGCATACCGAGCATTCGAGGGTCCAGCGCTGCCAGTGGTATCGCCTCCATCGACTCCGAACTTGGAAGTATTCGCACCAAAGGTCATCAAAGCACCGACAGAGGGGGCGCCGTGGAGAATTGGGTCGTCCTCCTCCTCTTGTTCGCCTAGGTAGAAGTTATTCCAATCATCGTTGTCGCCCTTGACGTCGTTACGCTCGTCATCATGGACCAGATCCCCGTTGTGGTACGTGCTGTATTGAGCTTACGAAAGTTAAGAGTGTAGTTAGTTCATGGTCACCGTGATTTGCGCGAAGAGACCCCGTAATGCTTACAATTCGTTTCATACCCATTCGCATCCACTTTGCTTTCAGACGGTTGATCCATCTCACGTTGCTCCTCTTCTTGCCGTCTTCGAGTTTTGGCTTCTTCCTCCCTTTGCTTCTTAAGCTTCTTACTCCTGCAATCCCGACATGTACCCCCTAACCCCCTCGCCCCCATCGCGGCATGCCAGCGGCATATCTCAGAGTTTTCTCCCTCTCCCTCTCCCTGTTTCCTACGATACCCGTCATCGTCACCGCTTTCTTGCATTTCGTCTGGATCATCTTCCGTCGGGACGCCTTTCCCAGATGCATAAGCTCGTCTAAGACCTGTGGCAGAGCCTGCGCCGTTGAGGCTGAGGAAATCTGTGTTTGCGTTTCTGGAAATGAAACCTGTGGACCTCGACGTAGAAGAGGTTTGTCGAAGCGTCCTAGAGACGCTGGGTGGAAGTGGAATTCCAGGTGGACGAGACGATGGCACAGGTTTCCCGGGTGGCCCAGACAACCCTATCAAAAAATCGACATCAAACGAGAACGTTTATGGTGGGAGATACCAGATATGTATTCTGATACTTACAGCTTGATGCCTTGGCAGAGGGCACAGGCCATGGGTTATCTATGAATCGTGATCGATACCCCACCGAATTAGTGATGACTAGGGAGATAAGTGTGAAACAAGCTTACTGGTCGCAGAAGAAAGCGTTCGAGACGCATTGGGTGGAGCGCTTGGCCCGAGTGGTGGATATACAGGAGGTTTGGCCATGGACGTTTCTAAAACTTTGGCGAACGACACCGGGGCAGTCTTTGTCGTTGAGCTTTGAGGTTGACGCTGTGTCTGCTTCCTAACCCAGGCATTCTCCACGGATACGCTTTGAACATTGGGTGAGGCAGTGGCTGCAACATTGGCGATACGTGGACGCGCGTTGGGGTTACTGTCGCAGGAGCCCCAGCCGTTGGTGTCGTTGGTGGGGAGTTCCGCTGACTTCCTCTTTTCATTTTTCGGGACCTTCAGGTCGACGTATGCCTGCGATCCGACTGCCGGATAGAAGGAATAAAAAATGTGCGCAAGATATGAGTCAGGAAAGCCTCTGCATGGTACGTAGGGCGCAAGATCTTACCTGTGGGGCGGAACGCATCGCTGGGTGGAGCGGGATATATACGTTCAGGTAAGGGTTTGCATATCTGACTGGTTGTAACGTCCTGCCTCGGGGGCGCGCACCAGCGCGTCTTTGGATAAGGGTATTGGAATGGGCTACGTGGAAAGACAATAGGCCAGTGAGTACGCTGCATGTTCACCAGTGCACGAAATAGCGGTATGTTAGAAGAAGCTTACCCATTTTCAGGTGTCCAGCCCTCGAACCAGTCATCTTGGATGTCAATGATCTTCCAACCTAAGACATCCTCAGAGCGTCAGAGAGTGTATCACGGCAAACAAAAGGATACGATAGTAGAGAGCGAGATATAATATAATGCTCACCGTCCTTCCTGACCAAGTCTGCGCTTTGGTAACGCGAAAAGAAAACACAAGTAGTATAGTCTTTGTTGTGCCCTCTAGGGTTTTTGAGAAATTCGGACCACTTGTGTTCGCCGAGAACCAACCGCCAACCAACCCCTCTAGGATTGGTGATGTCTGTGTACTTATCCTTGAACTCCTCGCCTACTTCAACAATGACAATACCAGGGCTCTGAGGTTAATACGGTCGTAAATGCCAGCCTTTAGCGTGTTGTACAGAGTCATGAAGTAATGAAACGACATACCGAAGGCTTGTGATAGATCGTGTATAGGAACGCATGAGTGCCAAGGACACTAGCGAACCACCTAGCGAATGTTCTGGGCGCGTTTACCGCCTCCAAGTTCGTCTGTGGATATGGATTCCATACAGCCAAGTACTGGGAGCCGTCTTCTTCCGGCATGATGATAAAGTTGGAGAGAAGCGAGAACGATGTTACGATATAGATGACAGTCCAGACGACTTGGGGGCAGAGCAGTTTGTTCGGGAGAGAAGCGAGTGCGTTGAGATGATGAGGCGTCTGTGCTGGATGGCGGCGACCTTATATATGTATTCAACAGCCTAAAAAGCTCTGCCCTTCGCATAATGACCAACAAAGAGGGCACAAAGCTAAAAGCGGACGACAATAACTATCAAAGGCATCTCATTGGACCACAGCCTCAGGAGGATTGCCAGTGGGGTGTTGCGTAGCAACAAGGGCCTCGAGGATAGTCCTTGTTCGGATGCACAAAGTTGGCACAAAGCGGCGAATTGCCAGAATAACATCGGACAAAAGACCACGTTGGGTTGAAGAGGGCAAATTGGCAATGTTCACGTTTTCGTCAAAAGCCCTCGTCGGTTAGAGCCGTACTTTCACTGCCCGCCAACGTACGCCACCTTGCCACCGACCAACTGATGCCTTTTTTTACAAGAAAAACCCATCTGGAAACAAAAGATTTGGGTACCAGTTGGCATGACGAACCCGGCGCGTATGTTCCTGTATGCTCTTTTCTAACGCTCAAATTCTGACACAGCAGCTCGATGGCGCAGCAACCATCCTGGCACCTCCAAGTGCGCCACATCATCTTCTGAGCGAGCTAAGCTGCAGGAAAGCTACAGTCTCAAAATGGACCTCATGCTGAGTCATAAGTCAATATCGAGGTGAGCAGTCCAGACTATTTTGAAGGGACACTAGGTATACGGGGACTCTCGATGTAATCACCAAAGGGTGGCACCGCACCAAGCTGAATCCGAACCCAAGGATAAATCCATCAAAATTCTCGGTCTTCACGCACCCTCAGCATCACTCGTTTCCAACCAGCTGTCTTTGAGAGGGTATTCCGATTCTTCAAAAGAGTGTACACTACCACGAAATCGAATATCGAAAAAGGGCCGGATATCTACGTAGAGTATCGCAATATGTATTCGAATAAAGAATAGGAAGTTGGAACCAAAACCAACCACAAGGATCGGAATCGGAGTCGTAAATCGGGAATTGGGAATCGGAGAATGGCATAAACAATTGAAAACGAGAGAAATAGTTTTCGCAAAGTGAATGTGAATGGAAGGGGAATAAAGATCATTTGTAACCTAATGCTGAGTGCTGAGCAGGAGTAGTAGTAGTAGTTGAGAGTTGAGAGAGGATAGTAGGATGAGAGGGAGGAAGAAAGGAAGAGGAGAGGAGAGGAAGAGGGGAAGATCGAAAGAAAGGAAGAAAAGGTATGTGTTATCAACCAATAGCCCAAGACCTACGTCCACCAACCGACCGCCTGACATCCATCACCAACGCCATCACCATCACCAACACCATCAACTCCACCCCGTCTACTCCGGGCCCACCACGGTGAACATTGATGTGCCTGCCTGGGAAACGCAACGCCGAAACACGACAAACGAACGAAGGAACGATAGTAGTGTATCGCGGCCTGGAACGAAAAGACACGCGGACGAAAACGCAACGAGCTAGCAAACCTTTGTACAGTCTTTCACAAATCAAACACGTCAAACCAACACAAACCAACGCAACGCAACGCAACGATAAACTCCGAAGGTTCAAGTTCAAGAACAAATCCCCCACACCAATTCGCAGTCGGCCGAATGAAGCGAACAAAAGGCCGAACGGGAAAACAAAAGGGTGTGAGCGAGCGGTGTGCAGTCGAGGGAAAAAAACCGGAAAAAACCGCAATCGAATTAAGGAATAACAACGAGGTGCAGGGTACGTAGGCTGTTGAGTTGAGATACGAGTGAGTGACAGTGAAAGAGAGAGTGGATGTGTGATGTTGAGAGATGGAGACGCAGAACGGAGAAGAGCCAGGGTCAGCAGGGAGACAGAGGTGAGACGGAGACAGATACTGGACAAACAGCAGTAGTAAGAGCAAGCAGGCAGACCATCGAGAGCCCCCACCCGATGAAAGCAAATGAGGGAGGGGGTCACGAGCAAATGAACTTGGTAGGCGAGCAAGCAAAGAATTTTTGTATGTAATGTGCAAGTAAATAGAAAAAGAGAGGTGAGAGGTCAGGTAATATCAGAACGTGGGATATCAGGAGGGTAAGAGAGGATTGAGACAGAGATATCGAGCGGAGGCAAAAAGGGGGAGCGCATAGGTAAGAAAACAAACAGAAGAAAAAGAAAGAGGAACAGGGACGGGGGTATCGTATCGCGAACGGTGAAGACGCGCAAATATGAATATCGAAGGATCCGCGAGGAACGTTCGAACGGGTCCAAGTTCGAGTTTGGGGCGCATAGCGAAGGGTATTCAGCGAGCTCAAGCACCCACGACGTTGACTGCCTCTACCGCACCGGCGTCGAGGGGCACACCCTCGTCGCCCATCACCATCACGGCGTCTTCACCGAGGCCCTCCCCCTCCAAGCCATCACCATTAGCGGCACCGTTGGAGTTGATGCTGTTGCCCGATGCATTCCTCCTCGCGGAGCTACCACCCTGGGGTCCGGAGCGCGGCGGGTTGGCGCAACGGTCCTTACCGTGAGCGATACGAAGGTTGGTGTAGTCAGGCTTGTTCTTGACGCCGTCAATGGCCTTGATGGCGTTCGAAATGTTGGTGAAGTTAACAAATGCGCAGTTCCTTTTGACGAAGAACATAATTAGCACGTGCAGCAGATACGTTGCGCAGAGGAAACGATGCTTACTTCTCCCTCAAGAAGTTCACCAACTCGATATCTCCGTACTCTCCGAAGTCCCTCTTCAACCTCTCCTCGCTGAAGGTCTCGAAGTCCTCAATATTTCCGATGTAAACGTTCCTCGTCGCACCAGAGTGGACAGCAAGCGCGAGCGCGGGAGGAAGCGGGCCCGAGTTCTTGCCCCAGCCGATCTTAAGGCGGCGGTTGTTGAGCGTGAGGCCCTGGTACGAGGCCACTTGGAAGAACGTAAAGGCCGCGGCGGGGTCGATGAACGTCACAAACTATCACATTAAACACGTTAGTCAAGCGAATAAAATGAAAACACGAGGCGCTCGGTACTTACAGCAATGTGCTTGTCCTGCATGTACCTAATACTCTGCAAGACACCTCCACGGATGGCGTTGCACAAGTCCTCCGTCGTCGTCTCCGGGTGGATGTTACCCAAGTAGACGGTCCTGTTCAATCCCTGGGCACCAACGCCAGCGCTCTGGAGACCGTTCATGCTGTCGGGCGCGAACGCAGCCGAGTAGGGGCTGAACGGCGAGAAGCCGGCAGAGTTGGGTCCACCGAAACCAGTGGCGGAGTTAGGCTGGATGGGCGAGAGCGCGGATTGCGCGACGAGGGATTGGGCGGCAGCAGCTTGGGCGGCGTGGGCGGCAGCCTGTTGCGACTTCGGGACGTAGGCGCAACGGTCCTTGCCGTAGTTGACACGCTTTCCAGCCCAGGCGGGCTCAGTGGGGAGGGTATTTACGACCTAGGCAATGAGAAGCTGTCAGCGGATGAAGGTCAAACAATGAATGTGCGAAAGCGGCGTACCTTGGTGGCAACAGAGATGCTCAAGAAATGGACGAAACCGATGTTCTTGTCCCTGACGATCTTGACCTGGTCAATAAGACCGAAACGGCTCAAGTCATCCCTCAACATCTCTTCGGTGGTGTTCTCGTCCAGACCTCCCAAATACACGTTCCTGCTCGCGTTGCTTTGGCTGATCGCCAGGGCGACCTGGCTAGGCACGGGCGAAGGTTTGCCCCAACCGATCTTGAGCTCCTGGCCGTGCAGGGCCAACTTCTTGATGGTTGCATCTGCGTGGAACGAAGCGGCGGTAGCGCCATCCAAGAAGGAGAGGAAGACGCAGGACTTCTCGGGGAGGACTCGGATGGACTCGAGAGGGCCGAAGTGGACAAGGCTGAGGAGCTCGTCGACGGAAGCGGTGGAAGGCAGGTTTCCTACGTAAACGGTACGTCCAGTGGCGTTGGTCGCGTTGAGGCCGTTGAGGCCGTTAAGCGCGCCAGCATTGAAGTTAGACTGCTGGCCGAGGTTGAGGTTCAGAGAAGGAACGCGCGACTGGTTGAAGCCCTGCTGCATGATGGAAAGATATCAGTATAGAGAACAATAAACGTGGATGCTAAGCGAAACCGCTCGAAAGATTCTAGACAAGAGTTCCAGGATAAACAATCTGCATAATTATGCAGATTTGTCATCCAAGTACTTATGCCTTGTACTCCCCTATCTGCCGCCCGAGTCAAGATAAAACCTCCGAACAATCCGCCTAAGGAGCGTCTTGCCCGGCATCATGGGGCATAAAGCAAGACATTTCCGAGTGCGAGGGGAGGACGGACAAGACGTCTGGAACGTTTCCGAAGAGAAGGACAAACATCGGAATGGGGACTCACCTGGGCGAAGTTGCCGAGTTGGTTGTTGTAAGGGAAGGCACCGACGCCAAGCATCCCAGGAAGCCCCATTCCGAGCATGTTGTACGCGCCCCAGGCATTACCGTTGTTGTTCTGTTGTTGCTGCTGCTGCTGGGCCTGCTGTTGTGCGAAGGCGGTCGCCGTGTTGGGGCTCATCTGCTGAGACATGCCGTTTCCGTTGGTGGGGGTGTTGAGGGAGGTGGAGTAGAGGGGGTTGTTGCCGAAGGTGGCGGAGGGAGGGGAGCCGTTGTATCCACCCTGAGCTTGGGAGATGTTGGCCTGGGGCCCGTAACCGTAGTTGGCGAACGCATCGCGCGTAGCCGAGGCAAGACCGTTGGTGCCGTTGGCGGCGAAAGAAGTAGGAGACCAGCGGGCCTTTTTGGCGTCGGGACCGCCTACGGTATCCATAGAGCGCTATGGGGAAGGGTGAGTGATGTCTTTGGAAGAGCGGGAGAGACTGCGGACCTTCATCATGTCGAAGTCAAATGGGTAGGAAGGATAGGTAGCGAAGGCTGTTTGGGAGTCGTCCATGGTAGAGTACGGGTATGTGAAATAAGTGTAAAACGGGTGGGGACGAGGAAAGAAAGCAGCGGGTTAGAGAAAGCAAAGGGAGGTAGTGAGCGTGGCGGAGCGACGGGGGGTTGTATAGGAAACCCTCGTCGGAAAAGAGTGTGGACGAGTTGGCGTATGGAATAAAAGAACACGCACACAAAAGGGGGCAAAGTGCGGTCTTACTTATAGATAAACGTGAAAATGCGCAAGCCCCGTCGAACGAAACAACGAACGGCGAAACGGGAACGGGCAATACGCAAAACGCAGCGAGCAGAAAAAACACACGAATGAGCGCGAGCACGACGGGACGACGCAGCAGGCGCAACTCCCCCAAATCATGGCCTTCGCGGCAATCCCCGAACGTGGCCCGCTCGGGCCCAACCCGCTCTCGGCTACGCACGGACCCTCCCGCGTATCGTTCTCTTGCCATGGCGATACGTCGCAGCCGTCCCGATACGGGCACTCGAATTCTTGGAAAACATACGACCGGATGGTGGCACTTCCGCTACTGTGGCGTGCGGTAATTGTGTTCTGAAAATAGGGGAGGTCAGCTACTATGGTACCTCACCTTTGTTCGTGGTGCTGCTGTGGGCTGAGAAAGGCGCACAAAGGAGGCGATGGCGGTCCTAAATGCAATACACAAAGCAGGTACTTTCACACCACCGGATCCTAATATTTCGTCTTGAGAAATGGATCGGTCACCGGAAGAAATGCATCTCGATCGGTTCGAACAGCACAGAATGGAAGTATCTTTCTGGAAGGGATCTGCCCGAATAGCCCCGCCGACATGCTTGTGCTGGTATATGAGTTACTGTGGCGTGTCACGACAGTGTTCTACGCAGGCGCGCAGAAACTATCCATGTATGAGCCACAACAATTCAAAACTCATGGGACGAACACTCACGTCGCCTGAAGGCGTACAGCGGCGCATAGGAGTTTAGAGTGGCTACGAAACGCACGTTCTAGTGCGCCACACAGCTTTCGGGGCAGCATGAAGGGATCGTGATATAAAACATACCTGACATACTGGACAGTAGTACCATGATGCACATACGTCGGATTTTCCTAGGTCCTCGACGGAAATGACACGATTCAAAAGTGCATATATTCAGGTCAAGGACCAAAGGGGCCACAACTCTGGTGGGTTCGTCGATGGCAAAAGAAAAGATATACTGAGCATAAGTACCGCCTATATGTCGGATCTTTTAGGTCCCAGACGCACAGAGCTCGCGGAAAAAAGCGCATATATTCAGATCCAGGACAAGGGGGCCACAACGCCGGTGGACTTGTGGATAGCGAAAGAGACGCGATACATATGGTTCAAAAAACGCACCGGTGTGTACAGATCAAATCGACTAGATTTTATGCTGCTTAGTTTCATAGCCGGGCGAATTGAGGTGATGCATGCTGCATCCTGCCTCAGGTGTCCTGCCACCCTAGGCCTTGGAGTGCGAGAGCAAGCCATGCATGCCAAGCTGAAGATAGTCTGCAATCAGAATAAAGCCCAGAAGTTCCATGATTCATAGATCTGGACAGAAAACGTACAAAGAAACTCACCTTCCGTCCGATACTTCCAAGTTAACGATCGCCCACTAGTACTCTAGAAGGGTGCTCGAATTCGCCGTTAGTGTGCTTACCCCTCGAGTCTTTGGATATGAGCCCATAAAACATGCCCATGTAGCATTACCTACAACTGATGAAGATCTATAGGACACGAGATAGTGTGAGAGCGAAGCCGCCGAAACATCGTGGACGGGTCGAGGTACGTACATGTTGGTGGGCCACACCGTGACGCAGTTGACCATGTTGTGAAACGATTGAAGCGGAGATCTAACAATGCGGCATCGCCCGGGCGTCACCATGAAGTCCGGAAGCAATTTGAATTGGAGAAACTCGATTTCTTGTCAATCTCGTCTTCGCTCGTGTTCTTGAACGAGTCTGTGATAAACATCAGTCTGGCTTTTTGTCTCTGAGCTTTGGTTGTATAAAACAAGTCAGAAGATCAATACTGCGTTTGTTCAAGACTTGCGACGTCCTTTGTCTGAGGGCCCTTCATCGCTCATTTCCGGACCGATTTACTTATCTGTGGAACAATCGCCGCTTCCATTTATAGCTTACAACCAGTGAATGCTACAAAGGATAAAGCTGGTGAGGCCTCCCTCTGGCCATTATCCCCTAGAAACAGCTCTGGAGAATAGCGCAAATATTTTCGTATAGTTTTCTTCTATTATGGGGTTTTCTCTGTCTACTTTCACAGACTCGAATGTTAACTGTCCTCATGAACAGGCCCATTTTCTCACCAAATTCTCTCTGCGAACCCTCTCAGCTCGATAATATTGACTATAATATCAACAATAAGGATATTGTGCATTACCTTTCCGGTACTCTCAAGACACGCGAGCAGTCCCAACTCTCCGAATCGTCGTCGCCTTTTTTGCGGAGGGACATAGAAGCTGGGAGACTTTCAGTATTGAATTCCATTAGCAGCACTTCTGTCCGAATTCATGATGCGTATGTACTAGCATAGAAATGTGGCGAATCGCGATGATGAAGTAAATATGAATTGTGCTGTCTCACATACGTACTGTATACTTCTTGGAGAACTTTAGCTACTATTCGTGGTAAGTGGCGGGGAACATTAGAAGGGGACCTAACTTGCAGTTATGCCCAAGGGTAAATATTTCAAACTGTCTTTCTTTTGTTCACGGCGCACGCCACAACTTTACGATCGTCACACCCACACGTGGGGTGACCTGGCGCGTTATAAATGAGTGCCGCGTCGGATTCTCGCGAACTTCGCCCGCCTAGCCTTCCTTCCTCTATACGTCCACCATCCCCTTAGCGTCTTGCTCAATTACTCCCCTTGATCTTTCCTTGAACTCTCCAAGGCTGTAACAATGCCTAAGCCCAAGCCGGTACCCCCTCCACCGGATGATGAGCGGTATTTTGCGGTCTGGAATCCTTTCCCTCGCCTTGCGAACATGGAATTGCCTGGAGATCACCAGTCTTTCGCTCGCTGGTTCGCCTGTGTTCTAGGGACTCCAGAACCATTTCATGCAATATTCCATAAACCCACCGTACGTATTTTTTTTGTTTTTGCCCGCTCGTTTATGATAGAAATCTCACGCTCGCCACTATATCTTCAATATTTACCATGGCCGTATGTTTGCGTTATACAGAGCCCTGGTATCGTGATTGTGGAAGTCGACAAGAAGTTTGAGAATGCGTACGGAGGGACCGGATGGAAAAGGATTCTCGGAGAGCACAAGTGGGCCAAGGTCTTGAGGAAACCCGACGCGGAGGAGAAAGATCTCGTCACTCGGATTTTCTTTTCGCATTACAGCAATGCTCACGAAGTCGAAAAGATCGGTGAGTGTCTTTGTCTATTCCTACGCCATTGTTGCTTTCATTGCATAATCTAATCGTCCCGTACATATCCGTGCACTCGATAAATGAATCTCACGATGATCTAGGATGGAAACGAATCTTTGTCCAAGACGCCTGGTTCGAGGGCTGGCATCCCAACAATGAGTGAGTTCAACTCTATTCCCACTGTCTTTCTGTCTCCCATGCATGCCATGTTTGTCTTCCCTCGAAACGCACCTGCGATGATTTGCTTCCGGACGGTAGCGTCATCGAGAGGTTGATGTGGCGTTAAACGATAGAGATGATTCACCTTGATGGGTTTTACCTAATCCACTCAGTGATGTTCTATCTTTACGTTGCGTATCGTTGTGCAGATGCATGACCTGAGCAGTTCGCACGATAAATTGTATGGCGTCGATGAGACTAAACCTATCTCTGGACCTTTCGTGCTCACTCTTCTCTAGTATTAGTCAAACAACGCTAACTTCTCTAACACCTGCCCACAGATACATCACTTTCCCATACCCCGAGACGAGCTATTGCGATACGCCCTCTCAGCATGAAGATCCCACGAACTATAAGCTATGCCGCCCCCTGCCTGTCATGATACACCGTCCCCCCGTAAAGGCTGCGCCTCCTCCAGGTCAGAATGCCGTTCCCTGATTTTTTGATTCATGCATGTTCTTCTGCCTGTCAGAAAGAAGTGTTACATATGGGTTGGCGGCGTGTAACAGACGTGTGTTCGAGACCATATGACCCTGCACTTTTGGTGTCGTATTTCTCGTCATTTTCTCGCATGCTGACTCGTATTCGAATTTCGCTGGACCGTGTGCTGAAATATTTTATATTATGTTTTTGTCACCTTGCAGTCGGCTCTCCGGCCTATTACGAACTCAAAGCGAAGGGGAAACGGCCAACTGGTCCGCCTGTCATTGACGCTCGGAGCGTTACACACGCTAGTCACCCCAACACTAAAATCGGTAAGGGGAAAAATAAGTCAACGGTCAATGGCGCTGCCTCCAACGCGAACAAGACGCCCGCCTCATCAGTTTGGGGAATCGACTTGGGCGAGAGCGTAAAGAACGGCGGCGACAGTGGCAGCAGCGATCCTTGGGCCACAATGACGAAGGCGAATGGCAAAGCTTCCGCGGCTCCCACTTATTCTAGCAAGGGATGGGGTAATATGCAGGCCAATGGATCTGGTAAAGCTCCAGCTCCAAAGAGTAAGTTCATCCCATTCTCATCACTCGCCACATCAGTTGATAGGTTCATGTTACAGCGAACGCCACACCATCATCCTGTATGTCCCTCACAAGCGTTCTTCTCACAGTTATAACCACCGTACTCATAATTTTCCCAGGGACGAGCGGCCCTCCAGGTCTCTCGAAGCCTACATCCCACCCATTGACTCCACCTGGCCTCCCGCCCAAACCTCAGAACAAATCCCAATCCTTCTTATCTTCGTCTCCAGCCGCGTCATCTAATAACACACGATCCACTTCGCCCCTCAACCTCGTCGCACCTACCCCCAACTGGGCCGACGAGGTGGAACTCGAGAGTATGATGAACGGAGGCGGAGGTAATTCTGACGGAAGCCGTTCCCAATCCAGGTCTGCATCCGTCACCGGAAGCATTTATACGGGCAGCCGACCTCACTCGGTGTGGAATCCGTATGAGGGTGACGAGGACGACGATGTCGAAGGTCCGAGTGCGAATGCGGTGTTTACCGCTCCGTCGATTCATCCACAATCTTCGGTGACCCCATTCAGCGATCACGATCTTCCGTCGCAGGGCGGCATTTCTGTCCTAGGTGGCCCTCGCGATGAGCAGGATTGGGAAGACAGCGCCAGTGTTGTGGGGCAGAATGACGGGAAGAAGGATGAATGGGTATGCAGCATCCATGGGCCCATACTCTGTACAAAGGGGATATGTCAGGAATATACGAAGGAGAAGAGGAGGAAAGAGAGGGAACAGAAGGATAAAGAGAGGGCGGCATCCATGGCTTCCAACACCGGTAAAAGGGGGAGGAATAGAAAGAAGGGTGGTGCCACAGGTGCATCGACCTCGGGAGGTGAATTGGGAAGGAATGGTGGGAGTAACGTTGCGAGTGATGATAACTTGCAGAGGGCTGGCAGTCGAAGTAAGTGCTGTTCGGATCCTGACGTCTTTGTGCGTTCTGACGGGTTGTTTGTCCACGCTGCAGCCGGGAGCGTTAACTCTCGCACTACAACCAATGGACCCACCGCTTCATCTACTGCTAGAACTCCTTCTCCTGATGAGGAACTCCAATCCAACATTTCATCTCTTTCGAAGAACCCACCTGCACCTCGATCATCCGCCTCCTCCCAATCTCCCTCCCAATCCGACGGCGGTGGCTCCGACGCTTCTACCCCGGTCACCTCGACCCAAGGACAAGACGACAACAAGGACGACGGCGACTCTTGGTCCCGCTTCGGTATCGACGAAGAGGACGAGGAAGAAGATGAGGCCGAGTTCGGTGTGCCTACTGCAACTAACGTCGTCGTCATGCGCGCTGTGGTGGACGAGGGCGCTACGCCAATGATGAACAATGGCTGGGAAGATATGCAATCCGCTGATGAATCGCCCGCGGCTCCATCGAACACGGCCAAGCAGGATGATCCGTGGGGAGATACCCCGACGAAGACCGTGAAGGGGACGACCACTGCTACGACCACCATTCCGGCTATCTGGCCTTCGCGTGATCGAACAACGATTCTGAACCCCGGAGCACCGACATACAAGCCTTGGACTGCCCCTTACGCTTCTTCATCTCCCAAGGACTCTCCCCCTCTACCTTCTTCAATCTATAACGGGCCGACCCCTACAAAAAACTCTTGGAACACCCAAAAGAAAGTAGGGCCGGTGAAACAGGAGGGTGCGGATTGGAAGAGTGGACCGAGGAAGGTTTGGGATACCGGGTCTGCGGTGGGTAGAAGTCTCGTTAACGGGAACGCGAACAGCAATGGGGATGAGAACGATGGCTGGGGTCATGTTTCGAAAGGACCTTGGGACGACCCGGATCCAGTTCCATCCGGTGGCCAGGGTCGCTCGAAGGGTGTGGGTGGCTGGAACGCTCCCGTTGCCAGTGGTGGCTCGAAGCAGAGAGTAGACGATGGACGGGGTGCGGGTAGTTCTAGTAGCGGAGGGAGTGGTGGAGGTGGTTGGAAGACTCAGGCCAGAGTTGGAGGTGGGAATGGCGGGAGCAACGGTGGCGGTGGCAAGGGGAAGAAGTCGAAAGAAAAAGGACAGGGTGGCAATGGAGGTGGTGGCGGTGGCGGTAGTAGCGGAAACGCTCCTGGCGGCGGGCGAAACGTACCCGGGTCCTCGGGCTGGTCGAACCCCAACAATAACTCTAACAACGCTCCTAAGCCCAAGGGCTGGCAGGACAACGTCAGCGTCGGACCTTGGTAATTCTCAGTTCAGGCTATGATCGTCGTTTCATCTTCGTCCCTTGTACTCTATATGAACTCCTCGCTTTCTTCACTCAACATGCTGTCTCCTCTGGTATAGCTCCATCTATGCTTCCTCGTTCATGAAAACAAACTCGTATTCATATTTCTTGTCCATCCATAACCCGTAAATACTTCACATTCAGTTGTCACATTGCTTTCTACAAACGCTCATCGCCTCTCGCTATGTTTGTTTTGTCCTCGCTATCGTGTCTCTTGCTATGCTTCCCATCATACTTGTGCTTTTGTGTACGATATCGTTCTATGTGTGCATCTCGTAAACACCCGTGTATCTCCATCACCATACTCGAATGAACAATTGGCGTCCCGGGTTCTGATGCGTTGAACTGACAGTAAAGGGGCGATGATTGTGAGCCCGTCATACCGCAATCTTCGCGAACAAATGGACACAAAGATAGAAAAAGAATGTCATATATGTACGCAGCACGAACACAGAACACAACACATGCGACCACGTCTCGAAGTACTCCACTTAAGATAGACACCCAACCGACAAGACAAAGACGAGGTCCATGGAGATACAAACCTACACTACAAAGAAAGTCGAACCATCGCACGAGCGCACAAGCAGAAAAAGAAACACGAGCAGGGGGAGAAATGAGAGACAGGCTGATGGAGACAAAAACAGGCAATCACAGTCGGAGCGAGTAAAGATAGGAAGGCTCCATCATTAGATATATAGGTCCTTCCGGAGAGGATAGGAGAAGGGAGACTGAGGGAATGAGAGAGGGCATAGACCGTTGACATCGAGAGCTAGAGACGAGTCTGTTCAAATTCGGCAAGCCAACAACAAGATTTGAAACAGACATGGGAGGGAAAACAATCAGTATGGTGAATTGATAAATAAGTATGAAAAGAGGAAGCACGGGAGGAAACAAACGGACATACGAGCCGCAGGAACATGAACAAAAACAAACAGACTCAGATCAAAATGAGATAGCGAGAACGTGGCCAAGGCGAGAACAAAGACAGGACGGGAGGACAGACGAGCGTGAGTGTGCAAAGAGCTAGGCGGCTACATACTCAGAACAACTTGACAAAGTTGCTCGGGAAGATGTGTTTCCCAGGCACCCTTCTTGCCTCATCCATCAACTCGCCACTCCACCACCCATCCTCTGGCGTAGACGTAACCGCGATGACATCTCCAGCCTGGAACGAGAACTCCTCCGGAATCGTCGCTGTGTAGTCGTACAAAGCCTGGACTGCACAAAACGCGAAATATGAGCAACGACGATCGTCGACAACAAAGAGAAAGTATATCGGAAATAAGGACACACCATAGAACAACACGCCCCTCCCATCCTCCGTATACTGCCTCGTCGGAGGCGGCATCACACTCTTCTGCTGATGCTCCGGCTGCCTCAACGCAATAGGCTGCGGCTGCGGCGACGGACTCCTCTGCATATGATGCAGCCCCTGCCCTTGCATCTGCATTGGCCCCGGACTGATCGCCCTCCCACCACCATACCCACCGCCCGGAGGACCACCGTACCCCGACTGTGACGACCCATAGCTGTGGTGCGCCGGTCGCTGCTGTTGCTGCTGAGCGCTCGAATAATAATCGCTTCCAGGACCAGGCGAAACGGACATCGACTGTCCTCTCTGCAGTCCCAGGCCGTTCGAGTACGGCTGCTGTGCCTGTGGTTGTGGTTGTTGCTGTTGTGGCGGAGGATGGAATACAGGTTGACCGACGGGCGAAGTAGCGGTTGCGTATGGGTGACTTGGCGGGGGAGCGTATACCGGCGACTGTGCGGGCGGAGGTTGCATATACGAAGGCTGCTGTCCCCCTTGCGAGCCGAACCCATGACTCTGCCTCTGCTGAACGACGGCGCTCCCGTATCCGCCAGCCGACTGAGAAGGCGGTGGCTGTTGCTGTTGTCCGTAATTGACCGAAGTCTGCCTCTGCATGCTTTGTCTCCTCTGGACTGCATTCGCGCTCTGAACGGGACCGGGGAGAGCGAGCTGTTGCTGTGGTTGCGGAAGTTGTTGTTGCTGCTGCTGTTGGTACGAATGTGACGGTGGAAGCTGTTGCTGTGACTGGAACGGAGGCGAAACCCTCTGTTGCTGCAGATGCTGCTGTTCGCGCTGTTGACGCTGTTGTGCCATATACTGATCGGCCATCGAGTCCATCGCGACCTTGCCCGTTGGGTCCAATGCGATCCCGACGCTGTTCGGACTAACAGCCCTCTGGAACCCACTCTGCTGCTGTCCCTGTGAAATGCCCAATCCCTGACCTCCGCCACCACCGTACCCAAAGTCGCCACTCGGAGACGGACTGACGCTCCTGGTCGAAGACGCACGCTGCCCAGGCATCGGTCCGATTGAAGGACTCCTGCTCCTCCCGTTCGCTCCGATACCTGCATGACCCTCCCTACTGACCGGTCTGTCCAGATTCTGGCTAATCGGCCTCTGAACAAGATCCTGACTGTGTCGCGACAGAGGCTGCATAGGCTGCTGTTGCTGTTGCTGCTGCTGTTGTTGTTGCTGGGGCGCTCCGTTCCACGAAGGCGGCCTACTATTTGAAACGCTCCGTCGTCTCATATCCCTCTCCTCCGGCAAACTCTGCTCATACGTCTGTAACACAGCAGGACGAGAGACAGGCGAAGGAGGTTTCATGAACGATGCGGTTGGAGGGTTATTGTTATTCCCAGGAGAGACCGGTCTGCTCGAGCCGCCAGTCGAACCACCGGGATAAGCACCAACGACGAGGTCCGCAGATTTACGATAGTCCGATTGACGATGGTGGTGGTTGGGCGAAGGAGCCGACTGTGGTGCGATTCCGAGGCCTTTGGAGGGTGAGACGGCACCGGAGGACGAAGCCATACTGTCCATCGTGCCCTTTCGCGTTCCAGCCCGACCGACCGAAGCACCACCAGCGCTATTCCTCAGGTTCGCCATCTGCTGATAGAACGGGTCAGATTCGTCGCCCACGCCCGCCGAAGCCCCCGGAGGCGGCCTGTTCTGATTCCGCCCGCCGCTCTGCGGGTCCTTCGAGAGGTCGACTTCGTATGCGTTATCGCCGACTTTGAGCATCGTCTTGTGCGTGGTGGGATTGACCATGTTCGGAGCCTCGTTCGCACCGTGACCGGTGCCAGGTCTCGAGGACGACTGTCCGTTCGTCATCGCTCCATTCGTTTGTGACTGCGAATACGTCGACTGATGGCCCCTCGTGCTCCCTCTGCTCTGCGTTTGCGAACGATTCAAGCCGGGATCGGGAACCGAGTTACGACCAAGGGCACCGATTCCGGCCGTATTCACCAGCGGTTCGGATATCTCTTCTTGCGAGGGCGAAGGAGCGTTCGGTGGCGCCGCAGATCGAGGGGGACGCTGTGTGGAACGAGCGAACATCGCGGGTCGGGTGGTGATCTTGTTGTTGGATCCGGGGAGAGGAGCGCCGTCGGCTTGGGAGTAGTTGACAAATTGAGGAGGTTCGGGGATCGAGTTTCCGGTACCGTAGTCGCGGACGAAGTTCTCCTGGTCTTTCTCGGGCTCGAACTGCTCCAGTGAGAGCCGGAGACGTTCGCATGACTATCAATGTATTTCAGCAAAGTCGGTTCGATTTCGACGAGAAGCATGAAACGCACCTCATCATCCGAGACGCACACGATCGAGATGGCGTTGGCGTAAGCCCATACGTTATCCTTCATGAACTCCATCCTCTCCTCCTCCAGATCTTGACAACTATCACAAAACATCTTCCAGTCCTGCTCCCATTTCCCCACCGTGTCCGCCAGCGCCCTACTGAAATTCGCAAAATCTCTCTCGTTCGCCTGCACCGTCTGCTGCGTGCGGTCCAATCTCATCTGCAGCTTCTCGAGGTCCTTGCCCTGCACGAGCGTGCTCTGCGCCGTGTACGAGTTGATCCGCAGACAGTCCTGCTCGTACTTCTCCCGAGCCTTAGCGACGTGCGCTTCCTGCGCCTGCTTCACCTTGAACTGCTTCTCGATCTGCGCCTGGAATTGTTTGCGGTGTTGAGTCTGTCGCGCGACGAAGGCGGTGGCGGGGGCTTCGAGCTCGTTTTTGATCTGTTGGGCGAGTTGGAGGTGGAAGCTTGACTGTTTCTCTGTCTCTGCGCGCAGTGTTTCGAGCGAATTTCGGAGTTCACTATATACGAAAACATGCGTGATCAGTGGCGTGACTCTATATGACCGTCACTCTAAGCTGGATAGGCGCTTCTGACATCAGTGGCAAGTTGATCTCCACTGGTTGTGAACACGATGTGATGAATAAGGCACAGACAAGCCTCTGAAAGTGCGCTCATCGTAATGATGCAGATGTGGATATCTACACACCGAGTGCCTCAGCGGAAGTAGACGACTTCGATGGTGAGCTCGTTAGTTCATGGTAAGACCTCACGGCCCGACAAATTTCTGACCATCAACTTCAGAGGGGACAGAAGAAAGATATGAGATATCAACAGTGTATCGCTTAGGTTTCCCTGCTTGATGTGATAGGAGGCACAGCCCGCCATAATTGCGCCCCGAGCCCATGGGTTAGGCGGCAGTGTCGAGAGCTGGGAGTCGTGGGTTGTATCGACGAAATTCTACGCCTACTCCGGGTGGCAAATAGTGCAAGCGCAATGCCTACTCCCATTCCATTCGGCATAGTTGACCACCACGCACGGAATGCTAACAATTCCGTTCCCCGAGCAACAATAACGGTGCAGATACGCACGGATCGTATAGCCGAGCGCAAAGGCGGTCCTAGGGGCACGTTCAAAGCGAAGGATGGCGATAACTCACCCAATCTCGTCCCTGCCGACGACTTGCTTCGAGAGCTTTGCAAGACGCTTTGCATAGTCCTCCTCGATAAGTGCTCTGTTACAGACATAGCTTTGAGCAAATTATCGCATGAATTAGAGTGAGTACCAGCGCACCTTTCCTTCCAAAAGCCTCTGATTTCCTCCGTCGTCCTCCCTCCGCCCCTCATGCGTGCAAAGAGTACGTCAACACCGCCGTCAGCGATTCCCCAGAACGAGTTACAGAAGTCCAGTGAACGCGCATTGGGGTCTGGAGAAGAAGCCCTAGCATATTTGGAGAGAGACGTCGTCGATGGCTGCCGTCGAGCAGACATATTGTCGTCAAAGTCGTGAAGGACGTGAGCGTCGCAGTCAAAGCCTGGTTGCGAGTACGAAGCGCCCGCGGCAGTGTTCGATATTCCGCCGTGGCACCGCTTCGGGAACCGCCGTCGCCCCTTGTTCTTGACCGCAACTGTGGCGTCTTTCCCCCATGGTTTCGCCTTCTCAGCATCGTAGAACGTCGGCACTGTCTACGCCAACAGCGGTGATTAGTCGAGATGGCGTACGATTAACACGCATCAAATCAGTTATCTAGCAATTGCTCTCTGTGCGCGACGTGGCCTGCATGCCGGTCAAGTACTGGATGCCTTTGCTTTGATTGAATTATTCGTTCGTCTTTAGACTCAACACAGTTGATGAAAATCGTACACCGATAATTGACGCACCCTACGATATATAATGTATGATGCGGACTACAATATTCGCTACCCGGGGTCTGTCATTCGGCCTATGTAACGTTTTGAAATGGCCGAAGCTTCTTCGCCTGCGGCTTTCTTCCAATCACTGCTGTATTCTTGGATCCATACATGGTTCCTCACAGTCCCTTACCGCATGCTTAGCCTCTAAAAACACTGCGCGGCACTGTCAATTGTAGACGCATGGCCAAGACCGTAGGAAGCCTATATCTTATTCGAGCGATGCTGGTTCTCCCTATCACGTTCGTCCTCATGGACTTATCTCCTCCGAGAAGCCAGAGAACGTGCTATCGGGAGCTGAGACGCGTCGTATATAAAGCCATCATCGTCGACGCGCCAACGCGTCCTCCTTACGTCCTTCCTCTCATCTACGTGATCCGTGCTACGCGTAGACAGTGATGAAGTTCGGTCTTGCGTTCGCGGCGGTTCTGAGTGCTGTCACTCGGGTTAGCGCTTGCGAGGATGATCATGCCCACACTCACGTTCATAGCAAAAGGGCATTTCCTCAAACGATTCTACCTCCCCCTACGAGGCCTCTGCAATGGGGAGACGTGAACATCATTCACACGACCGTGAGTTTATGCATCGACTCCCTCACTATCAACTTCTGACGCGTGTATGTACGTAGGACAGTCATGGCTGGCTTTTGGGACATCAGAAATCGTCCTTCCCGGAACCGAATTATAGGTTCGTTTTGTTGTTATTTTATATCGCTGACTCCTGAAGCTTGAAGCTTATGACCATGTCAGCGGTGACTTCGGCGATTTCGCTTCATTCGTCAAGCACATGAAGGAGGTCGCTGAGGTTAGTGCTTGCGTATCAATTTTGAATATAAGATGTTGAGTAAGTACAGGAACGCGACGTCGACCTCTTACTTGTCGATTCGGGAGATTTGCACGACGGTATGCAAACTGCTCCAGCACAACACTCTGGATTGATGTCTGATGTGCATTGTTAGGTACTGGGCTGTCGGACGGATTCCCCACCGGTGGAGTTGATGCGCACGAGTCGAACAAATTCTTCGCCCAGCTTCCTTACGACGTTCTCGCCATCGGAAAGTCCGTACCAGTACATTCGTATTCGCTGAAACATGCTGATAATAAGCTTACAGTCATGAACTGTACATCTACAACAACACCCTTGACATGTGCGTGTTCAAGACAGTACGGCGGTCAGTAGCCTTCATTGATCGAAGGATTGTCGAACAGGTACAAGAACTTCGCTCCACAATTCCCTGGTCGCTATCTCTCCTCCAACGTCAACATCACCGTCAACGACACGAGCGGAAACCCCGTTAGCGTCCCTGTCGGCAGTTCGTATTCTGTCTTCGTTTCCTCTGGCCCATTCATGCTAACCCGCAGTATCACAGGTCGTTTTGCGAAGTTCAACACCACAAAGTAAGCGCCTCGATACTTCCGTCATGATATCTCGATCAGAAACTGATACGGTGTTGCAACCATGTAGAGGCCGGAGTGTGACCGCACTCGGCGTGCTCTTTGATTTTACCGGAAACGACGAGAATACGACGGTCCAGAAGGTTGCAGATATGGTGAAGGAATCCTGGGTGCGTATGCTCCCCCATGAGCCACTTATTGAATAATTGACCTCTGACGCATTGATGCACCGGCTTCCAGTTCGCAGATGCTATCGCTGAAGAGCCTGACTTTTTCTTGCTCGTAGGGTGAGTTCGTCTCGTTCGCGGCAATAACGATGTGTAGCTCATAAATCGTTCCACAGACATATGCCCGTTTCGAACGATAGTTGTAAGCTTCTCAAAGCATTTGTGCGACGTAATAGCTCTTCACTAACCGTTTTTGATCCTAGGGCCCGATGTTTTCAATGCTATCCGTGCCGTCCATCCTGACACACCTATGATCGTTCTCGGCGGCCACTCGCACATCCGCGACTGTCGTACGTTCTTCATTCATACCTTACCCTATCTTCCGAACCTCATGCCCCGCCACTCCGATGTAGAAATGTACGACGGTCGTGCTATGGCTCTCGAGAGCGGAAGATACATGGAGACAGTCGGTCAGTATTCTCCCTCAATTCGACCCTTGAGCGGTTGACACTCAAGTGCTCGGTCCACAGGCTGGTTGAGTAAGTCCTAAAACGAACTGCGTTGTTTTCCGAACTCATGCGAGGGTATTATGACTACTAAGGCGTAGACCTCGACGAGGCAAACGACAAGCAAAACCTCACCTTCAGCCGTCGTTATCTCGATCCTAACCGTGTCACTTACGAAGTCGGTCTATTTCATCCTCGGCCAACGCAACCCATAATTTCTGAGACTACCTTCTTTTGTCACGATACAGTTCCACGCAAATCGGAGTAACACCACCTTCGACACAACCGCAGGCGAGAATATCACTACTGGTCTGAACCAGCTGGCTGAGGCCTTTGATCTGCCGTTCTTCTTCGGAACGTCTCCTAGGGATTTCACGCTTACTAGGTTAGTTCTCTAATCTTAAATGAAAATTAAGTGAGCGCCACTCACATGGCTTTGCGCGTCACAGGGATGCATACCCCTCGAACGGCTCCCTCCTATCGCTCTACATCGACGAGGTAAGTTCGCCCAATCCATCCCTCTGCTCTCTCCGCACATACCGAAAGAAATAAAGGAAAATATTAAACGTGATTCTGACCCTGGGACTGAATATCAAATAGGCAACACCTACCGCGCTTTCCGTTAACAACACCCGCGCAGACGTCCCTCGCATCGTCATCGCCAACTCCGGCGGCCTCCGCTTCGACATCTTCTCTGGCACATTCACGAAGAACGACCAGCTCACAGCATCGCCCTTCACGGATGGCTTCCTCTTCATCCCCAACGTCACGCTCGGTGTCGCATCGCAGGTATTACCCGTCCTGAACGGCGATTCATCCTTCGCGGATACTAAACGCAGGAGTGTCGCTGAGAATGAGAAAAGGGAGAGGGAAAAGGAAAGTGAGATGAAATGGAGGAGCGTGCATGAGGTTTCTGTGAGAGAGAGGATGGAGCGGAAGATTAGGACGAGGGAGGAGGAGCTCTGGGCTAGGGGGGATGTTGCGGCAAGGTATAATCGCTGGTTGAAGGAAATGGATAGGAGGGACGGAGTGCAGAGGAGGGATGCGGGGAATTTGACGTTGGGATATGTTACGACTGATGTAAGTCTTTCCCTGTATCCCTTATGTTATCCATACCATACTAACAGCCTACTTACTTTGCATATAGAACTGCCCCGGCGTAGGTGACGACATTTTACACTCCCCCCTCCCCTTCTTCGACACCCCGGACTACATCCAATCCACCGCGCCCTCCAACATAACAGACTCGGACCCCATCGATCTCGTGTTCATCGATTTTATCGAGAGCGATGTGCTCGACGTGTTGAATCTAGCGCAGAGCGAGGTGGAGTATACGAGTGCGGACGTGCAGACTTATAGTCCGTTGGTGACGAATGAGGTGCTGGGGATATTTGCTCAGATTTCGTGGAATTGAGGATGGGGTGGTGTTGTAATTGCTGTAGGAGCGTGCTTTATTTCTCAAAAATTGGATCATTGTGGCGCGAGCATGTGATTCTGACCCGTGTGTGAGCTACTGAGAATCTTGAAGCCAAGGCGTTTCGCATGTTATATCGGACTTCTTGCTTCCTTTTCGTCGCCCCCAAAACCCGCTGGAGGCCTCGGTCCGACGCTGTGGCGTGGCCGATCGAATGCGCAACTACGTTGAAGTTTCTACAAAGTCCATGACGCAACTTTCCCTCGTGGCCATCTGAATCATAACCCTCTCAAAACTGTAACGCAGCAAACCTCTTCTTCTAGACCGACTCCTTCACATATCATGGCCTCCAACGTCTTTTTTGTCCCTGCGACATCCACCCATCGCGTCCTAGACCAGCTCTTCGCGAAATATCCCACAGAGCTGGGAAAAATCGGGAAGTACGAGCAATGTGCCTTCATAACTCGTGGAACAGGCATGTCCTCGGTCTGAGACCTCTCGCTACACATTCTTGTAGAGAGGTTTGACTGAGTCTGGACAATGATTGGGTATGGACGTAGGTCAATTTATGCCGGGACCGGAGGCCAGACCTGCTATAGGCGATCTGGGGAAGCTCGAGTTCGTGGAGGAGGATAGGGTTGAGGTGGTGGTGAATGATCAAGGCGGGGCCAATTTTCAACTCAAGGGTATATTGAAGGAGTTGAAGGAGGTAGGTAGCATATCTCACTATCCCTATTCTTTGAAGTGTGATGCATCGAGTAATTCTGTGCCGCTTCACCGTATAATAGGTCCATCCGTATGAAGAGGTCGCGTACGACGTGTACACATTGGCCCCGTTTTGAGTGAATCAAGGTGTATCGAGCAGTCTAGTTAGGGGCTTATGGAGGGAATCTGACAGGGAGTGGCGTCGTCAAGGCGTCGTCGTGTTCGGTACCTCAAGGGCCGCGAAGGCACCCATTCGTGCGGGAGGCATTTCAAGACACAGTCGAGAGCGCATTCGGTAGTAATCGATCACCCCTCGAATTCTCAAGAGCCCAACCTATTAATCGAGGCAGGAGTAGACCAGGAAGCTCTGGACTTGAATACTCGTTCGACGATCCCGGAGCACAAAGCCTGGCAGGAACCGTCTGCAGCGTCATCGACATCCATAACGAGTTCTGCCGAAATTGCAGGGCGGAGAAAGCGTGGAGGACTGGTTTCGGTGTCAAGTGAGCGCCGGTCGATGACAGCTCCGACTGCGGTTGGGGAAAACGGAGAAGCCGAATTTGGCAGTGAACGTTTTGCACGACGCGTTTGTTTGTCCGTGTTGAATTCGGAAGGCTTCGGGATTTCTCGGCTTGAGTGCCTGGCTTCCGCTCGGTCGCTGTTCAAGAAGAATATTACTTCAGCTGGCGTACTAAAGGTAATTATATAACATAGACTGCTCTTCTTGGACTCTAATTATACAAGTGTGTGTTTTGCACATGGGTCAATCGGTATCATGGACGCCTATCAGCCATCTCGATATACTCGTCAGCCACGCACCCAGACCGTGAGACCTGTGCACAACGAAAATGGAGGCGAATGACTGTTCAGAACAAAACATGCTAACTTGAATAAAACATACTTACCAGCCTAGATCCATGGCATCCGTCCGACGTCCGACAACCTTCCATGGAGTCTGTGCAGGGGCTACTCTGCCACTGGACGTGATCAGGTGGCGCGCCTGTGTTCCCGGAAACACGACACTGTCCTGGATCTTTCTGACGTGCATTCGACTCTGGCGGGAACCTAATCTCAGATATCACTCTTGAGGAAGAGTCGGGATCTGACATCAGTACTGGGTCTGAAGGAACTTTATAGATGCGGAGGTTGAGGACCAGCCTGCTAGCGAGCATGTTTGGCGTTCTAACGGAATTAAAAGGGGTCAGATTTTGGTGCTGTAGATGTGGAGAGCCAGAAATATTACAAAGCGTAGTATGCGTTGATGATTGCGGCGAATTGAGCAAGGTAGGACAATGACTGCGCTTCGGGCACATTGTCAGTGTGTAGTGACCAGAACACTTACGATATAGTAGCACTCACGCTATCATCACGCTTGCTAGATACCTAGTAGATGTATAGATTTTTCATGCCACCCAAGTAAATCAAATGCAACGAATGGCGTACAATATTTGTAGAGACTTGGACGACGTTGATCATGAAAACCAGTCTGATTAGGAGCACCATTCTCAGCGACCGTTCAATGATCGTGAATGAGGTTTGCTGACAGAAAGTACAGGCTGCCTGTATGTAGTTTTGGATTAAAAATCGGAGGATTGGGAAGGGGGAAAATCTGAGTTTGCTTACCATCACGAAGCAAAATCTCCATGAGTCCAGTTTGTCCCAAACTGCGCATCTCCATGACATGATGCCATGTCTTCCTGATGGTAAGTACGAGTATCAGGGCGTCGAACGCCAAAGCCAGAGATGCTGTACCGGCATTCACTTTGAACCGTAAAATTAGAGGCTGTGGTAACGATGATAGCTCGAAGAGACTGACAGCTACAGAACCGAGAATGGATCCTTCAGAGAGCGCGACAGAACAGGTTGCTAACGAGGACTCACGAGTAGAAAACATTTGCATCACCTACAATCTTTTCTGTGCATCGTGGACTCCAAGAGTATTCGATTGAGTCTGTTTTGTCGTTTGAACCATATAACCGTCCAAAAGTCTATATTATATATACAGTGACCCGGTCTTGCTTCAGGGAAAGAGTAACTTACCCAGAAGTCGATGCCAATCCTGCCAAGAATTGGTAGCGACGCGACCACGGAAATCCATCGTTTATCGCCGTACAGAGCATGAATTCGCATGACAAACACGACTACACCGAGGTCAACATGTCAAAGAAAGAAAGCAAGCAAATTGGAAGGGACTTACCGCTCGTGCATGCCACCGTAAAGACGCCAGTGAGGTACTTCACGTGAAACACGTAGTTGCATCTAGATGTATAACCCTACGTGAGCCAGAAGACCACGAAACAGACGAGTACATGAGCTTTGACTGACCTTCGCATTGACCCTGAACCAGGAGCATCTTCATAGAGGCTAGCGACGATGGAAAGTAGCATCATGTATCGGTTCAAGAGGAAGACGATTGACATAACAGACAACTTGCGAAGCCAGATAGCTTGAACCTCGACGGAGAATGTCTGTAGGTAATCGTATATCCAGAGAGCTAGACAAGTATCAGCGACTGACGCGCGTGAGGCATCCTAAAGACAACGAACATCGCGCCGATATGTCCGCACAGAGCCCGAGTCTGGTCCCCGCGACACTGCTCAGAGTCGAAGGCATCCGCGCCCAACTGTTCTGTGACGACCAGTCTAGAGGTGATAAGTGACGTACTCAGCTATTGCGTCGCGCGCGACGAGCACTATGAGTCCGTTCTGCATGAACGACTCGGACGATGCGTGAAGGGAACGGTGCGACTGCGAAGCCTGAGACCTTATATCGTCGTTGTATGCGCTAGATCCACCTGTCCTTATCGTGCAACGCGGCAGCTCGTTTATTCATGATCTATTGAGATCGTAACCATGATTAACGTTCGGCAAGTATGGGAACCGCCTGCTCGTTGGTCAGCGGGCTTATCGGACTAAGCGAAAGCAATTCGCGAAGACCCGAGCCGACCCTTGTCGCCTCTGGATCTCCCACAAGTTCGCAATCCATTGGGGAAAATAATCCCAGCTCTGGATGGTTGCGCAGCTCCGCGCAAACGAAAGCAGACGATGACGAAACTTTGGTGGGAATACTCATTGAGGTCACATTATTGAGGTCGCCGCTGATCCGCTCGAGGGAGCTGTACAAGCGGTCAAGTGGTGGCGACACGCGCCTATATGCTCGTCCTGTTGACCAGCAAAAATAAAGTCTCGGTCCTGAAGCGGGTGTCAGTCAACCAATACTGTACATAAAAGCCATCCGGCACACGGAATCGTCACGAATCTTGGAGATCGTAGCCAATTTTCTTTTCTTGGAACGAAGGAGTATCCATTGGTACAGTCCAATACTTACAGGGAATTCATCTCAACATCATCAACATTCACGTTCTGAATCACGCCTACCGGAGCTCCCTAACAACAGACAGAAAATACTGTTTCAGAGTGAACTCATGTCATGTCGACACCAACGAAACATACTCACCGTCTCCGGAGTCACGTACGGATAATCCCACCGCCCATGGTCCAGCGGCGCCCCAATGTTCCCAACAATACGACCACTCTTCTGCTCATTCGAAGTAAGATCAGGAGCGAATTCGAGGTCAGATATTATTCTCGAGGCTGCTTCATGGTCGTATGGTGTACCTGCGAGCATTGGACCGGACGGGGCGCGATAGATGCGGAGGTGAAGGACCAGTCTGTTGACGAGCATATTGGGCGTCCTATGTATTCCGTTCGGGAAAGGTAAAGGTCGTCAAATACCAGAGAATTTACAGAAAAGAGGACGATTACACATCATAGAATGCGTTAATGATCGAGCTGATTTGACCGAGATACGAGGTTGACTGAGTGTAGTGTTAGCGTGAAAGTATGTACCGCCGACTAGCAAGACTATCGCACGTACATCTGGATCATGCATGCTGGAGACCTGGGCAAAAGCATGAGTGAAGGCATTGTAGCAGTACAGATCGCGGTCTCAGGCGTACAATGTTGGTTGCTAATTGAAGGGCGGTGATGATAAAAGCGAGTCTGCATCGAAAATGTATTAGAGCCAGGGACAATTTAGGTGCGCTTACGGAGATGAAGACTCACAAGAAGTACAAGCTGCCTAAAAGTTCAGGTCAGTTACTCGGTATCGCCAACGAAAAGAGGATCAGAATACGAGGCTGACCATCGCGAAGAAACACCTCAATGAGCCCTGTCCTTCCAAGATGACGCATCTCCATGACATGGTGCCATGTTTTCCTGACAGTCAGTACGAGGATCATTGTGTCAAATAACAGAGCCAGACAGGCTGTCGCGGCGGTCACTGTGATTAAAATCAGATATCAAGGAGTCAGACACTCGTAATGGGGTGAACGATCTTACTGCTATAGAGGAAATAGCACGTCAGGTCATTTCTTTGGGCGGTAAGCAACGAACTCCCAGAACTCACGAGTAAAAGATGCTCGGATCGTGGAATAGCAGTTGTTCCGTACATCGCGAGCTCCAAGATTCATCGACGTCTACTTTGGCGTTCGTGGCATGTATTGTCTTGAATTCCTGCATTCATAGTGCAACGAGTTCATTAAACTCATCTCACCTGGTAGTAATAACGCGCCGGGGAAAACGATACATACCCAGAAGTCGATTGCAACCCTACCCAACACCGGCGTAGAGGTGACTACGGCAATCCACCGGTTCTCGTTATATATAGCATACAACCTCATGATAAATAACGCTTCATGAAGCTCATCAGCCTTCAAACTATCCACGCACACGACTAAAATTAAACTGACCATTGGTACATGCCACGGAGAAGACGCCACACAAGAACCCCGCATGGAGTACATAGTTACAACTGTGCGTACGACCCCATCTCCGGCTGAGCTCACAGAACACCAAACAGGAGACAGAGGAACGGAGAGACTGGGCTCACTCACCTAGTGATCGTACCCGTCCCAGGAGCGTCCTCGTACATTCCCGCGATGATCCCGAGGAGCATGAGATATCGGTTTAAGAGGAAGATAACTGACATCGCAGAAATCTTGCGCAGCCAGATCGCTTGAACCTCCGTAGAGAATGTCTGGACGTAGTCGTACAGCCAGAGCGCTTTGAACAGGCGAGGTAGTCGATTTACTTTGAGCTGTAAAGTTGAAGAATTATCATGAAGTGAACGTACATCGTGCCGATAGATCCACGTAGAGCCCGAGTCTGATCTCTGCCGCACTGTGTTCAACTTGAAAGCATCAGTCGAGCGCGCTTTATTATTCTGCAGAGGACTAGGAACGCACGTAGTGGTTGAGTCCCGAGTGGCGAGCTGTCCCAGAGCGCGAGTCCGCATAAGTGGCGATGAGCGAAAGGAAGAACAGTTCCGTGGTCCTCAGTCGTTAAATCCTATGATCGAACATGCAGAAGCGCCCCTCGAACTGTTGGGTCAAGTATCGCAGTTGAAGGGTTGGAGGTGCCAACAACATAGCGATTGTATGTAGCAGCTGTCTGGCAGCACATGGGAGGGAAGGGTAATGACGCTCGGAGGGGTCATTTGGAAGACGCAAAAGGGGCTCGCAGCGAGTCCCCGTCGCCGTAACTCCCGCGGGGGTTGAAGATGAAGAACGTAATGGCAGGCGCCTCGCAGCGAATGAAGCCATACGGAGGCAGAAGTACTTGGACGAGGCGACGACGCTGTAAGTCCTCTGGAAGAACTATTCATGCCTTTAGGCTTTGACAAGTTCGTGCGTCTGTTTCTGGTAAGGTAAGGTTATCCATAGAGGATGGTCAGGTCCGTCCGACAGACGGACACCGATCAATAGGGTGACTGTCAACGAATTCCAAGCCTCCGAACTGAAAGCGGCGTTAGACGTATTTCCACCAAGATGGAAACATACAGGGATAGTCATCGACCAGGGCACAGCAACCACTTGCGACAGACAGATCTTCGACTCATGTAGATCATCCTGCAGCCCCAATTTTCCTGTTCGAGTGAATTGTACTTCGCGTGGGAGCAGGCTACGTATCCTTACGGACCCTCTGTTCGACGCGATCGCGTCGCACCTGCGCAGATAGGACCACCCAGATTAGAAGACGTTCACAACGGACTCCGACGAGCAAGAAAAACAAAACAGATTAAATCCCAAATTACCTTGCTTGGCAAGGTCTCTCCCACCACGGTAATTGTGGCTGAGCGACTTTTTCGCACACAAAGCCAAACAGTTTGCGTAAGCTTTTCTCACATTTCTGTGGCACCCCTCACTCAATGCAATCGCGTACTTGATTACCATCATCAGGACGGAGCAATTTCTATTTGCCCTGGATATACAGTTTTTGTACATGCCCAGCATGTTTCGCGAAAGTATGCTCGATATCTGCGCAACGCGCTCAGGCCTGAAGGGCTATCGACGCCACAATGAATCAAGCCGATGCTTCTCCTGAGGCCTACGTACGCTTCGAGGCGCTGCTGCGGTCAGCAAAAGCAAGAAACCTGACATCAGTGGCCATCGGAACGTGGATGTATCTGTGCAGAGTTAAAGGCTGCCTCTAATACGAGTTGAATACGAGTTCGCGAGCCAAGAAGAACCATCTGTGGCGCGACTCTTGCGTGACCATCCAGAAGCAATTTCCGGTACTGAATACTCTGCAGTATCGCTAACAAAGTTGCTACTGCAAATAAAGTGCACAGAAATATTGAGCACTGGTAGATATGCCATTGTCAGAAGAGGTCTCTCAAGCAAGGTCAGTGCCACAGCATGTGGAGCTTCCCTAGTCTAGAGCAACCACGGTACTTATAACAAGTCGCACAACACCAACCTGGCACCCCGATCTCGAGACGTCCCGGTATCTTCCGGAATGCAAACCAACGCCACAGGGTTGACACAAGCTGAAGGGCCACCCATACCAGTACTGACTACACCACAGGGTTCAAACTTCGTGTACAGGGACTGACCAAAAAGAAAGAAATATATTGGAACAACATGTAATAAGTGATACAGGGAGAGGGGGAATCGTGAACAAAGTAACGTCGCAGTCATGAATAGAGAGGCGAGGAGGGAGAAAAGATTAGGGATTTATCTAATAATACACCGAACGTGACGATTTAATGGCATTCGTGAATCGTGACAGAGGGAGAGAAATGGAGGATGGTGAAACGTAAATGCACCAACAAATCAGACCTCTCAAACCACTCCCGCCTCCGCCTCCTTCCTCCCCGTGCTCGTCCCAACCCCATTCGTCCCAGTCCCAGCCCCCGCCGGACCCGCACCCACACCCGTCCCGGTAACGCCTCTTCCATACCCTCCCGTACCCGCATAATCGCTCGCCTTACCACTCTGCAGCCCGAACGCGGCGTAGTCCAAGCTTCTCAGAGCCCAAAGGTGTGTGAACAAGAAGAGCGGTCCAGCGAAGAGATCGAGGATGCCGTAGAATATCATCTCGCCCGTGGGAGAGATACGGTTCCCGCCTTCGGAGAGACCCCAGCAGATGAAGTAGAGAGGCCAGATGAAGGAGATCCAGCCGGAGCCGGTGTTGAAGAAGCGACGATGGGTTGCGCCACCCGCATTGAGAGAGGTGCGCGACCCGAGGCCCCAGAGCGACGTGCTGTTTCACAGAGCAAGAAGGTTAGTAAGGAGGGTGAGAAGAGGGACGGGAAGAGAGGATAGGCATACAAGACGTAGAAGAGAGCGAAGAGGCCGAAGACGAAGAAGCCCCATTTGTAGCTGCTTGGGGTGAGTGCGCCGACGAGGCCCATCACGACGATGGCGAGGGTCATAAATGCGGTGAGGAAGACGTCGGAAAGGGCGAGTCCAGTGGTAAGGAGGACCATTATAATGATCAGTGGTCCGTTGATGGCCCATTGGATGTAACGGACCCACTAATCAAGACGATGTCACGAAGAACAGTGAGTATCCTGTAAAACACGAAAATACAACGATATTTATGACTTACGAAGACGTTTCGGGTACTACCCGGGGAAGTGTCCCGGAATTCGGTCGCGACAGCAGTTTGTCCAAGATCAGACGCCATAGCCTGTCGACGAAATTGGGCCATGAATATTCTGAAATAGTAAGGTTAAAACAGGGGCTTACGAAATACGCCACGGCAGACACAAACAGAATTACAGTTGCGGTGTGATGGAATGCCCTCTGCCCTAACGGTTGCTATGATAAAAGACTGGTCAACATCGGTCAGCATAGTATAGATGAAAATTCATACCATGTGCGACCAGAAAAGTGTGAAGAGCATGGAGACGGACATGAGGGCGCAGACGGCCCACAGCCAGTCACTAGCACCATTGGTAATATGGATGTTGGCGGTAGGAGGGTTGTCTTGGAGAGGGCCTGCCATGCTGTTGAGGTCTAGCTAGCAAATCGTACGCTACAGTGAGAAGAAGAGTGGTCAACACTGGGGAAGAAGGTAAGCGTGAAGGTGACTCTTACTGAAGGGATTATGAAGAGACGACGCCGAGGTGACAAGCCCACCTGAGGAGGGTGGCGAGGCTTATATGCAGCGCGGCGCTCGAGTTCGACTCCGACGAAGAGTCGTAGAACAGTGGAGAAAGACGGGAGCGCACGTCGGATGATGACGAACTCGAGCGCAAAGTAGTCATCGAAACGGTCATCGACTTGTCCAGACTATTCGGTTATGGATTCGAACACATCACGAGATTCTAGTTTTGTTCTCACTTCTTTGCGCCCCGGGCTCTCGAAGTTTCTGGATGCGGATGAGCCGGTGGCGAGAACAAGGATAGGATGACGAATGCTGCAACGGGAGGGAAGCGAAGACACTCCACGAGCGCGTAGGGACCCTACAAGTGGGTCAGAAGAAGGATGGCACGTTCGAACTTAACTCTAAAGGCGTTCGGGCGATTTCGAGTGCGCTTCGTACGTGTTGCTTACGATGCGTACGGGCATGTTAGTCCCCAAAGAAATACAGCCAGGCCGGTCATATCAGGAGACAAAATTCCTGCACTAGGCGACGTGAGACTCGCATCGAGACTACCTGAGAATCACACGAGAAAATATAGAAAGTCATGAGAGTTCTGACGGATCTTGGTGGCGCTTCCTAATTCTGAGAAAGAGAGGGTATAAATCTGGCCACATTGATTTCGCTGGCCAAAAGACTCCACGAGCCAAGAAAACACCATAGACAAACGAAAGTTGGGTGATGAGAGTGATCCTGGAGCACAAGCTGAGCACAAGCACGAGGAGAGAGAGGGAGACGAGGAGAAGCACAACCCTAAGGAGAAGCACAACCCTAACCCAGCCAGACCCCGCATCCAGGTTGGCTGACGTAACTTATGGACGCTTGTTTCCGCGTCGAGGGGTTCCCAAGGCGGCTCGCGTCGAGTTATTTACGGTCGTTTGCCCAGGTAAGTTAAGTCCATAACGGGTTCGTACCATCATATTTCGTCCATCAAACGCGCTTGTTCATCCGCTACGACCACCATGCCCCGCAGAATCATAAGCTCGGAAGAATCGTCGATGGAGCCTGAGGCCGAGCCGGAGGTCGAGAGCGGAGAAGAGATGGATGTTGAAGAGGGTGAGGACGGGGAGGAAGTTGAAGATGTTGAAGTTGACGATGAGGAGGATGCGGAAGGTGAAGTTGATGAGGGGGAAGCGGAGGAAGAGGGAGAAGATGAAGACGTCGATGTCGAGGAGGGCGACGACGACGAAGACGCTGAAGGAGAAGAAGACGACGAGGATGAGGAGAATGAAGATGACGAGGACGTAGGGGCGAAGGGGCTGTCAAGGGTGCGTTTCTTGTATTATTGTGTTCGTTCTCGCAGTTGCTTGAATACTTCTCATATCTTAGGGACCCTCTGAACTGGATGACCTATCATCACTGGCGGCGTCTCCGGCACCAGCGCCCTCTGAGACCCGCACAGGTCTCAAGATCACGCTCAAAAGACCACCCCAAAAAGCCAGCAGTAGCAGAGGAGGCCGGTCAAATGGTGCGTCTTCAAATAATATCTTCCTTCGCGGAGATATTCATGGCTTTAACTACGCAGTGGGCCTGGAGTCTGAGGACTCTTCCGACGAGATCATCGGTGGTTCTAGTCGTCCATTGACCGCCAGACAGGCCGTTCTAGCGAGTGGTGTTGATCCTGCGCATGTAACGTTGAGTGCGTATATCTTGCAATATATTTCGCATAGAAATACGTTGTACTCATATCTACTGCTCAAATAGCACCGGAACCGTCAAAGAAAAAGAAACATTTGAACGAAGCTGAACTTGCTCTTCGACGCGAAGAAACAGCACGTAAACGGAAGCATTTGTCCGAGAAGAAACTCGAGGATGAGAAGGTACGTGTTCTGAATACTTCTTTTATCTTCGTTTACGCGGAGGAATTGCATATCATTACTGTGTGAGCTCTTACTCTGGGAGATTTCTGAGTGCTCACTGCTTGTGCATATTCTTCTGGACGCGAAGTTGTCGTGCAAATGGGCCACAGGGGCTGGTGCCACAGTCCTCCAGCACGTCCCAAATACTTTGTCTTCTTACTGTCTCTCTCATCCCTCTCAGTCAATATTGACTCACATCCTTATGTTCCTTCTAACCAGGCTGAAACAATCAACCGCCTCCTAAAAAAACAATCCCGACCCCGCGGAAAACGTAGCGCACTCGCCACCGCCGACGACCGTACCCCCGCCTCACGCCCTAATACTGGAACCGGTGTCGCAGGAACACCAGCTGATGAGGATGATGAGTCGATGGAGCCCGCGGAAATGGCTGTTCAGGAGCTGCCGACGTGTTGGAGGTGGGTTTCTTCGACAACTAAGGTTGCTGGAGCGGCGGAGGGTGGCGATGCCAAGAAAGCGAGTAACGGCGAGGATGTCGTGATGAATGGAGATGGACATGACGAAGGCACTCTTAACACGGTGGCTGTGGAGGGAAGAAAGATGGTATTGTCGTTTTCCATACCGGTGTCCATCCTCCCGCCACCCCCAGAAGCCATCGCGCTCGACGCAGCGTCAGCTGGCATGGATGTCGACGGTACCTCGTCACGGCCCAGGAGACCCAAAACGAAGACGACTTCGCTATGCGACGTTGATGGATGCGGGAAGGGGAGGAAATATAGGCTTGTGAAGGATTGGGAGAGGGGGGCTTGTGGGATGGAGCACTTGAAGGCTTTGGAGGTAAGCTGAGACGTGCCTAGGCGGGATGGCCGGAGTGCGGCGCTTCGCGGACTGGATCTTGGTTTGTTTGTTTGTTTTTGGATGGTATCTAGGCTGTGAGTGGTCCATTTTGTCTTATGATCTCAGTTGACGGGATATGGTCAGACCCGTTAGGCTAAATGTTGACTGTTGCTCCATATCATCTTTCTTATAGGTATTTCTATGCCTGTATACAGGAATTTTTTTTGGTTCTCCGCACTGAATAGTGAACAGTCATACCGCGACCACCTGGATTGGTTTCTTGATACTCACCATGTATCGCCTTCGAGCGCGCTTTGCCTCAAGAACTCCTGCACGCGAAAACAGAGTTTCCAGGGCTGCTGCGAACGGGATTTTATACCCGCTCTCGAGAGCTAGTATAGCGACCATCCCGTCGCTTTTCCATCCCTGATCTCAGCTCCCAGTCCAGGCCTACATTTTAGTTGCTCTATTGTCATGATTGAGATGGTCGCCGGATCATCCTGCAGGCAACCTGCAGGACACGGCAGCGCTATGTACGCGAGCATCACTCTTTCCTCAGTTGGAGATGCCTATAACATATCCTACCATCGTCGGACCCCGTGTACTTCCAAGTTGCTGCCAAGGTACCAAAGAGCGATACATACAGCAGCATCGAGGACAGTCCTAGCAGCGCCACGCACTCGGTCTCACAAACCACACAAGCGTGGGAATATATGGCTTCCACGCTACTACTTCCGGAAAATCCCTTTCTCCTCCGTCCACAGTCGTTTCGATCAGCAGTCCACGTCATAAAAGCTTCTCCGGTCTAGCATTTTGTTTTCTGCAACTGCGCTTACCGCGCCGTAGTTTTCTGCCCGACAGTCCACGAAAACAAGTATGGCCTCTTCCGTGCAAATCGTCGTTTGGAGTCTGTTGTTCTCCCTCGTACGGTACAATATCACTACGCCTTCAAGCGTCGGCAAAGATGGCTGTACGAGCCAGCTTCATGCAATGCTACGAAATGCGTGAACGTGGGCAACTTAGACCACCAGTACTGCAATGAAAGCGCCGAGTGGTCTGTTCTGAGGTGCTGTGCATGATGCAAGAAGACGCCCCCTATGTCTGGAAGGAAGGAAGGTTTTTTTCATTTCATTCCCCATCGCGTCTACTTTGCTTCCTCCCTCCGACCATAACACTTCATCTCTCCACAATCGTCGCTGTCGACGCCCTGGTCTCCCCCTTGTTCCTCGCTCCGTCCCTTCCTGCCCTATCATGGGTTACGGATTTCGAATTTCGACACCCCCTCACGCCACATATTCACAACTTCCTTCAGTACCACTCGACCCCGAGGCTTCCAGCCCTACTTCGTCCACCTCCACCTTCACTGAGCCTTCCGCCTCAAGCTCGCTCAAACACCCCTTACTCGCTCGGTGTCTTCCGTGCTCACATAGAACACGACGACGATGTGTCCTCCTCCTCATTGCCACACTTCTCTGCACGTCCGTGTCCGCCATCCTTTTCTTCACGCCGCTTCCGAAATACGCCGTCCAGCTCACCGCTCCAATACGGTTCCCGCCTACGTACGAGAGTTATCGGGAGAGAGAGGAGAAGCTGGTTAGGAGCGTGAACGGGGATCCAAAGGTGGAGCCGCTTCGACCGGGAGTGAAGTATTTCTTCCCGGAGAAACATGTTCATGGTGCGTTTTAGTCTTGTTCATCTTCATCTCCGGTGGAGTTCGTGGTCCTGATAATTCGAGGGGCATATAATAGGAGTTGGAATTGGCAATGCTATTCAAGAACTTTTTCTGAACGCTCTCGTGGCGCATGCTAGCAACCGGTCGTACGTCCTACAGTTACCTTCCTCTCTCCGAAATAGGACGTGAAGTCAGACGCCCATACCTATTCTCGAATTTTGCCCGTATTCCGTCAGATTCGTCTGGGACGACTACACCTGGTCAGAAGACCCAGAACCGTACTCACAATGGGGCGACAACTGGATTCCGTCTCGTATACCGCTCTCTGTCCTCATCGACGGCCCTATGGTTGGGAAACCATTTCCTTCAGGCGACTATACCCCTCGGGCCGTGACAAAGTCGTATTTTCATGAAGTTTGCAAGGAATTAGGGGGCGTGCAATACCTCGATACGGAGGAGATGAATAAAGATATGTGGTGGGACGAGAATTACAGCGTATTGGATATTTTGAACGTTTGGGTGGAGAAGTTGAATTCGATGGATGCAGCCTGTGTGTCGACGGGCGGGAGTACGAAAGTGCTCTGGGAATATTGGTGGGCACCGTTCTCTAACGATCAACAACCAACCGGGAGCGCTTATCCCAGTTTGTCGATAGGTTCTTCGGGAATCGACGATACTGGCCTGTATGGCCCATTCTCCGTGATTCACCACTCATCACCCACTTCAGCTGGTCTCCCCTCGTCCTCCTAGGCATCGAAGCCAACAAAGAACTCCTCGGACTCCCCCGCCTTCCCTTCTTCTCCGACCTCCAACCACCACTCTCCTTCTCTCATTCCCTCTCATCCATCGGCCTCAGAGCTCTCAAAGACGAACAATTCGACATCATACCCGGTCTACTCGTTCTCCACGTCCGTCGAGGCGACTTTTCGTACCATTGCGATGGTCTGGCGCATTGGGGCTCGGATTGGCAAGGGATCATACAGCTGGCGACGGATGGAATGCCGGATACGTTCGAGCGGGAGAAACCGACGCCGGAGCATTGGGAGGAGGGAAAGTATGAGACGGACGTGTTGCCGGTTTATAAACGGCGGTGTTATCCCACTATCGAACAGATCGTACATCGAGTTCGCGAGATTCGACTCGAGCATCCGAGGTTGAATCGGATATACGTCATGACGAATGGAAAACACGACTGGTTGCAGGAACTTCGCCTCTCTCTTCTCATAGACTCGGACTCTCATTTCATAAACGTTGGATCGGAGGAGGAGGTAGAAGAGTTGAAGCTGGAAAAATGGGAAGAGGTGAAGACGAGTCGGGATATGATTCTGGATTGGGATCAGAAGCATGTGTCTGTGAGCGTGGATGCGGCGATTGCGATGCGCGCGGATGTTTTGATTGGGAACGGTTGGAGTTCGTTGAGTGGAGATGTTATCATGTTGAGGATGGCGAAGGGGGTACCGAGGGAGAATAATAGATTATGGTGAAGCTTGTATTTATTTTGTCCGGATACCCAGGAGCTGATATGAAGAGATCAGCGACTTACATGTACTTGTTAAACGACTGATGCTTTGTGACCATTTCAAGGATATGCTACACGCATTCGCAATGAAGCACGTCATGTCATCATTAGATCTAAGGTAAACCGATGTACTCGTATATGTATCATTAATTTCGTCGCTGTTCGTGTGTCGTTCTATGGCTCGTCTTTTCCGGTACCATCCTGCTGACCATATAAACCCTCAAGGTCGTTCCTAACCGCTTTCTCTTGAGCATTGTGTATTTCCCTTCGCTCACGTTGGATATCCGCCTTATACTGGGCTAATTTCTTCCTTTCACTCTTCGACATCTCCCATGGCCAGCCGTTACGCACGGTTGTGTCGCGCTCGGAGCGTAGGCGACTATGTTCTCGGTAGAATATGGAGCGTAGAGATAGTTCTCTCAAGACGTGCTGTGAGAGCTGAGGTGACGATTGGAATGTTTGATCCTTGCGGTGAATGGACGTGACGATCGAAGGGAAAACGTACCTTGAGCCGGAGTACAAGGCTTGAGATTTTGGTGGTGAACGCTTGAGTCCTGTCACAAATCCTCTGGATATCCCCCATAAGCAGATCATCCCTTTTGGCATCAATGACAACATCCGCTAATGCAAGAACCAACTTCAAATGCCTGAAGCACGATCATCAGTCCGTGGTATGCAGTATAAAAAAAGGGTGAGGAGACCTACTTGTCAAAGGACGACCTCAACTGCCTCTGTTTTTCTCTCCAAGCCACTTCATGCCCCTTTATGCGCTCTGACTGGTTCGCAGACAGACGCGGTGGGACGACCTCCGAAGTAGAAGACGGAGGCAGCCCAGCGTCTTGGGACACCGGTATGTTGACCAACGAAGTGATGAAAGGAGAGATATCGCGCAGCACCTCTGCAAGTTCATCGCATGCGGTGACTGCTAAGTCCCTCGGAATCGTCAAGTCTGCTGCTCGGTGCCCAAGTTGCTGCAAGAGGCCATAGAAATAAATGAGGTATAAGTAGAACACTAGGCCCGTATATGCGAAAGAACGACAAGATGAGGACATACGTCTCCCATGGCCTTTACTATCTGTATCAGATTCGGTAGTTTGACGGCTTCCAAGTCTGTAAGCGTATGCCGTTGTAACTGAGCTTTCTTGATATATTCAAGATGGTCTTGGGAATCACGATTGAGGGATGGAGGAATCTCCGTGATATCAGACAGTTCTGATTGGGAAGGAATGGTGGAGAGCGTGTGGATAGTCGAGGGACGAATAGAGTGTAAGAAAGGGTGGACAGAAGAGCGGCGTGCTTGACGAATTTCTTTATTTCGGAGTACTTCTGCCTCGTTCGCCCTCGCTGCAGAAGTAAATTCGGATTTCTTTTCAGCTCTCGCTTCCTGGACGGTGCGAACTATTTCTGCTATGATGGCGTCGATCTTCAACCAGAGGTCTTTACCATCCGCAAGGACTATCTTGAACCATTCGTTGGTAACAAATTCGACTTCCACTAGTTGTCGGCGTTCGTCCTCTGTCAAATCCGAAATCTGCATTACTATCTTGCGAAACTGGAGGTCAATATCAGCCGGCGTGATTAAAGGAACGATCTACATAGATGACTGAAAGACAAGAGTTGGGAACTGACAGCTTTTTCGATCTTGGCAGTTTCCTCTAGGGTGGGTCGCCGTTCAATCTTTTCCTCTGAATGTTTTGAAGGCCCAGCGTGCTGGTCGTCGTCCCGAAACAGATGACTAAATCTGTACTAGAGCGTCATAACAGAAATGGCAACCAGTGTTCCATGTAATGTAAGAGAGTGGGAGTCACAGTACTGATGTGGCGAGGAAGTATACCTCGTTAAGGCTACGAGAACCAGGCTTGCGTCGAAGAGACCCGGATGCATGTAGCGATTGAGTTGCTGCGGAACCAAGCGAGCCATTTTGGTCTGGGATCGCTGGAAGGTCACGCTCCTTCAAGAGAGTGTCGTTGTCGGTGGCCTTACGCTTTCCTTTCTGGTCAGCCTCGTGTTCGATGGTGTGCATCGAGGGCTCCTGTACAGAAATGACTGTCTCCTCATCGGGAACGATACCAGGCGATGCATGTCCCTGTAGCGTCGGCGGGTCGCTGTTGTATTCCGTCACGTCTGAGACGGACAAATCATCCTCATCGGGCCCAGCCTCGAAGCTTAGATCAGAACTGAGCTCGTCATAAGCGATCATGGGGCTCAAGGCTGAGGGAGTTCGAATCGAGGAAGAACTAGCTGCGTCAGTCGTTGTTGGCGCCATCCTCGGTGATATTCCATCAAGATGCGGGCGACGCGGGGTGCTCGGAGCGGGAGGATTCGGTGAGCGGTGCGAGTCTTTCTCGAGGTTGGCAGATGAAGAGAGGGGATGAAGTGTGAAGGAAGAAGGCATTCTTGGGCGATGGGTCTTCCTTAGGGTTTTATCGGTGGGATAGTGAGAAGAAGAAGCGAAATCGGATGGGGGCTGGTGGGAGTGAGACGGGCCAGCAGACGGGCCAGCATTACCCGCTGCATTGCAGCAAAATAATGTCAGTGTTTGATCCGAGTTCAGGTCAGCAACTTTTACCCGCCTGTGTTTGACGTCCGGTATGCAGAAGGATGTGAAGAGGGCTGCTTCGTGCGTGGAAGGAAAGCAGTAGCTGGGAAGTGCTCTGTCGGCCATGTCACGCTATAATCGGCCGAATTCTGCGGAAAGTTATTCGTAACTGTCCATGGTAATGTCAGATAAACAGTCGTAAAACCACAGAGACGAGTACAGAAAGCAAGAGGCAGATCATGGACAGATTTGACACATACAAGGATCATTAGTCGTTGGACGCATCGTCGAGGAAGCCGGGTATCCGGATACACCGGAGTTAGGAAAGCCATTAGTTCCATTCGAAGGCCAAGGTCCAGGGTGAGCAGTCGTAGCCATTCGTACGCTTTGAGAGGGTTTCAGTTGGACGGACAACAGAAGCGTGACGAAGAGGGCCACGTACGCAGTTGTGTAGGAGGGTGACTATGCAGTTACAGAGAACAGACGCAGACAGCAGGCGACGACGAGCCCTTATACGTTCTGATACGAGATGAGTGGCAATCACATTAACAGAATGCACTAAGGAAGAACAAGGCGCATCGCATACACACAGACAGACAATAACGAAATGGCGCCCAGGTACACAGATCGAGGAACAAGAGGAAACACTGGACTTGGAACAAGGAAGCTGGGTGGCGTTACCAAGGAAACCACCTACCAGAAGCGGATGCGAGCTCCCTGAAAGTGAATATGTGCGCCGCGGGATTTCGTACCGATAGCGTTCGAGCGCCTGTACTAACTGTGGAAGCCCATCACGCAAAAACAGGTGCAAGGCGGGTGCCAGTGGCGTCGGGTGGCAGACAGGTAGTGGCATGGACCACTGAGATAACCTTGCTCCATGGTCGGTATTATTTGCTCAAAACGTCTAAAAATATTGTCAGAGAATTTGGGACGACAGTACAGCTTGGGTGCATGTTTGCGAACGGGTTCGACTTCAGAGGAAAACGGAGTAAAAAGTCAACGACCGCCAACGTGGGAGCCACGTTTGGTGAAGGACCGAGGGGGCGGCGCCTAATCAAACATCTCGCCACTCTGGTTGCCACACGTTCGCATGACGCAAAAAAAAAACTACGAGGCTCAGCTCGTAGAAATGTTGGTATATAAACAAGAACAAAACGTTATGGTACAAGAACGAACGAACAAAGAAAATGATAGGGTGTTCATGGATTTCCAGAATCCGAACTTCGAGGGAGCAGCTCTCTAGTGCTCGACGCTCAGCGCTCAGAGAGGACCCACTCCACGAATGTTCTCCGCCGCTTGCGCGCTCCTCGTGCGGTAGCGTCCGGTACGAGAGTCGATCCAGCCCGTAGCTCTTTCGCCAGACTGCTCACTCAGACCTTCAACCTTGCCCTCCTGCGTATCCTCCGCCTGTCCACGAGAGCTCATACGGTATCGGTTCAAGAAATTGCCTAACAGAAGCAAGTTGGGCGAGACGGGGCCATCTTGAATGTTGGCCTGTTTCGACTGGTCGGCTTCGAGATTAGAGTGCGAGAGTTCATCAATGGCAGTGGTGCGGAAGGAGTCGGAGTTCACTGCATCAGTTTGGTCCTTGGTCTTGAGAGGCGAAAGTCTCGTGCGACAGACGACAGATGCCGTAGGGCAAGGATCGTGGGCTGGACCGCGAGGAGCTCGCTTGATGGCTGAGTGGGGCGGAGTCGCCTTCCTTGACAACCACTCCAGGTCCGGTTCAACGTCGCGTTCAGATATAGTCCTCTGGCGGTCAGTATTGCGGTCTAGACTGCCCAGGTGACGAAAGGCATCGGAAGGGGTAGTAGGATTTTCGGAGAACGAGCGTGCACGTGACTGAACGTCGAGGGGTTGAGGACGAACTCCACGAAGGGCTGGTGGACAATACTTGGAAGAGCTATAATTTCGTCAGAAGCGGGACGCGAAGGATAGAAGAGGGACTGACTTGATAATATTGGCCTTTTCGATATCCTCTTCCTCGCCGCCCTCACTCTCACACCCAGCCAAGGCACCTTGTTCGTCTGTTTCGCCCTCGCCATCATCATCTACACCATCAACTTCTTCTCCCAATTCAGTAACGCTCGCGATAGTCTCCAATCTCGGAATTCCGTCGTCCATGTCGGCACCGAAGAGAGAGCCCTTCCAAGATGCCATAGCTTCCTTCTCCAAGATCTCGACCTCAGCCTCCTTCTCAAAACTAACGCTCGCCACCAACCGAGAAGTCGGATCCATAGTCAAAGTCGCGGGATCGAGAGCACGAAGAACTCGGCTCTGACCGTGATGAGAAGAGTACGAGGGGTTAGGAGTAGGGCTTCTGCCGTCATTGGACCAGAAGCGGGTTCTCATAGCGTTCATGCCCGTGAAGGATCCCATATCGCTCGATACAGCGGACTTAATAGGGTTGAACGGAGAAGAAGACGAGCCAGAGGAGTAGTCCGATCCCGAACCAGAAGATGGAGTGCTCAGATGCGAATCGTAGAAACGCATGGAGGAGCGTGGACCGGCTGTCGGACTGGGGCGAAACTCCTGCGCCTGGATATTGAAGAGGAAGGGTGACATATTGGAGGCGAGAGCTCGAGAACTAGAGTCAGAGGTTGTAACGTGTTGTGTTGACTTGTACTTGCGATCTTCGGCAGCATGGATTGTGGCTGCTGCGCTTGTGGAGGATTGAGTGCTCCTACACATACATGCAATGATCAGCGGGCGAAGACGGTAATAGTATTTATCACGTAAACGTACCTGCTCTTGAACTCTCCAGTCGTATCAGCCTGAAGAAAAACGTCCGTGCTCTCAGCTGTCTTTAGAATCTCAAAACGAGCGCTAGGTTCGGACTGCACCACTGGCTTCATAGGCGGTGCAATCTGACAGTCAGTTGTCGAGCGAGGAGACCCGTTCTGCCAGATATCCTCGAGTGCCATGTTCGAAACAACGAGCGAAGGGAACCTTTGAGTAGACATAGAGGGCCTGAAGGTTGAGATCTGTTGTTCATCCTTCTCCACAAGCTGGACATCGGAGATTGGCGGCGTATTCAACAGGACATAGACTTTCCCAGGTGGTGGGACCATGAACTCGTCGGGAACGCTGGGAGTCGCTGTAACAATAGGCGCGGATGGTAAGGCAGACGAAGACGCCTCCACAGCAGAGAGAGGTGATCTTGAGAGAGATCGCAAAGCCGTGTCGGAAAAGACTATAGGTGTCCCTTGAGCCGATGAAGTGGAATGGGTCGTCCTGCAAGCGTCTTCGAGATGCTGGGTAGTCACTGAGGGAGTAATGTATAGTGAGTTAATTCGGTTTACTGGGCATCCAGCACAAGACACGCACCCAGATCGGAAGCACCCGGCAACAAGCCAACTCCATCAGACTCCTCTTCAGCAGAAATGCCACCAAAGAGACGCTTGTAAAACCCTAGACCAGAAAGAATGGTCGTATAGAACACCGCAGCCGTCGCCTGCCAGACATACTTGACCCAAATAGAAGCAGGGACCGCAGCCCAGCCCATGAATTTCGGATACAAACGAGCCGGGAAGACGAGAGAAAAAATGACGGAAAGTGCGGCCATAGAGAGGGCAATGACGAACACGTAGAGCGACAGAGCGGACAACAAGGTAGCTGTGAAGAGAGGGTCCCCGAGGAGAGGGTGCGGCAGCAGAGTCGTGGGAGTGGCGTTGAGTAGGATGTCGCCTGTTTCTGAATAAACGAAGCCGTTGTAGGTGGCCACACAGGTAGGCCGGGAAAGGAAGTCGACCATGCAGTAGGGTGCTCTGGATCGAAAAAGCATGGCGAGCGCTGCCGCGTGTTTCGTCCCGCCAGCGGAGAACATCGAGGCAGTGGCATCGTCATACTCCCCTCGAGCAGCAGACATCCCTAGAAGCCAATCAAACGATAGTAACTGTGTGATCGGATCTACCATCGTGCTGAGATGCCACCTGGAGTACAGAGGAGAAAACAGTGGTTCGCCGAACCATGAGCACAGATGTATGCCGCCTGCGATGAGAATGGGCAGTACAAGATCCATAGCTATAGTAGACTCGAGAGAGGAAGGAGGGAAGGTGGCGCAGATGTAGTGAGAGTAATGGGGAGGAAGGGGAGGTGGTGGTCCTGAAGAAAGACTCGTCGCTGACGACTCGTCACCGTCCGACATGGTTGTTCATGGCAAACAAGCGCAAACACGATGATGGCGCCTGACACGGATGCCCAGCCCAGTGTCAGAGTGGCGGTGTGGCGCCATCACCACGATCGCGACTGATCGCAATCATGCTTCTGAATCAGATTTGGCCCATATGTTATATGTTCCGCGAAGCTAACTAAGATGTCAGTGCACACGTTCAATGAGAGTAAACTGGAAACCACTATGATGGTTTTTCTAGAGCAGGATACTTACCTGAGATCTTGGGCACGTGTTTCGTGTAGGTGAGGGGGAGGTGGTGACTGGCCCGTGGAGGATTTTTCGGCCTTTTGAGCACAATGTCATGCGGCGAATCGAAGACATATCTTCCAAATGCCAAAGGGAGATATGAACTAAAGGCCGAAAGATCCAGAGCTGCATGCACGATGATGCGTTCTCGGAAAAGCGAGCGTGAGAGTGACGCACGTACGCGCACTGAAATTCATCGTGGAATTCAAGCTCCGCTCGAACTTCTTTCGGACGCGTATACGCATTCTCTCCCCGCACTTTCTTAGGCAGCCTTCGCAAGAGTATCCGTCTCGCAGGCTCTACTGAACTCCTGCAGCAGCAGTTTCAGTGTACGTGTCATAAATTAGTATAGTGTAGAATAAAGATAAAAGACAGTCATACTTTGGAGTATGGGATTCGAGAGGGACCTAAGCTAAGTGTCAGAACCTCTGCATCAACTGAAGCTGCTCAAACATAGACTCGAACCCATATAAAAACCATTCAATTGTACGTGAATTAGACCAGCATAATGAACACATCAAGACTTTTGTACAGTCGATTATAATAAGTCGTCAGCAGTAATACCAGCGAGCCAGCGCATAGCATCCAGAAGCATACACGACTCAGTCTTTTGACACATCAGCACCTACGCCTTGTTCTCATACATCACAACCGGATATTCACATGTCCGGTAAAGAGTCTACGGACGAAAAAGCATGGTATATGTCAGCATGGATACTTATAACCAGAGACTTAAGAACGACGTACCTTTACGAAACGTCCTCCCGCACTTCGTACAATGAATCTCACCCTCAACTAAATCTCTAAACCTTTCCGCCAAAGAATTACAATTTTCATCACCACCACTTCCACAAACTCCAGAACACAGGTCATGGCGTAAGACCTGGAGGGGTGTCCCGCTGTTGTGCCTCAGTTGCAGGAAACGATAGAGGATTCTGTCTAGCTGTGAGGGATAGCTAGTTTCTTGGGCGGTTTGCCGTACGAGGATGAGTTCTGACACGTTGGGAAAGGTTGCCTCGGCATATTTAGCGCCGTAGACTTCGACAGGCAGCATCTTGTCCTTTGATTCGCGGGAACCGATGTAAGCTGAAAGAACTCCAACAGCCGCGCCCCAAGACAGTGTCAAAGCCCTCAAGCTCGAAAACATGACCAAGAGCTTTAACCACCGACGCTCGATATATAACGCAAGGTTACGCGCGTCTTCAGGTGCAGATATCCAGAGCTTCTTGACGTCGTCCAAGGGCAGGCGTCCGGCGAAAAGGATGACGTCGTCCAGATCTGGCTCATTCACAACCTCTCCATTCAGGTCATGTTTCTCCGTATATTCTAGGCTGAAATCGAATGTCGACAGCTTCGGGTTGCGTGCGGGGGGTTCGTGAGCGCGGTGCCAGTCTTGAAGGAGAGCGCCCGAGGACCATCCCCTCACCTCGTATTTATGGTGATCGAAGTGAATGCAGAGGTCCGAGATGATATCGCCAATATCTCGCCGGCCATGGACATAGCCACCTAGAATATAGAGCGCGATCACCAAGAAGGGGTCGATGACCTCTACGACGTCCACGCAGAAGCGTACGAACCATCGCGGAGGGGAAGGGAACTCAATGCAATTAAAAATCAGAGCAAAGTCGGTGACCAGGGCGGATGGGATCTCAAAGAAAGTGAGATTCGGAAGTACGACGGGTAATTTGCCCTCTAACTTTTCCATAACCTCTTGTACGACCTCCAAAATGTCACCAGCGAATGACATGTCGAACGAGAGGGTTTCGAGGACAGGGGCGTGTTTAAGGATGAGGAGGATGTGTTGATGGAACATGATGGCGTCGAGGTGAAGGTGCTGTATGGTGCTTAGTAGACTATAGTCGTGTTGGATATCGAATCCTCGGCGCAGCACGAGCGTATGGAGCTTAGGCATGTAGGTGAAAAGACCTTTGTTTAACCAGCGATAATCTGAGGAATATTTTGAATCCAGGAGTTCGATGCGAGTCAACTCGGGGGCCGGCCATTGAAACCACGTTTCCACGAAACCGTCCCAAAGTTCATCATAATCACCACACATATCGAGCGAAAAGTCACAGACTCTAGGCAGGTTGTCGGACAGAAGGTAAAACAGGTCAATATCGAGGAAGACGGAGGCAGTAGTGTGGAGGGTCAAGGGGAGGGTTCCAGATCGGTTAAGGTACGTCGTGATCCAGGGCGCATTGAGCCCTCTAGGAATATGAGACCAGAGCTCGGGCGTACGGATGGCGACGTTATGCCAGTAGCTGCAGACCTGGGAGTAAGACGCAAAACATGGGGCAACTGTTCCAGTAGAATCAACCGACAGAGCAGGAATATGGCGAAAGATCAGTCGAAGAACCTCGACTGGGAGTTCGTAGACAGGCCCCCGGGTGAAAGATGGACGTGTCGAGAAAGATTCGGAGGATATTTGCGCTGGTCTTCGTGACACAGTAGGTGAGCTCGAGCCTGTTAAATAAAAATGATTCGAGCCTATTAAATAGAAAGTATTCGTGAGTTGTTGAGATCATGGAGATGTTTCCAGAAAAAAGTGAAAAGTACCGATCAGGCGAGGTCCGCGAGGACGTCGTGATAAAGCAGAACGAGAACCACGGGCAGCCTCCAGGATTGTTATTGGCTGCATTCTGTAGACAAGTTATGAGAGTTTCTGACGGTTGACAGGTCGTAGAAATCAAGTAGGAGAAGAACTTGTGTGACAGTACGGAACGGAAGAGTTGGTGGTTGGGACACAAGTTCGATCAGCGCGTCGACACAACCCACCGGCCTCGGATAAATGCGGGCGGAGATTGAACACGTCCCGGTGTCCGATTGTGGCGTGAAGCTTTTTTTGGTCTATTCTCCTCACTATTACAGTCGTTTCGCCATCGCTTTATTTCATCTGTCCTCTAGTATATCAAAAGAATTCTCTAAATGGCGACACCAACACAAGAGGACTACGAAGAGCTTATCCTCTCATGCCGCTACGGTGATCGCGAAGATGTTGAATCCTTCATCTCTCAGTTCGGGGTAGATCATCTCGCCACAGCGAGGGACGACAACGGAAACACGATACTGCATATGGCGGCTGCCAATGGTCATACAGGTATGTCGATATCATTGTTTTCTTCCCATTCACCGTCGTGTTTCTTCCTGTCCGTCCGCCTTCAACCTCAAAATCTTCCGTTCCATCTGACCTGTTAATCCACTAAAGATCCCCCCTAATTCACCATTTTCCACATGTCGCCCCCGGTAACATACAGATCTCGTCAAATACATCCTCCCACAAATCCCAAAATCATCCCTCCCCGTCCTTCTCCGTGCACAAAACAACTCAGGGTCGACAGCCCTGCATTGGGCCGCTCTCAACGCTCACCTCGAGACTTGTCAGTCCATCGTAGGGTTCGAAGCAGGCGAGGGTACAGGAGTCGAGCTCCTCGAGATACGAAATGTTATTGGTGATACTGAGAATGAGAAGGGTGTGGAAAAGGAAGGAAAGAATGAGGAAAGAGAGGGTGGGAATGGAAGGAGTGTGCTTGGTGTGGCGGAGGAGGCTGGATGGGAAGAAGGAGCAAGATGGATGGTCAGTGTCATGCGGTTGGGCGAAGGGACCGGAGAGGGTGCTGGAGGTAAGTCGAAGGAAGGGGACGGTGGAGATGAAGCAGGAGACGAGGATGAGAAGTTTGAGGGAGGTGAAGTGGAGGTGGAGATTGAGGATGCGGATGGTGGGATTGCGAGGATGAGTCTGGGGCCGAATGGGGCGAAGCCTGTGGAAGTGGTTACGCCACCAGCGACGGAAGAGGCGAAGTCATGATGTTGATGGGGCTGGGTAGGTTGTTGAAAAAGTACGTCGTCTGCCTACTTGCATTCGACAACCCATCTTCTGACCATCGTTTCATGAAAGATTGCTGTATCTTGTATCATCTTGTATCCACCATCGAGACCTTGTGTAGGTTCCCCTATTCAGAAGTCTCAATCTAAATTCCGATCAAGGCGATGGGTGTTGGATCGTCGTTTGCATCCGATCACTATTCACCGAATACCGGTTACATTCTTGCTTGACTTCGCATCTCTTCAGAGTCCAATGCTCACTCCTGCTCAACAACTAGGATCGCAGTCCATTGCATAGCCCAGGATGATGTCGCTTTTTCGCCCACCGGTCTTCCTCTTCTCCGAACAAATAGTTGGAGCTATTGACAGCCTTCATGCGACTCTCTGGCAACAGAATACGTTACCCTCAACCTTTTATTGCACGGTCTTGTTTCATTCGGTGGTCAATTTTCCTGATGCACGGGTGGCAGGTGGGCCACACGCCACATAGCTTCCCCAATGCTCAAGTTCCGGATTACTTACAGAGCAACGAACAGGACCGGCACCACAAATCCCGGCTCTTATTGCGATACCACCCCCTCATCTTTCCTCTCGGAGATCTCGAGTCCCTGTCCATGCTTTTTTCTCGAGTGCGATCATCACGCTTGTCAGTGGCACTGGCATTGGCAGGAGACGTCGGTGACTCTAAACTGATCGCGATGACGATTTCAACGTTGAATTTTGCACTGATATTCGGTCACTTGGCTTAAGCAGAGCTTGAGGCACTCACTGAGTACTGGTTTGTGGCCGGATCTGCCGAACCGCCAACGTCACGGTCCCGAACGAGAAGGGATGGACTGTCGGAAAAAGGAGTATTCCTTCTAGTGCCTCCATGGGTACCTATCCTGCGTGCAACGCGCCCGAGTGTATGTCTTGTCAACTTGAAGGCGTCTGCGTCGTCAGGTGTCGTAAAAGACACCTCCAGTAAGTATCTCTCTTGACTCTGAGGCAACATACCATCAAGATGAATTTGAATACTTCTCATGGCTGTAAGTATGTAAGAGCGAGTGAATTTCTAAGAAAAGAAAGGCAGTCCGCAGTGCGATTGTGTTTAGAGCGAAGAGCCGGGTCCGGTATCGCATGTTGATCGTATAGGTCTTCGCTCTCCACTTCTGCATGCGCACCGCATCAAGGCATCAAGGATCCAGAATGCATCAGTTCGAATTCCAAGGGCTCGCAATCTTGTCTCACCCCTCATGCAGATATGGCCGAATGGACGAACAGAGCAGTGGAACAAAATACAGATGAGACAAGGTAAACTTTCCGGAGTATTTTCACTGTAAAGATGTCGATATGGGTCGCAAGTCGGCCATTCCAATGCGGCCGCACCTTAGCGACGATTGTGCTACGCGTCTACTTACCACAAATGGCTAAGGGTTTTGAGCAAGAACTTGCAAGAACGTCACACGAGGTACGCTACTGTAACGTTATTTGAACGTTATGTAGCACGTACTGCCGCCCGTGGACGGCTCCATTCTGTGCCACCCGAGTCTGTTTTGAATCCATCACCATGTCGTCGGCACAGGTCGCTTTTTTGAATCCAAGCTTCTCGAGTCCCAAGAGGAAAAGGGGCACTCTCTGGATTCGGGCTCGGAGAAGCTTGAGCCTCATGACCTTCTTCTTCTCCCCTTCCCCACACGCCCGTCGGACGCGAGCTTCAGGACAATAACCCGTTCGGGACTACACTCTTCTTTCTTTTCGACTTCGACCTTGATCATCTTGCCACTTGTTCTCGTTGCTGCTGTTGTTGTTGCAGACGACGACGACGACGTCAAAATCTCGGGCTACAGCTGTTGAGACGACCGGGACCTGTTCGTGTGGCAACGTCGCAGTACCGAGGTTGACTTGTGTCGTAGCCACGGCAAACGCACGAACTTTTGAAGGGATAGCGCTTGGCGACAAATCACGTTCCTCGAGCACTATTCCTCTGACCAACTAACGGTACTCGAAGGAACGTGAACAGGAGAATATGTCGCATACTACCCCACAGAGCTATCTTGTTTGGTCCCTGCTGTCCAGTCTGGTGAGTCTTTCACGGTGCTGTGTCTCGAGGTTACTCGGTTGTGGCTGATACACTTTTGGGTTACCTCGTCAATTTGTATCTCGCTTGTGGTCGTTATCGTGCGTGCGCGTCGTGTACGACATACGGGATGTGCTTGCCGTGACTTAGCTCGGAGTGTTTCTTGTCTTCCATCTGTGGAGATTCGACAGGTTCAAGTGCTTGAGGTACGTCTCTCGTTAGATAGATGTCCTAGGCGCCAAACTGAGGCCCACGTTATTCATGCATAGATGGAGCAGCACTAGTTCGCAATCGGGCGCGTTCAAGCGTCTCATGACAGTATGTCTCAGTATCTTCCTACCATGTCCCAGCTCTTTCTTGCACGTTCTTCTTGTCATTTTCAACTCCTTCCATGAAGTTGCTGCTCTTGTATGACATTGGAATGCTGACCGATCATATCTCTACAGTACTCCTATCTCCTCAGTGTACCACTCATCATAGTGTACTCTATCGGTTTCGCGGTCATCAAGTACGGCGAAGGATTCGTTCAGCTTCCTGCGCTTGGTAGTGAGTCCGATATCCTCGCCAGCCCACTCATCCACTCCTTCCGAATAGCACAGCTTAAATCGCAACCAACCCGCACTTCTCGCACTCTGCCCTTGTTCCATAATGTCTGACTGATTGACATTTCCCCGTCTCACGACGATCTTCATTCCATTCCGTCTCTACACGTTCCATTATTCCTCAATACCCCGCTCTGACATCGCATCTGGTCCATTATGAAACACAGTCGTCCCAACTCCGCATCAACTATGGTCCAATTCTCATCAACGGGCGATCCTTCCACTCTATCTCTGTATATCGCTAGGATGGGCACTTGAAATGTACGTTTTTATTTTTGCTCTTTCGGTCTCCCGAGAACATTTTGCGCTCTGCCCGACCTTCATTGTTCATCCTGTGTCCTCTGTGACCGCTCCGTGTCCCGCTCCAGTTGCACTGTTTTAGAGCACAGGGGCATGGGAGCAGAAGGGTGATTTAGGTGCAGGAGATGCGGAGAATTGAGATCGTGGTATTGTACTTAGACTTGGAAGCCGCCTTATACCAACTATCTGCAACTCAATCCAACCCTTCTATAACAAAAACTAATACTACTCTTACCTTTGCTCCACGGTGCAGGGTAACACATCTCGAAGGTTCGTGGTCTTCAATCTGGCATTCCTATCGTCAAGCTGATAGTCACTCCCTCCTCTGTCAACACTACCATCCCACTCATACACAAACGTGCATCCACTCATCCTCCACCCCATCATCTCCTCGGACCCGGGTACAATAGAGCTATGTTTCTGGCTCTTCGTGGTAAACGCGGGTGCAGTCCAGCGTGACTGGTTCCGAAGTCGGTATTTCAAGACATGGGCGATGGGAAGTGTGGTTGCGGTGCTATATATGCCGCTCGTGACGATCTTTACGAGAAGTGATCCACTGAGGGTGAGTTAGTGCCTTCCTTATATCTGCCCTTCCATTCCCTTCTACAACCATGCTGTTTTCAAGATACGTGATACTGATAGCGAAAAGGATGTGGCAATGTGGCACTGACGAATAATTTTTGATTGGAAGGATAGTCAGAGAGCTGTATTTTCTTAGCCGGAAGTCTGGGGAGTTTGACGTTGACGGTATGGTTTATACCGGTTCTGTACGTCTCAAGGGCTTATTACCTCTCGAAATTTACTAAACTGCAATGTTGTAGATGGCGATTCCCGTCTTTTCTGGAGAACCTTGAGCAGGAAGGAGTCGATATGGGAACGATCGTGCGATTGACCAAGTTTCATGAGCTTAACGTACGTTCTTCAAATGTCGTTTCCTTCTGTCTTTTGGTCGGACTATGACGAAGAATTGTGCATTGAATGTATTAGGCCATCCGGGTCATGTTTCGCTTCCTATTCGCTGCTCCGCTTCTCATCCTCGCTGTTGACGGTATCCGGCCGCACCAACATGTTAACGAAAGCTTGATCGGGACAGGTAAGCTCCATTCGTGTCTTGGTGCGTAAATGAACCATGAAACGCTGATGGTTGACTGTTGCTCGACAGACTTCCTCGCCATGACCTCCGCATTCGGAGTCGTTGTCTCTTCGGGCCTAACACTCGTTGTATGTCGCCCCGTTCTGTAACCATAACAAATACTCATGCCCCCGTCAAAATCAATCTCGCGCCATGAAGATATTCTTCCCCCGCTCAATCGAATGCGAAATCGCTGCCAGACGCAAAGCAAAAGCGTTCAAATCACTCACACCGTTCACGCAAACCGCTCCCAATCCTACCAACACCAACACTCTATCCACCACGCCACACGATCGCAGGGCTTCGCCTGGGTACAACAGTGGCAACGACCGAGATGGTAGGGGAGATAGGGATGACCCGTATTCGAGCAGACGAGACTTGCGTCGGTCACGGAGTTCGATAGACAAGGATGTGGCGAAATTCGATGATGTTGATGATGCATCGGTGAGGATGCCTGCGACTGGCCAACTAAACTATCGGGACGGTATCGACGAAGGGGCACGTCAGAGGCAAGACCATGAAGTTCAACCACCCGCGTTCTCTGCAGTCGAGTTTCCCATTCGCACAAGGCCTGCTACCACAGACCTCGAATCCGGCACCCTCCCGCCTCTCAAAACCGACTTCGATCATCGTCCCGTAACGGCCAGCTCTCGTCGTCAAACAGCTAGCACTAACACGAGAGGTTTGGGCTTTGGAAGACGAGCAACTATGGAGAGTTTGAGGTCTGCTTGGGACGAGGGTCGAGAGAGGGAGGGACAGGATCCGTCGATGTTGATGCCAGATAGCGGAAGGGAAAGAAGGAGTGTAGACGGGATGACGGTCATGACGGCTGACGATCCCTTCGGTTCTCCGACATTGACACTCCCTTCGTATACCTTCACTGCGCCACAACATTCATTCCCGACCGCACACCTGGATAACCCGTTGCCGTCGACCAATTGGAATCACAGTGGCAATGTTGGGGTTCATTCATCTTCTGCAGCGATCGCGAACGAGCCACCACCTCCGAATCCTTTCAATAGCCCTTCGTCGTCGATCTACGCCGGATCACCGCTTGTAGCGGCTTCGCCCTCGAATATATCCTCACCACAGGCCACGATTGCGTCTGCCGTCAATTGGAACAGTCCGTCGCAATCGTCCCATGCACATGCCCCACCGCTCTCGCATTCTGTGTCGGATCCTCAGCCCCGAATCACACCACTTAAACTCGAACCGAATCGCAGGCCACCAGAACCCCAGAGCTCGACGATGAAGAAAAAATCGAGTGTGGATAGATTGTTGATGCTCCAGAGGAAACCGAGCGCGAGTGCTGTGAGGGAGAATATCGAGATGAAAGAGAGCCCGGCGGGTTTGAGTCGGCCGCAGGGGATAGATCGCGAACTGACGACGGAGGGTGAGAGGGGAGTGTCGAGGCATGGGACAGGGACCGGGAGTGGATCAGGCACAGGGAGTGGGAGTCGGAGTCAGAGTGCGTTGGGATCATTGTTGTTGACGGAGGGAAATTTGGAGCGGCATAACACGGATGGGTCTTCGACGACCGCGACCGTAGTAGGCGCCGGGTCAGGTATAGGGACTACGAAGGTGCAGAGCCCGTTGGTGCCCAACAGACGCAAAAAGGAGGAGCCACCGACGACGTCGAGGTCGAAGGTAAAGGCGAAGGAAGTGAGAGAAAGGAGGGAGATAGACAGGGGGAGAGACGAGGTAGAGGTCGGATTGAGGGAGAGGGAGAGCGTGCACTTCGTGGCTGGATTTAGGTCGCCTATAGGTGTGTTTCGTTTAGAAGCTATATATTTCTTTTGGGTCTTCCACTGATCAATTTCTTCCTTTGAACAAAACTAGACATGCGAAGGGGAGATGGGAACTCTTCGGATGACTAGTAGGGGCTGTGTGTTTATTATTGATCTGTATAACTATATGAGTGTCGCGCTACTATCTATACACATGATTATTTTCCTAAAAAACAAACTGCTGCATCCCCGGCTCTCTGTTGTTTTCGTGCTGCTTCTCCGGCGACTCGGACGCAAGTTCAAGTTGTTCGCTTCCATCTACGGCGGAGATATTCTGGTTTGAACCTCCCATCCTAGGTTTTTAGAGTTTAAAATAAACTGTTTGCTTGAACATCACTCGCCAATTGGCTTGGGGCTTAAAACCGTCTTAAGGATGGTCGACTCAAGGGTTCATCGTGGCAAGACCGGACGCCACCGCCACAATCGGGCTCGAGAAAACGGAACCAACCGGAGCCGCGCGCTCTTCACAAGACGTCGACCTCTCACCGCGACCACCAATTTTGCCCTTCGCCGTCGAATACAAGTGGAATATTCGCGTTTCACGCTTCGTCTTCACCCATTTCTCGCGTCGTTTATATGCAAGTGTATCTAGTTCATCTCCAAAATATGTTTGCGCACGAGCTAGCTCACACCTCGTCACGATAGCTTCCACTGAAGATCTCGCTTTATTCAACTTCACATCTATATTAGTAGGCTCCGCCTCATGGATGGTGAGTAACGGTAGTTTAGCGCGCCGTGAAAATACTCAAAAAAGCCATAGGCTCCACTGTATCATCTACTGCCATGGATTGTTCTTCAGATGATAATCCCGTCTCGAGCACTCAGTTGGTCGCTCTCCGAGGACCAAGCCCACCGTTGGCGTCTAATACTACCTATATATCACGAGTGCCCTTCGAGGTGCTCCAAATCATCTTTGCTACTCATCTGAAGTGTTCTATCGGTGAAGAAGAGCGCGCACATCAATGGTTCGCTTACTCGCAAGTCTGCCGTCAGTGGCGCGAAGTCTCATTACGATCGCCACACCTCTGGTCTCGCATCACCCAGGACCTTTCAGCTCCATGGGTCGTCGCCCATTTCGAACGTTCTGGAACGCAGCCGATTGACGTCGACTTCAGCTGCGATGCATTTCAGGCGGGAAACCTCTTCTCCCTGTTGCGCTTTAACATGCACAGGGTCCGCGGTCTTTCATTCGTTTGGGGACCCGAGGACAGTTCCTCCGGCGATCCCATGGACGAAATTCTGGACCTTCCGGCTCCGTCGCTGGAGAGATTTCTTGCCGTCGAAGAAACGGGAAACATCGACTGGGAGTTACCCGACGCAATGTTCGCCGGCAACTCTCCAAGGTTACACATTGTCGATCTCAGTCAAGGGTTCCGCATTCGCTCACAATGCTCCCTCCTTCCGCATCTTCACAATCTGAGCCTCGGAGGGCTCATATCATCGATTGGAATTGTTCCGATCATCGCGCGCACGCCATCACTCGAGACGTTGAAATTCACGATGTTGATGAGTCCTGACGACACGGAGGCGATCGAGGAGGCCATGGCGGAGCTTTCGGATACTACCATCCCTATTGAGCTCCCGAATCTAAAGCGACTCGAGATCGAAGACGGCTTTGTGACCGACTTCCTACGCATCATGGACCTCGTTCGCATACCACTGGGCACCCACTGGCGCATCCACTTCGAACCTACAACTCATGTACGCGATATATCATGGTTCCGCGCCCTGGACATTTTTTCGTCACACGTCCATCGCAGACAGGAAAGCTATGGTCCGCTATCAGACCTACATGTTGGAGTCGGCCAAAGGTGCATGGCGATATCCGGATGGCTGGCGAGTGAAGCGCGCGCGAATTGGTATAACACAGTCAGAGCTTCAAACTGGCGAGAGGAGTTCAGCGCCTTCGTGCTTCAATTGCGTTATAGCTACAAACTCAACCAAACTGACACGAGCCGATCTAAATCAATCCCATTCGACGAAGTCGACGACATGCTTCAGCGGCTTCCACTCAATGGCCTTACTAATGCCTGGCTTGAGACAAACGGATGGCCACCTAGACACGACCCAGATCTATCGATACAGTGCGATAGTCCCTCCCGCTGGCGTCCCATCCTTTCCAAGCTATCAGGCGTTCGCACTCTCAGACTCTCACGCGGTGTCATATACGGCGTACTTCGCGCCTTGACATTCGCTCTCGATGGCACTTTGTCGTCTTCCACTCCTGCGGAAGTTCAGAGGCTGGAACTTGACCGCCTACAGGAGTTGACTCTCGACATAGATGACCAGTACCAATATCCTCCCGAGGTTGCCGATGCAAGCCCTTCCACCGTTGCAAGATACCTCTATCGCTACGTTCTGCTGAGGTATCAGATGCTTTTACCTATCCAAATCATTCGCCATGATCTCTGCTCGACCATCTGCTCGTCGGAGACCACCATGGAAGCGCTAGCATATCTTGTGGAAGAGGGCGTGTATTGCATCAAGTGTGGGAAGTCGATCTTGACCAGTAAGTTCTCGATGTTTGTCGTTCGCTCCGTCGCTGAATGCAGACTCCCCCCCAGACTCACTTGGCCCCATGGTCAAATTCCAAGTCGTCGTAGAGCAGGAATCTGGCGAGACTCAGAAAGTGGTCTTCTATCGGCGACCGCAGTATGAGCCTCGAGCTATTAAGCCGTTTGTATGCACCATGCTCGACCTAGATCTCGAGGAGTGAGTCTTCATGTTTTTCGCTCCCTTGCATCAGGTTATTGACCGTCAGTGCCACAGCGCAAAGCTTGTCCCTGAAGGCGCCATAGACGGCATCCCGACGGTAAGGCTTCTCCATCTGACGCCAGATCAGGTGCGTCAACTGGTGGACGGGGTTGTTAGAAGGGTTATAGGAGACGAGTTGATATAGGTGTGAGTCTTGTCCATTGAGCCTGTACACTCTTCGACATTTCGCGGGAGTCACGACCGATACCGTTACTAACTATTGGCGATGTGCATAGTCATACAACGCCCAACTGTAACTCCTGTTCATACATTGTGAACTGAAGTTCGGAGTAGAAGCCTTTCGCTGGCTCAAAATCAGCAAGTTAGAGTGTGAAGTCCGACACAGGAGTCGACAGGCGGGCTTTCGTTCCTTTTGTCTCTCACCGCGCCTATAGTAGCTTGATAACATGTCGACCCCCTACAGCCCGACAGGGCATGATCTTGTTCTCCACAGTACGGGCGCCATTCTGATCGCAGAATTGACACAGGCGGTCCTCTTGTGATATAGAGTCGAGGATGGCACGAGGAACTCACTGGCAGCGCAGTCGCTCGATGGCCAGTCCATGGCTCCGTGTAAGACGATCGCAGGCGTGCGGCGTCCCTCATAGCAGTTATAAGAGATTCTACCACACATGGTGCAAGGTCTTCATGAAAGACGAATACAATCCATTCTGGGTCAAGGGAGTCGAGCGCATTGGAGAGGTTGCCGACTCAGCTCGACCTTCCGCTTCTTGCAAGTCCCAAGGATCGGAATCATTAAGAGCGCAGCGAGGTAGGCGATGACTTTGGAGAGTATTGTTCGTCTGGAACTGCACTGGTCTGACCTGGTCAACACCCAGTTAGGATACACTCATCAGACCCCGATCGGAGAGCACTGACTTTTATTTTGACCCAGGTCAAGGGCCATCCATCCTCAGTCTCATCGCACATCTTTCCGATCACTCCTCCATCTTCTCTCCACTTCGATCGCGCTACGATCGTTTTGATGAGTGTAACATGTGTACAGCGACAGATCAAGATGAGACCCGGGTGGTGCGCGCCAGTTCTCGGTGTGGAACATAACACTCTAATACTCAAGGGCAAGGGGTTCTCCTCCGTCTTCTCAACCTCTATATTTATCTCCTGCGTGGCGCACACCGCAACGCCTCGGACGTGCGGTATTCGTGCTGTGCACCACAAAAACCTAGAGGTTGTATATAAACCTTGAGAGCACGATCAAAAAGTTTCATCTGCACTTTCTTCCTTTACTAGCTTTCCATTTTCCCTTCAGTGGTGCGGGCCTTCTCCTTTTTATACTTGTGCACGTTGTCCCCGAATCTCATCGAATCATTGACTTCTCGCAGCTCACTAGCATCTACGAGTCAAGCATCGAGAAGGCGGCTTCCATCTTCGTCCTGGGTATCCCAGCAACCCTGCAGAATCCCTCCGTTATTCTCCTCCAGAGATCACGCATGGAGCTGGCATCTCCACCCAGGCTTACACCGATGTGGTTTGGAAAATACCGTGAATATCGCACGCCTTACTGCGACATCGACGAAAGCTACAAACAATGGTGTTTGCAGGAGGCTCAGTCGCGTCACTCGTGGGTAAGTTTAGTCTGCCTTAAGAACGAAAATACATACCGTTGGCTCGTGTCGTATAAATTGGGTTTCCCACTGAAATAATATGAAGTACGATGATTTCAAGAGGCTGCACCAGCTGGTCGACGGACATAAAAGACCCGGAGAAGTTGTCATGTTTTTCGGGAAATTCTATGGCTGCACAATTGCTGAAGTATATCAGCATCAGCTGTACTGGCGTTGGTATTTACAGCCGGCACACAGGGAATGGAAAAAGGTGAGTGTTCCTGAATTTTCTGGATGTTAAATGACGCAGACGAATGGAACCAGTACAATCAATTCCAACGCATGATAAACGACTATCAGGAATATATGGAGGCTCACGGGCACAAGCTCAAATATCGTCGAGCGACTGAACTCAGCAGAAGAAGACGTAAGTAGCTGAGTAGTCACATCTTTGTTAGCATACTCCGACTGTTACACGTTACAGGAGGAACAAAGAAGTGCATGGTCGCTCAACCACGCTCTTCCGCGAAGAAATCCAAACAGAATACTGGTAACAAGAAAGGTGAAGGGCACCCGAGGTTCCATCCATACTCCTTACGACCTTCTCCTTATTGATATCTCGCTTTATAATTTTTCTTAGTTACGTGAGGTTGAGTACTATTACTTTGTGGACCGTCACGGACGACTTTCTTCCGTGTAGACACACCGTTAATCTCGTTAATCCTTTCTATGGCTCGTAGTTGATGTATGTATATATGACTGGAACGTAGCTACGAAGTAGCACAGGGGATATGATAGGAGGATCATATAAGTATATTACATTATCATTAGCTCTTCTTTGCGCTTAGGGGATGGATCGTCTAGTTGAGAGGGTGAAACAATCACAGACGCATTTAGTAGTAACGTCGGGAGATTCAAGTTGAGAGAGTCGACTCGCAAGTTGTACTCTGTGTCCAGCGTTATATCCACTTATATACTTTATCATGGCTATAGCCCTCATTCATGAAAATAAAATGTCTTGCGGACTAAGTACTTACCAACTCATACCCTTGCGATGTGAAGAGGACAGTGTCCAAGCGGATGAGGGTTTGCTTTGATTTGGCGAAAGCGGCGAACATTAGAGGCGCCGAAAAACCGGGCTTTCCACGTGGCGCAAGCGCCCGTGCTCAGTTCAACGCCACGATTCGCTCGTCTCGACATTTGCCTTCCCTCTCATCTCTGCTTTCTCTTCACGCCTTGGTTCTACCTTGTAACTCTCTGTCTCACAACTACTAGTTCAATATGTCCACAGCACATAGACCGACATGGGACCCCGCACAGGCGAAAGATGTCAAAGGTGGCTCGCGCCAGTTCTCGGTACGGGACATGGCTGCTCATACGAAGTTGAAGTTTCGGTGCGTCAAAGTCTACATACGACTACTTCTCGTCTGACATTTTGTCTCTTGATGGTGGATTGCGACTACCTTTGACGTGTACAGTCAAGCAGGTCAAACATCTACTGACGAAGTAAAGAAACGCGACCTCCGCACTGAGCTACTCGAAGCAGAGATGGAAGCCCGTAACAAGAAGCGAAAGGCAGAAGGTAAACCATTAGAAGAGGCGCCGAAGTCGGCTGGGGCGATTACGGCCGGTGGTGAGGATGAGGAGGCAAATAAGCGGAGGAAGCTGCTGCAACAGGCGCTGGAGATGGACAAAGACGAGGATAGCGACAGTGACGAGGATGAGGGGAAGGAGAAAGGAGATGGAGATGGAGAGAAGGCGAAAGGGAAGGGAAAGGAGAAGGAGAAGGACAGTGATGAGAGGTGAGTTTCGCCCTTGGTTTCTATCTTGTCTTTGCATGGAGGGTCATGCCCGAGCTACGTTGCTAGTAAGCAACCAAGGCTTATGAACTCTAGTATCATGAGTGGACACCGCTCTTTATTCCCAAATATTTACCTCGTCGTCATTTACTTGATTTGCCCTTCTTGCACACCTGACTCTATCCTAACTAACTATGCGAACCTCCCTTCTCTCCTCAGTGACTCAGATGAAGATTCAGACGAAGAAGATGACACTGCCGAGCTCCTTCGCGAACTGGAAAAAATCAAACGCGAACGGGCGGAAGAAAAGGAACGGCTCGAGCGAGAACAGAATGCTTCACAACAGGCTGAACGGGACGCCGAAATCGCGACATCGAATCCACTGTTGAACCTGGCTGCAGCTTTGGGACAGGGTCCGAATAATGGAGTGGGAGTTAGCACGACGGCGCCAGGGACGTTTGCTGTGAAGAGGAGATGGGACGATGGTGAGTCACTTTTCTTCCATAGTTTTCTGCAGACAGGTTTGCGACGATGTGAGGTGCATTGGTTGTGCCGTGCTGACGGTTTGTTGCCGCGACGTTGTCTTTAGACTTGATCTTCAAGAACCAAGCCATTAGCCAGCGAGACAAGGACAACCGAAAGGGCGAATTCGTGAACGATCTTCTCCGGACAGAGTTCCACAAGTGCGTCTACTTCTCTTCGGTTTGGAGGCTTTTTGCGTCCATCCACTACACAAGGTCTATGTCGCTAATGGACCATTTCTCGCTTTTCAATAGGAAATTCATGTCGCGCTTCATCAAATGATTACATTCGTTCTTCTGTCTATTTTGGCTCCTTCGCGTTGTATATCTGTATAATCTCTATTTCTTTGCGTATCGACATTTTTACCGTTGTGGCACCTTTGCGAACCGTTGTTATCTGGCTCAACAGTCCATCGTTTCTGGTTTCAACCTCGTCTGAATGGCTCTACGCTAGCAAAGCACCATCCTGAAGTCGGAGGGTGTGGCCCAGGTGTCCCGTGTCGCGGCTACAAATTGAATCTCCGCTTAAAAATTGTTGATGGCACTCCTTGAATTTCAAACGAACGACAAGTTGAGAACCACCCTTTTTGGAGACGATGTGCTGTATCTGAGACTCCTTTTCCTTCTTACCCATCCTCAACTCAGCCCTTCGCAGGCTTAATGGAAGTTTTTGGGCATAAACTTCACACTTGGTTGCGGTCTTACGGGTCAGTTCTTCACTGCACAATATGTCTTCAATAAGTTACGCTTCGTGGCGTACTGCTCACCGTTCGGATCGTGCTAACTTCAGAGAGTAGATTACAATCAGGTTCACATACTGAACTCACCAATACGTCTACACACATTGCTCCAGTTCAAGGTAGAGTTCCCTTTCGTCGCTTCACTACCCGTTTCACCAACTTAGCCAGCCTTAACTGAATCGACTGCTGGTGTAGACGTAGAACTACCGAAAGACCAGTCTTCAAAAACTCAACAAGACTCCACCACTGGTCTGACATTTCTTCCTCCTCCCCCAATATCCCGATTACCGGTAGAAATCTTTCGGATCGTCTTCTCCTATATCGTCTCCTCGAGCATTGCGACAGACGACTCGGAGCGCGATGCCCAGTGGTATGCGTACTCGCAAGTATGTAGCCACTGGCGCAACATCTCCCTTCGCTCGCCTTCTCTCTGGACGACCATCACAAAAGATACCCCGGCTACGTGGATAAGCATATTCCTCGACCGATCCGCCTCGCAGCCGCTTTTCGTTTATTTCCTCGTTCGGAAATACTTAGAGCAGGACCGTTTCGCGCGCCTCTCCTGCGAGATGCATCGGGTTCGCGAACTGACGATGGACTTAGAGCACTTAGGTGCTGAAACAGATTACTTTCCATCCGGAGTAGAGGTTGCTCTATCGAAGCCGGCTCCTGTCCTCGAAACTTTCATCGCTATCGATCACTCTGCTGACTGGGATTGGGAGCTTCCTCGCAAAATGTTCAATGATGAGGCACCACGTTTACACAGCGTGAAATTGGCCGGCTTCATGAAGACTCAGTTGGACACGACGCTTGTTAAACATGCTCGACATCTCGATGGCGGATGGCAACATACGGCGTTTTTTATCGCTCCTATGCTTGTCAACGCACCGTTCGTCGAGACTTTGAAGTACACTATGGGCCCCCACCCGGACTTCGATCCTGAAGTTGAGGAGGTTTTGGGCGGTCTGCGAGACAAGGGTGTACAGTTTCCCTTCGAGCTTCCCCACCTCAGGCGTTTTCAGGTCGACAGATGTATGACCAACGACCTTTTACGATTCCTCGACCATTTCATCATCCCACCTTCCGCCCGCTGGGAGATCAACTTCAACCACCACTGGCACGTCCGGAGCACCTCATGGATTCGCACTTTGGACCTCCTTACTAAGCACATCCACTATCGCCAATCTCCTGAAGTCGCGGGGCCCCTGCACGACCTCAAACTCGATTTGGGCCACCGAATGTTACGTGCGGGTGGGTGGACAGACGGAGTGCTTCCGAAGTATTGGTGCCGCGGGTACCGTGCCCCAGGTTTGGACTACGACCGTGCGGAATTCGATTTCGAACTATACTACAACGAACGGGACTTCTCCCTTCACGCTCATCGAGGAGCATCCATGTATACACCATTCGATGAGACGATCGACCTCTTCACCAGGCTTCCGCTCTCACAAGTTCGAAACGCTTGTTTTACGTCGTACGAGCTCCTACGCAAGGACCACCCTGATATCGCTGACTGCTGCAACGCCCCCTCGATGTGGAGGAGGATACTGCGTCGGTTTCCTGAGTTGAGGACGATGCGGTTGTCGCGGGGCGTGGTGTTTGGCGTTTTCAGAGCGTTGACCGACGAACACGAGGCGAGGAGGCCTGCGTTGCGGTATCTCGAGGAGTTGATCGTCAATATGCGCAATTCGAAGCAGTATCTGGCTTGCGGGTTGTCTCCGGCTAATTCGGTAGCTGTGATGAGACATCTCTACGGTTTCGTCAAGCTGCAGCATGATGCCGGTCGACCTGTGGGGATCTTGCGCACCGATCTCTGTGAGACGTTGTGCTCTTCCGAAATAGCGATGGATGCGTTCGTGGCGCTGGTCAATGTGGGTGTGTACTGTACCCAGTGCGGACGCGAGGTCCTCAGAGGTGCGTGAGATCATATCGACGCGTCTTCGTCATACGCTGATGTTGTCTTCTTCCTGTTTGTAGCCTTGATGGACGACAAGAAGATGGCGAAGATCGAATTCATTGTGCCCTCGGGAGGGGACAACTACGAGAGGCTTGTGATTTATATCAACGAGAAATATGGGTACAGCAGCATCACCGAGTTTGTTTGTGAGTGGTACGGCCTATCAAGCAAAAAGTGCGTGTTTCGTCCGCTGGTGTTTATGGTGTATTAGCTCAACTCGACCCACTTCTTCAGCGCATACTGTGTCTCGATCGATGTTAAGGAAAACACGATGCCTTGCATGGTTGTTCACGTGTCTGATGAGGAAGAAGAGATGGAAGAGGGTGGCCAGTCGAACATGAATCAGGGCTGACCTTTTGTCCTTTGGGACCAATACGAAGGCGCCTTGAATTGAATTTCCCCAAACATTTTCTCGGTTTTGTCAATATCTAACTAACCTATATCAAAGGACGACCAATCACTTATATTGCTCTCAAATCTATGATACTAATCCTTCTCCCGGTTCCCATTTCCTTCAATTGTCAGTTTACTCATTTTGATGATGCTGCGCCACCGCCACTGTGATCACCAGCGTCTTCCACGAATTCCTCCATCAACATCCTGCCACCCACATTGACCGCACCTCCATCTCCAAGTCCGATCATCACAAACATCATCCTTGACCACTTCTTATCATCCGGATTCCTCCACGCATGCATCGTCCCTCTCTGAACGACCACATCTCCCGCCTTTAAGACCCTCTTCTCCCCGCTATCCAACTGCAGTTCCATCTCACCTACGATCACGACTCCGTAGTCCACGCTCATTGTCCTATGCATCGGAGTGATATACCCAGGCGCGGTGTCGACGATACGACAGACCGAGCCGAGCGGGTCCACGAGACCGAGAGGTGGTGATTGTGAGGTGGGGTCGGAGAGAAGGGCACGGTGGAGGTCGAGGTCGGCCGTGTCGACGAGACCGGAGGTAGAGAGAGAAGCGTTGTTGGTCGTGTAGGCTGTGGTCATCTGGAATGCGTCAGGCTTGGCCATATCCCATGATGAGGGTTCGGACGAGTAGAAGGTGGATTTCAGAGTGACTGGATCGTTTGCAGTGATGTGAGTAGTGGGGGGTGGTAAGGGGTCGCTCGAGCTTTTGGGTATTGGTTGTGGTCCAGACATATTGATCTGGAGAAAGTGGTGGTTACTGTAACAGTGCGCTCGGAGGTGATGGCGCAATGTGGATTGATAAGCCCTCTTGGGTGTGAATATTACCCAGCCTACTGATCACATGGATAAATAGAGACGAGGAATTGAAGAAGTCGTGAAGACTCTTGCATATCCACTTCAGGATTGGAAACATGGTTGGGGAGGTACGAGACTCCCGAGGTTGTCGACATACCCTTGAGAACAACGATGAGTAGGTGCGATGTGGACGGGGAGCCACATAAGTTCACGTAGGCGCCACACACGTCTAACACAGGTTGAGCAGCTCGTTAAGCGCAGGTATATTGGCTTCACCTTGCCTGGCCCTCGTAGATGGCGTAGTCTCGATGACAGCAGAATAGTGTAGCTTTTCGTTGATTCGTCCCCGAGATCATGGTGGTACATAGTTGGATGGGTAGAGTCGAAAAAGCTTTGAGCGCCGCCGCCCCGGACACCTGCACGAAAGTCGGAGATCGAAAATTTCTTGTGTGGCGTCTTTCCCCGCCTTGTCCCCGCCTGTCCCCGCCTCAACATCATCTGCATTTCAATCTTCGACTATCGCGTCGAACTACTGGTCGTCAGATGAGGAACACAACGCAGCTCTTGTTTCCCTATATAGGTCCACTGGCTGCTCTAAGCGTATGAACTCTTATCCGGTATCGGGCTGGACTGGCAAAACGTCGTCGTTCTTGTGTTGTTGCTGATATTTCATACCGATGGTCCTAGCGACGCCCTCATTGGGTGGCATGCTGTGGCAGACTCTTGTTCTCTGGAGGCCAAAGCGCGTCAAATTTCCATCAGATAATTTCTCTCACAAGAGTATAAAGGGTGCCTGTGTTATGTCAAAGTTCATTAGCTGTCGCCCTTTCCTGGACCATCTCCTGACGCTCCTGGGCTCCATCCACAACGACTGATCATTCGTGGTATATATCTATGATATGTTTTGCCGGACATTCCAGCTAACCTTGTTTACGCACAGAAGTCACCCAAAAGTACAGCTCCAAGATATGTCTTCGTTTTGCGGATTGCTCTGGGGTCGTTTTCGCTCGAGTCCTTCGGCAACTAGGCAGGCTCCGCATGAATACGCCTGTTCACCCACGCCCTTTCCGTACCCCTCCCCCGACACTATGCTCGATCAACATGCTACACACTACACTCCAGCTCACCCACAGTCCGAAGTTTTGTCTCCGTCGAACACATTTTTCACGATCAAGGAAGCTACACTTTGCAAACGGGGATTTAGAGGAGCCTGGGTTCGCCTTAGCGCGTTGGGACGGTCGAAGCCCGAAGTCTCTACCCCTCAACCTATCACTGCGACATCTATTTCAACAACTACTCCTATTACCGTCGGACGCTCCACTGTGTCGCACAAGCCGCCTGTCATTCATCTCAGCGGTGTAGGCGTCGGAGAGGAAATTATGTTTGGTGACTCTTCCCGTGTCCCGAGTTCGTCACGCCACATCCAGCGCACATCTCCGCCACAGCAACCAACAAGTCCCGGCATCTCAGAGGCGTATACTGAGTTGAATGATCGTGAGGTATGTCATACTCATTCTATGTCTTGCGCTGTTTTGACGTTGTTCAATATACAGGTCTTCATGAGACAGCTCAGAGCAAAGGACGTTCCCCAACAGACGAGAGGCGATCGAGATGTCCCGAGGAAGAGACCTGCCACCAAACCTGCCCGCCCGTTTGTTGACTCGAAAATAAAAGTGTCTTCGAGTCCTTCAGGAGGGGAAAATTCTTCTCGTGGCAAAGGGCGTTCGACATCCACCACATCGGTGATTCCGACCAGGCCCCCTCTGGTTATCTCCAATCCGACCGTCCAGTCTCCTCGATCATCATTGGCGTCGTCTGTGATGAGGCCCCTCTCTCTATTCTCCAACTATCAACCTTCGAAGTCTGGTAGCATTTTCAACTTTGAGCACGGGCAATCCGGTGGGTAGCCCCAGAAATATGTCCACGAGCTTTGATCTAATCGTTCGCCGTAGCTTCCTATGATCTTGAGAAGCAGAAGATGGCTTTGAGTCCGGCGAAAACTCTTGCGATCGGAGTGTTGACTGTACGTCTCCTAGCGAGGATGTGTTTTCATGCTCATGCTGACGTGTCCTATTTTCGCCAGAACCTCGTGGACGCACTCCAAGGCGACAGTCACCCACAAACTAGACTTCTTCTTTCCGATTTGCAGCATAACATCGATGGGTTCACGAGCGTTATTAGTGATATCCTTGACTGGGCTGAGGACCCAAAACGCCACTTGCCGGAAATGGAATCACCTAAGCACGGCACGAGGAGGGTCGACCGTCAATGGTCGCACAAGGAGGACAGTCTCTGGAGCCTGCTCGATCAGTGAGTCCTAACGCGTCTCCACAGATGCTTAGAAAGTGGTGCTTACAGGTGTGCATTGTCGGTCGACAGCTCTATCCAGCTCTTCACCCAGTTTCTGAACGAAGTGGTTCCGGACCATTCGCTACTCAAGGAATACTCGCACGCTGCCAACAGACTTCGAGAATATAAGCGCGCCGCCGCCGCTCTCAATGATGAGCTTCCGGCATATGGCAATGTCGCGAAGAAGCTCTTCCTCAAGCTCCAGGTGAGTAGTGTACTTTCTTGTGTGGAACTGCCGACTCATCCGGCCCATGATGATCAGTTAGCGCACCATACCCGCGTCGAAGTCCGCTTACGGGACCAGTTCAATCATATCCGTGGCGAATCACCATCGCTTCATGATGCGTACAAGTATTGCGTTAAAAGCGGAGACCGTAGAGCACGCCAAGTTGAGTACAAGTACGACCAACGCAAGAACGAACTCCGACAACTCAAGACGAAGATTGAGGCTCGTAGGGATGAGATGAAGAGTCTTCATGAACAACTAGGATCGGAGAAAAGGGTGGAGCAAACGGACGTGGAGAAAGAATGGAAATGGTTGTTGAAGGAACTTCAACCTCCAGTCCTCGATCTGGGTATCTTTGACGAGCGCGACGAATACTGACAATAAAGGCTAGGGATACGATTACGACTGACGAAATACACGACTATACAACGTACTTACGGACTACCTATGATAATATAACTCACGAACTCATGCGCGCACAACAAACGTACAGGACTAAGGATGAGAACTCGTGCCGAAGCAAGTACTCCATAAACCATTCGCTTCAACAGTCCAGAGACATTACGATGACCGGGAATGGACCAGTCGCGGCCTTCATTATGGCCCTGCCTCTCTCACAAAAGCCCATTTTTTGGTACTTTATGACCTGTCATAGTAGCGGCATCAGTAGGGTACGACCTCAAGCAGGTCGAGAGGACATACGTTGACTTCGGCTGGAGTAGAAAGGCCAATGATCTGATCTTGTGTACGGGACTGTATCGAAGAGATGAGAAGATGATATGGAGGTAAAATAGGCAGAGAACATCATACTCACATTACGCACATGCGAGATCATAGCTGAGGCAAATCCACGACGCTGATATTTTGGGTCTGTGGCGAGCTCGCAGCACCAAAAACAACGCTGTCGTTCCTGCGCCATGTCTTGAGCTCAGGACCGGCGAGTTTCATGAAAGGAACCACATACTTCTTCCGTGAACGATCGCGCCATGAGTTCAACAGTAGTTGTATTACACTGTCCGTGCCACCACATCTGCGCCATGGGTGATAACCGATGGAAGAAGTGGTCGAATCCAAGAGCACGTTGCTCATGGCTGAAAGTCGTGATTATCAACGTCAGTGGACTCGAATAGAGTGGTGCAAGGTTACTAACGTGCTGAACATATCATGATCAGGTTCTGTCCACAAACTTATGGACAGAATCTCGTCAGAGCCTTGTGGCTGGACGACGAATATTTCGCCTTCGAGGGCAATTGCTCGTATCATGGCCGTAAAATAATCGGCATGTAAGTTCCAGTTGCCGCCAAGTAGTGCTTTTTGTGAGGGGTCTACAAAATAACTGATCAGAAAAAGACTGACAGGAAATATTTTGGAGGGACCTACATCCTTCGTATGCACGAACAAGGAGGGATGCTGCTTGGGCCACTTGCGCATCTTCGAGACGGTCAATCATCGGCAAGAGATCATTACCGAGGAGCAGATGTACCTGTGATAGAGTGCAACCGTCTCACAAGGGTCTTCAGTCCATTTCGGCTATCGTTTCTTGATGCTGGATCTACAAGGAGATCAGTACTTTGATGTTGGAAAGACAGATAAGTAGTACAGTAGTATGGAGTTGGGTGAACGTACTTGGTGTTAGCGATGATGATGATGGTTGGGAAGAAAGCATGGTACAGAACATATTGAGGACTTGTCGATAGTAGATCAGTCTTTGTGCGGAAGGGCTGTGTTCGCGAATTTAGGATCCTTGTCTCGGGAGGCTCAGAATATATGTGTCTGTACTGAGACAAAGCCCGCTCACACCCGACTTGCTAGAGATAGGGGCAGAGCGGAGCGTCGGCTCCAGAACGGCCGAGACCCTTTCCCGTCATGGGAAGATTCGAACAAAGAAACTCGGAACTGGGCAAGCCAACTGGCGGTGACGTTGAACGGGTTGAACGTTGGAAGGAAGGAAGGCAACCGGTAATAACACTACGAACATCAACAAAACTCCAGCCTCTACACCGAACAACAATAGTCCCACCACTCACTCATCCCTCTCCCACTCCCACCCCTCCTCCGCCCACTCCGGCATCCCCGTCTCGAACACCCCAAGACTAGTCGTATACCTCAACGCATGCAAGAATATATACAGTCTCTCCGGTTTCGGATCCGGATGCAACGGCAGATAGCACTCCGGACAGTACAGCATACCGTCATTCTGATCCGCCACTGCCACCTGCGCGTCGGCCTGTTTTTGGCGGTGGGAGGGCGTGGGACCGTCGGGGGGAGGGGCGACGAAGAGGGAGGGGTGGGGTGGGTCGTTGGCGTGCTCGGCGATGTGGGTTTGCAAGCGTTCGAGGGCCTCGGAGGGGGTTAGTTGGGGCGGGGTCGGTGGCCTGGAGGGTTCGGCGGTTGACAGTTCGGAGGGGATGGATTCGGAGGGAGTGGATTCGGGTGGAGGTTGCGGTGAGGATTGAGAGGGGAGGGAAGAGGATACGGATGCGAGGCCGACTTCGGGGGTGGCGGTTCCGCTTTCTTGTGCTACCTCTACAGGAGGTGGAGCCCCATCCACCCATCCTGGGCCACCGCGTTTCCGTTTACTCTGCGGCTGGAGTGGCTTGATCTTCAAACCTGATGGATGAAGCTTTCCCTTCGCTTTGAAGACGACGTCTCGCCAACGAGACCAGTCTTCATCTTCATCCTATATGAAAATAACTGCTGAGTGCGTGTCGGTCTGATATGTGAGAAAGATAGATGTACCTTCATGTTTCTCAGTTTGGTGATGACATTGACAGCCTCAGCCGAAAGCGGCACGGGCGATCCCATCCCAATATCATGTCCAGTCTCTCTCGGAAGAGGTTTCACTTCCACCGGCTGAGTTTGATACTTCGCACCTAGCGAAACAGGCTCGCCACCTTCAACTTTTTCGTCCGACGCCACCTTCGAGGACGATGGGTCCACCGCGGAAAGATCGTTCTCGTGGGATGGATACCAAGGGTCGATGGACTGAGTTTTCGGAGAGCGAGAGAGTTGTTCCGGGTTGGGGGCGTTGGTGGTTTGGAATTGGGGAGGTGGCGCGGGAGCGGAACGTTCGTCGGAGGGGTTGATGTCGATTCCACCTTTACCGAGATTGGGACCCTATGCGCACGATTGAAGTTAGGCGATGTGCAGCATGCTTGGAACAGGTGGATGCAGGACTGAGACTCACCCATATTTTGGTTTCGGAGTAGATTGGGTCGTTGGCGACTGGGTGGCCTAGGTATTGGAGATGTACACGGATTTGATGGGCTAGTGACGATATGTGTGAGTAAGTGGAAGAGCGTTGAATCGCAGTGGGTAGATGACGTACAGCGGCCTGTGAGGGGACGACAGTGGAGGACACTCGTGTCCGTGTTTGCATCGTAGTGGAGACGAGTGAAGATGGTTTGAGCGGTCTGTTGGTGAACGAGATTGTTAATGTCGAAGAGCGTGAGGGCCCAGAAGAAAATCAAACATGCCTTTCCTTCGGGATGGATGATGTTAAGACCCATCTGGCGATCAACCGTAAGCATCGGCTGGTCGACGTACGTCTCCCCTCTGTGAACGATGAGTACGAGTTTGTATGCAGATGTAAAGAAACTCACTCCGGGAACTCGCCCTTACACCGAGCGATATACTCCTTCTTAACTTGACCAGCAGTGAATTCTTCGGAGAGGGTGTGTGCTCGTTTCGAGGAGAGGCCAACGACCATGATGCCGGAGGTTAGACGATCGAGACGGTTTACGGCTATGTAGAAGGTCGTTACAGTTGAACTGGCTTGTCATGGACGCCACAAACTTACTGTAGACTTTCTTGAAACCGAATTCGCGTTGCAGAATCTCAACGAGGGAGAGATAGAAGAAACGCCCTGTGGCATGAACGGGCTAGCAACACATCGTTCGATCAGCGTCGAAGCAGAAAAAAGGAGAACAGACGAACGAACGATGCTCCCGGGCTTGTTGATGACGATGAATTCTCGTTCGTAGTCGGTATGCAGGATCTGGACTGGGGTTGAGGTGACAGGAGGCTCGTGGCGATGGACAATATTTCTACGGTCGAACTAAGACCGATTGATTGTTTTTGGAGAAGAGAAAGAAACTCACTCTAGTCTGTCTCCGTTCCGGAGGATAGTCCCAGGTCGCGCAATTTTTCCATTTACTGTAGTCACCCCAGACTCGAGGGCATACCGCTACTCCCGGGAACGGTTTGAACTCGCGCACACGGCCATGAAAACAAGACAGACTCACGTAGTATTCCACCGACCTGTCTCGAAACTCCGTCGACACGACCTCTAATATCTCCCTGTCAAACCACCTGCCCTTTGCCATGGTCGTATACGGGTACCAATACGGTGCGATCTTCTTCAATCCGGGTCTTGTCGCGGGCAATGGGAGAGGGTCGGGAGCCATGGCGGCTATGAGCATGCGGCGGATAACGTGTCTGAACTGGTCTTCGGGTGGGACTCGAATGAGAGGGAGGTGGATCTTGCTCGTGTAAAATACAGGAAAATGTTGAGCCAGCTTGGACAGTGGTGCGATGGATGTGAGCTGTAAAGCGTTCTCTTTAGTTGGACAAATTTTCCATCCCGATGACAAGTCCACCATACGCACCACTCTATGAAGCGCAATCCACACTACAAAAATGTCAGAACTAAATCGTGGGTCAGTGTGGCGAAAGGGGTCAAAGAAGACAGTGGGCGTACAGATTTAAACTCTTGCTTCGAAGATCATCATGGGTATGAAATTGTGTGGGAACTCACTACAACGCGAACTTGTTACGATGTCCGAATGCGGACCAACCTCTGTCTACCCAAGAAGAGCTCTACTAATTTCGAGGATTTTGCGATGATGGATGTCCTCTGTAGGATATCCTGCGGTATGTTTTTACTGTTTTTATCCACGTAAGCAGTGTGGCCCGCGTCGCTGTCGGAATTTGAGAATCTCCCACGACTTCGAACGCGGGGTAATTCACAACCTCCATGCAGATGATGAGACACTTGCTTCATTCTCCTCTCCACCACCATGTCGACCGCCGGGGCTACCGATGCAGGTGTCTTAGACGGCCCCTCAGGTGTACAAGAAACACAGAATGAGCCATGGAGGTATGTCGATGATCACCAGGCGACGATATCATTCTCGCAAGTCGTGCCAGTCGATGTACGGGTTAGGGATCTCGAGGTCGGAGTCAAAGCTCAGGCATCAATAGGAGACTCTACGAAGAAGGCTCTACGTATCTCAAAGAAGGGGAAGGAGTTGCAGGAGGGTCCAGGTAAAGTGGATGCGGAAAAGGGCCTCGGTACTTCGAGCCAGCGCAAGAAGACTATCATCCAAGGCATTTCTGCGGATTTCCCTACTGGAACCTTGTCGGCAATTATTGGAGGCTCTGGCAGCGGGAAGGTCAGGATTCTTTTCTTGACCCTAGATAGTGGGCAGCGAACTGACACGCATAGGTCTTAGACCACTATGCTGAATATCCTGTCGCATCGAATGCGAGGTACCAATCTACGCGTACATGGCTCTGTTCTATACAACGGCTCGCCCGAACTTTCGACCATCACGAACGCATACGTTACGCAGACAGATGTGCTCCTTCCTACGTGCGTGGACTCACCTCGTATTCCTTATTCAATTGGTCTCATTTCGACGTAGTTTGACTGTTCGAGAAACCCTCACGTACGCTGCCGAGCTGCGTTTGCCCTCCTCTGTGAACGCTTCGGAACGTCAACGGCTGGTCGAAGAGATCATCCTCGAACTCGGCTTGAAAGAGTGCGCAAATACGGTCGTAGGCGATGGATACCGGCGCCGCGGGTGTTCTGGAGGTGAACGTCGCCGGGTCAGCATTGGCGTTCAGATGCTCGCGAACCCCTCCGTTCTATGGCTTGACGAGCCTACTACGGGATTGGATGCCACGAGTGCGTACCAGCTCGTCAATACGCTGAAGCATTTGGCGAGCAAGGGTCGGACTATCGTCACCACTATTCACCAACCTCGAAGCGACATCTTCTTTCTCTTCGACCGTCTCACGGTGCTGACAAGAGGACGTTGCACTTACTCTGGTCCTACCTCGGAGTGTTTGCCTTGGTTCGAGGTGCTGCTGCCCAAGGGTTTGAGAGAACATGTTAATCCAGCGGACTATCTCAGTAAATCTCATCTTTATCTTCCCAGAAACAATCATATACTGACATGGTTGCTCTTTAGTTGACATCTCCTCAGTAGATACCCGCACACCCGCGGCAGAGCTCGAGACACAAGCCCAAGTCGATCGTCTCATCTCTGCATGGGAGATCCAATCCGGGCAGACGTTCTCGTCAACCTCCACTCAAGGTCACGCAGATTCTAGGTCTTCATTGGTTTCCGCTCGGGGGACCCGGGTCAAACACTCCGCGCCATTGTACCGCCAGATTCGCGTGTTGACTTCGCGGACGATCCTCACCACGTACAGAGATCCTATGGGGCTCATGGCTTCTTGGGCTGAGGGTATACTGATGGGTCTGGTTGGCGGGCTGGTATTCTTGCACTTACCGAAGACGTCGTCTGGCATACGTTCTCGCGAGGGTGCATTGTATATTAGCGCGTCACTTCAAGGTACGTGGCCCAAGTCTACACGATATGACCCGGATTCTTACCCTGCCCGATGTCTTTCAGGTTACCTCTTCCTTTTGTTCGAAACCTACCGGATAACGGGCGTCGACATCAGTCTTTTTGACCGTGAAAGAGGCGAAGGTGTCGTCGGTGTAGTCGCTTGGTTGGTTAGTCGTCGTCTAGCCCGTGCTCTTTTGGAAGATATCCGTAAGTAAAGGCTGTTCTTGCACATACGTTTCTCTGCTGACTCTCAACATTTTAATAGTTGTCCCATTCGTCTTCTCAGTCATCTTTTACTTCATGTGCGGGTTCGAAGCGAACGCCCAGCAATTCCTCACGTTCTTCGCTGTCGTCCTGGTCAACCACTTCATCGCTGTTTCTCTCGCCACATTCTGTGCGGCCGTAAGCAGGGACTTTTCAGTGGCGACTCTCGTTGGGAACCTGGTATTCACGATTCAGAGTTTTGCGTGTGGCTACTTCATTCAAGCCGACACTATGCCAGGTCAGTCTCGTCTCTTCAACTACCCGTCTCATTTCTTCTAACGTCCTGGGTTCTAGTATATGTGCGTTGGCTGAAGTATTTGTCGTATGTCGTAAGTAATTTTTCTTATCGGCGTATTTCAGAGTTAGCTGACTCGTCTTTATAGTACTTCGCCTTCGGGGCTCTGGCTTCGAACGAATTCACGGATAGTTTCTACGACTGTCCGACTGGAGACCCTCGCACAGACCCCAACTGCATAACCTACCGCGGCGATTACATCCTCTCCAGTCTCTCATTCCACCAGAACTGGAAAACAGTTCCTATCTGCGTCATGGTTGCTTTTGCCGCCTTCTTCACCATTGCTAGCATGCTCCTGCTGAAATATTGGACGGTGGATATCCATGTTTCGGCGCAACAAAAGTCGACGACGGCGGAAGAGGAACAGGCCGCTGCGAAGGATAAGACGGAAAAGGAATCGGATCTGGAGGTGGAGGAAGCGATGAGGAAGGGTGGTGTGGTGAGGAAGGTGGATGTGAGGCTTGTGAAGTATGCGTTGGAGATCTCGAAACCTGCGATCTTTGGTTTTCGACGGAGTAGGAGGATCAATATATTGAAGGGTGTGAGCACGATCTTCGAGGCTGGAAAGCTCAATAGTACGAATCTGTTTCTTCCTCTCCATCTCACTCCGTGAAAACTACTTAACTCTTCACGCGTTACGCTTACAGTCATCATGGGCCCCTCCGGCAGTGGAAAATCCTCCTTGCTGAACCTTATGTCCCTCCGCCTCCGTTCTTCTCTCTCGACACGCTACCAATCCGCTGGCACCATGCTCTTCAACGGTATTCCACCCGCCGACGCCGACATCCGGTCCCTTGTCTCCTACGTCACGCAAGATGACGCCGGACTCCTGTCGTACCTGACCGTTCGCGAGATGTTGAGGTTCTCCGCCGGTTTGAGGTTACCGAAAGAGATGAGCACGGAGGAGAAGTTGAGGAAGGCGGAGGAAGTGATTCTGAAGTTTGGGCTGAGGGATTGTGCGGATAATTTGATTGGTGATGAGATTGTTAAGGGGATTTCGGGTGGCGAGAAACGGTAACTTATTTTATTGCGGATCTTCCTGGCCTTCACTGATTGGGCTTTTATTCAGACGTGTCAGTATCGCGATTCAAGTTTTGACGGAGCCTTGCATCCTGATGTAAGGCATATTTGTTTGTCTTATTCAAGCTGCAATTCACTGATACTTGTTGTTGCCACAGCCTTGATGAGCCCACATCCGGTCTGGACGCTTTCACCGCTGCATCCATCTTAGACGTCCTCAAAGCCCTCGCCGAAGAAGGCCGCACGGTTATCTCGACCATCCACCAAGGGCGCTCCGACCTCTTCGCCTACTTCGGAAACGTCCTCCTCCTCGCCAAGGGTGGCGAAGTCGCATACTCCGGCACCGCACAGGATATGTTGCCCCACTTTGCCAAGTTGGGCTATACGTGCGCCCCGGAGATGAACCCGGCTGATTTCGCGCTCGATTTGGTGTCGGTGGATTTGAGGGAGGCGCATAGGGAGGAAGTGAGTCGCAAGAAGGTCAAGAGGTTGACGGCGCAGTTTGACGTGGCGAACGAGAAGGGACAAGATGAAGTTGTGGCGCGTACCTCGGCGGAGGTGGGGACGAGGAGACAATCGCAACTGGTCTCGGCGGAGTTGACGAAGATGAGGAGGGATATGGCCCCGTTCTATGTGGCTTATCCTATTCTGCTCCGAAGAGGACTGCTCGGGTTTTATCGTCGACCGGATTTGATGGCTGGAAGGTTGGGGCAGGTGCTGGGATTGGCGATCATCATTGCTGTGTTCTTCGCTCCGCTTGGGGACGATTACTTCAGTGTTCAGAACCGGTTGGGATGTATACAAGAGATATTGCCGGTGTACTTCGTCGGGATGTTGCAGAACGTGGCGCTATATCCGTCTGAGAGGGATGTTTTCTACCGGGTACGTTCCCTCCCCTCCTCTATCAGTTCGGACCCAGGCTGACTGAGCATGATTATATAGGAGCACGATGATCGTGCATACACCGTGGAGGCTTTCTTCATGTCATACCTGACGCTCGAACTTCCACTAGAGATAGTTGCCTGCCTGATGTTCTCTAGTCTCGTAGCCATCGCAGTAGACCTTCGTCGCACGGTGGCGATGTTCTTCATTGTGACCCTCAACGCTGGTACGTATCTTCCACGACTGCCGTCGTCGGGTTGAAATGCTAATTGGGAGCGGCAATGGCAGTCTGCATCGTCTCTTCCGGGGAGAGCATCGGTATCATATTTAATACCGTATTCAGCTCTAGTACTGGCTTCGCCCTCAATATCACGAGCACAGTGCTTAGCATTGGCACTTTTATGGCCGGTACGCCGCCTCTTTCACGGTCTGAGTCACCGGCGTTACACCGCTCACCATTCTTCCCTTCTTAGGTCTCGTCAGCATCGATATGCCCGGCTTCCTCAGAGCCCTCAACTATCTCTCTCCTCTGAAATACGCCGCAGCGAATCTCGTGGTATACACCTTCCACGGATTCAACTTCACATGCACGGATGCACAGCGTCTGGCAGATGGTTCCTGCCCGATCAATACTGGCGATGAAGTTCTCGAGTTGTATGGCTATGGGAGCACGAATCCGGGACGGAATCTAGCGTATTTGGTGGTGACAACCGTGATTTATAGATTTCTGGCATACGCGCTGTTGAGGGTGACGAGGATGCATTTGGGGATTGGACGGAAGAGGGCTTCGTAAAGTTATGCTTCTATGGATTCTGAAGGATTTCTTGGACTTTAGAGATATTATAGATTTTTTATTATTAGACAAGTTGCTCTTGGATACCAGGCTCAGTGTTCTGCATTGACACTTGATTTTTTACCGGAGACCTTCCGCAATGACGGCATATATGAGCGGTCCCAGAAGAATATAAGTTATGGAACGTTTGAAGGCTCGGACCTGCCCACCTAGAGTACGGAGGTGATGCGTCACGTTGGAAAAGGGCTACATATTTGGGTTCGTTGAATGATCGTAAGTTACATTGTCGTCGCCTGCATGAACGTTCCACGATAGTGTGCTACCAGTCATAATTTACAGACGTCTCTCATTCGTGAGTTCTCATGAGTCATAACAAGCACCTGGACCTCTACCACCATCCCCTCCAACTAATCCAGTTCACTTCGTATGGACCTGATCATCGCCCGCTGCCTCTGTATGACCTCCTTCGTCTTACGCATTTTATATCGATGCGTGAAGAGCTCATAGTCGGCTTCCTTCTCTCCAGGCGTTTCCCTGGCCCGGTCCCGCAGACTGCGTTTGTGATTCTTGTCCCGGACAAAATGGCTCCGTAGACGTAGTTCGTAACGGATGTGACGAGCAAGCTACCAAGCAAACGAACTTATAAGTAGGAGGCCGAGGAGAGAAGGTTTTGTTTTCTATAACTCACCTGAAGCTTGAGGAAAAATCTGTTCGTCGTCCAGACGTACTGCTCCAACTTCTCCACGTTGCGCTTATCGATGCGGCACAGTCTGTCAAGGAACTTGACCAAGCGGTTGCTGACACTACGCAAGAGAGGTTGATATTTAGGTATGAATGTACGAATCGAATGCCGCATATGACGGCACTTACTGATCGAAACTCTTCCAGGTATTATCTTGCTTTTTCGACCATTGTCCGTCGAGCTTCGCGAGTTTGGGTGGGCAGTCGGGCGGCAACTCCGGATAGGGCTCCCTCGCGCGTTCGACCCAGTCAGTCATGACTCGGATGGACTGAGTGATATCAGAGCGAGCATCATCGAACGCTTGACATAGTTCGATGGATTGCCTGTCGGAGGGGTGCTGTATTTGGTTAGCCAGAAGGAGCTATCGTGGTATAAATCGTATAAGCCGGCTGCACAGAACTAAAAAGGTACTGCATATAATGACGAACAGGGATCACTCTCTTAGCAAGGGTGGCTAACGGTTTGTTCAGAACCTCTATTTGCTTCCTAAATCCATATGGTGCTATTTGACGTGTGATCAAACACGCCGCCAGCAAGTGGATAAATCCACCTACCAGCAATGGAATCCATCAGATCAATAATACTCCCAGAAGACGAAGGAGCCTGATCAGAGAAGCTCGAAAGCGACGGCGTAGCTATCGACAGTTTCGATGATGGACGAGGTTTAAAGGTGGAGGTGCCAGCAAAAACAGCGGGGTTCCCATCCGATGTGCGTGGTTTGGATCGGGATACGAACGGCTTTGGGGGAGTACGGGTTGATGTCTGGCCCTGTGGTGTCGGAGGTAAAGGAACTCGATTGGCCAAAGACGCAGAGTGGGCGTCGAGTACATTGGTTGGAACACGAAGCTTCCCCTGAAAGTGAGCGGCAGCTACATCGAAACCAGTCGCTCTGAGATGGTCCATTAAGTTCTGTGGATACAGGCGGAGTGAGATGAGGCTGTAGAGGACATATAACGTACAACACACCTGTCGATCCTGAGACTCGGGGGAGGTATCCGACCTGGTTGGAGGAAAAGCGACAGGATGATATGAGACTGGAGACGGAGGCGCATGCTCCAGGTTTTTTGGCGAGGTCGCAGTGGAGTTAGGGATTCGAGATGTGGCTATGTTCGAAAGGTCACCATCATGGACATGGGTGACCGGAATTTTGTATTGCGAGCCGAGCGGTGTGCGAGCGTGATAGATCGGATCCCCGGCTATTTGCTGAGGAGGAGTCGCTCGATGATGTAGTACGGGCGGACGGTGGCGAATCGGAATCGGGTCTACTCGCGTCAGAGTCTCCGTCGAGGTAGCTATTTGGGAAGCCCGAAAGGCCCTGCTAGGTTGATTGCTAGGTCGAAGTCGCTTCAAGAGATTGCGACATCCTATACGAAGCCCACGTCGTAGGTCTGGCCGGTCTATACCGTCCTGTTTGAGAGGAGCGGGATATGTAGTGGTACTGCTCGAATTTTTAGGTGCATGAGAACCGTCGCGATGCAGGGGGAAATCAAGACCGTCTAGACGTGCGGGTGCTACCTGCCGCGCGGATGCATCTCTGGGACGACCGTAAGGCCCTTGAGCGATGGACCTCGTGGACGCAGGGCCCCTGCGGTCGTCGTTAGATGTGTCAGCGCGAGGCATAGAGTTCTGAGCTATTAAATCCAGGTAAATATATGGTCAGAGTGCGCCCATATATATAATCGTGAATTAAAGTCGGCTTGGAAGTTTCGATATGCGACCCACCGACTACGCGAACTTTCAAATACAGCACCGTAGAACGCACAGCTCGGTGCAGGTGCAGCTCAAGAAACCCAGGCCTGAAGCTGAAGGCTCACGGAGGAAAAGAGGTAGCAAGGAAAAAGGTACAGTGGACCTAGGTACTTTTATACTTTCGAGGCCGTCGATGCGTGCGATAGCAAGCGCTTGGATCCTCGAGAGAACAAGAGCACTTCGCCACCCAGAAATCGGACCCGGACAAAAACACAGCATCCTACTAGATATGGACGAGTGGTTTGTTGTTTGGCAAATAAGTGTTACTGATGGGTGGCAAACATCCACTAGATAGCGATCGTTCGAGCACAGGTGTGGGTGACGGTATGAAAATCTTGTTCGACTGGCGTTCGACCGATCATCGATCAACGACCAATTGCAACATGACCCGTGGGAGTTCCTTATGGGTGGCACCGATGGCGGTGGCGTTCTCCTTTGTTCTGGTGCGATAACAGACGGTCGATAGTCATCGGTTATAGTAGAACGTATCGATTAACCAAGGCCTCCACAATCACGGATCGATGCAAAAGGACCATTGTTATATATGTCTGCAAAACCGCTCACACAACACCTAATTCGTCCCTCGTTCGTCTCTGCCATACCCAGTTTCCTCCAGGGGTTTCTTCTTCCATAACGCCCGGTTCCCAATCCTCTATACGCAGCTTCTTATCCTTCACGAACCTATACACATAGCCATTCTCGGCGCAATGCTTTGCTTCACCGAACCAGATTGGCGGTGGTGGGAAACCCGTCGGCAGAAGGGATTCGAGCATAGAACGGTAGACGGGGAGGGCAGTCGACCAACCAAACGTGACGTTGGTATTGGAGTCAACAAGAACTGATGTGGCATATTAGATATTGAAAGGAGTGCACGCAAATAAATCACTGACACATGCACCTGACCCACGACACCAAGTCAGGATCTTCCGCACGCATCTCTGCAGTCTTCCTTGTCGTAGTAGCCTTGAAAGACTCTAGATTCCTCCCCTCGGGCGTATTCGGTGCAGGATCGTCTTCAATGACACCGCCATCCAAGGCGAACGCCTTGGCAGGGTTGCCATCATAATCAGGGCGGTAGCTGACTTGCAGAAAAATGTGCTGGTTATCAGCGTCGAACTTCCGGTCCGTCTTTAAGTAGGCGAAGCTGACAGCGCGTCGGAGGATGTAACGATGTAAAGAGCACCAGTCTTGCAGCATACGCAACTTCGTAGGAATGGGCGGAATATCAGGTCCTTCGCTGGGTTGTTGCGCTATAGCGTTGATTGCTTGCTTCTGGCGGCAGATGTGTTTGTGCTCCTTCCAGTGGGCTTTCTGGTGCTCTCGGCTCTAGAAATGGGTAATTAGTGGTGTGAAAGAGTAAAAACATGAAAGGCATGGTCAAGTGGAAGAGCTGGCTCGAGCATAATCGGAGGGGAAGGCGTGCTTCAGGCATACGTAGTTACCGCCTCTATTACGGCATAATTCATATAGGTGCAGCTCACTAGCACACGACTCGAGAACGAACGTCCGCAACAGTAGTGTCCACAAACTTATCCAACTCAGACGGCAAGAAGACGTGCTAACCAATGACCCCGTAAAAGTCAAGAACTTACACAATATTCTGCGGCGCGACAACCCCCACACAGGCGCAATGGTGGCGTCCCTGGGGTTCTGTGTTTACCGCAATGGAGACAGCAATGGAGTGCATTCCGACTGATGGTGAGTTTTTGATGTTGAGGTTTGAAGACCAACTGGTCGCTGCCCGGGTCGGTTGGTCTAGGCATCGAAAATCAAGAAACTGGATGATCCGATAGTGAGTTCCAATGACGGCGCGACAGCGGTTGACATGTCGATCCTGACCGTGAAGACAGTTATACGTCAGTTGCGGATGGCTAAGAAATGTTGAGACGCTGCGGTCGTAATATAGTTTGATATGCAAGTCTGATGCCTCTTGGGTCTATGGAGAGAGCAAGATGGTTGTGGTGAGTTCCAGGGCGGTCGCCACCCTGTGCCACCGTCGGCTCGCCAACATTTTTAAATCTCCGCTTCAATTATTTTTGTTCCGTGTCGGGACCGTGTCATGCCATTGTACTACGCAAGCGCTTCTACCTCAAGATCGATTTGCTTGTTCCGTGTCTCACCTGCCCTTTGAAGTTCTTCTGGACCCCACAAACGCATATGAGAACCGCTAGCTGCATTCTGTTCCCAACGTGTACTTGATTCTCACCCAACGCTCCCGCGCCAACCTGCGATACGAGCGTTGAACGGCAGGTCCCCGTCTGCACCTCCCGGCCTTCAGCATTACGAGAGGATCTTTCTACATACTGTCTCCGGACTCTCTCTCCGACCCTTGTACAACTGGAAGCTATGGACGACGATATTTTACAGCTTGAACGGTCTAAGTTCTCGACATATCCCGAGCCCGGCCTTCTGGATTACTGCGAGATGTTTCCTCTTGTGCAAACACTGGCGAAGGCAGAGCTCACGGGCGAATGGGAGATCTCCCACGAGGAAAGACTTATGGTTGCTCTGGATAGCTTACCACTTCGGAAAGACATTGCAACCCTGAAGAGAAGTGTGGCTGAGGGGGACCTTGACGAACAAGTCATACTTGGAATGATGTGCGTCACTCCATTTCTCATCTTCATTCCAAACTCTGTTCATATCTGACTATAATCAATTACTTCACGGTGATGCTTGTACAGGCATTGGACCGGATGCCGAGTGCCTTTCGATCAGATGATAGGTATACGTCTATGGAAGTCCGTCACGCAGTTGGATACGGACCACATGCAAAACCCAGAGTGTCCCTTGTCATTGGCTACAGTCAGCGCGCTACACTGCCTCACCTACGCGTATTCATTCTACTACGCTGCTACAGACGATACTTTGTCGCTCATCCGTGCTGCAAAGTTTGGGGAAGTCCTCGCGGTCAGAAGGATCGTCTCACCTGCCGTTCTTCGCACTGCATACGAAATGGCTCAGCACCCGGACTTATTCGGATTCGCTCATAACGCAACTGTAGAAAACCTCGGCGCGAAGGATGATAAAGGACACTTTCCAGGCTTGAAGGCGATCTACGAAGAGAGAACAGCTGCTCTACAAATGGTACTAAGAGCTTCCTTCCTTGTTGTGCGTCATCACCAGTGCTGACTACGACCACCACCATTTCTACCAGGACACACCAATACACCCACCTTCTTGCCGACCGCTCGAAAGCCCTGCACCCGCTGGCCTGGATTCGGCTTCCATTTCTTCTAATATCGACGCATTGCACGGACCCGAAAGCCTCGACGAACTCTCCGAAACGGAGGATGTTTTGATGCGAGCTCTCAGTGGCAGTCCTGACAACCTTTCGAACAACGATTGCTCGGACCTTCTCGGAGACGCTCTTGTACTAAGCTATTCCAATGCCGGACTCGAAAGCCCCACCAACGTAGCGAATAAACGCCCGAGCTCGAAGAAGAACAAGAAGAAGAAAAAGAAACGAGCGCAGCCTCCTACGACTCCTGGCGGAGACCTCCCAGCTCCTCTACCCAATGACCACCACGCCAATCATGCCTCCGTTGAAAGTCACATCCCCCCTCCCGAATCTGTCCTCTACGATCAGACACGAACATATTCCGAGCAAGGCATCCAAGCAGTACAGTCTTGGCCTGAAGGATGCCCTAGTGGACTTATTTCTGTGCAAGTCCAGACTGACGACGGCTCCACTCCGAATGGGCAATCGATGCCGACGCCGTCTCACTCGGAACAGAGCTCCCAGACCGAGCTCGGTACGGACGAGTGTACGACGCTTGAGAAGGAGGAGTTGCTTGCTCTTCGCGAAGTTCTGGAGCAGAGCAGAATCGTCGTGGGTGAGCTCGGGCGCAGGCTCGTGGAGTCGACGCCTGGTTTCGACTACACGTCGTTTGAGTTGGAGGGCTTGGATCTGGCCTGACTTGTCGCTCACGACTAGGCGATGCTCGAATGGTGCATTTCTTTTGCACTTAGGTTCTCGAAGGCTTGCTCTCTTCATGTCCATCTCTCTTGTCTCCATGTACTTAATTTTTTGTCCCGGATGAAAAATCCATTGTACTAGTTATTATATGTGGGTTGCGCAGTTGTTTGATGAGCATACGGTGTGCTTGTAGAATGGTGTAAGAATGGTCCATCTGTATTCCGTGGCTCAAGTCGTCTTCCGTCTGCACAATTTTATGCAACGAAGTCTTTGCTCGTGCTATCTCGTTCTTTGCTGGATTTCACTCTCCGAGTCTGCTCAAAGTTTGCTCTAAGTCCATACCAAGTCAGTCTTGTGAACAAAGCATGGTCGTAGATATCACAAGGGCACATGGTGTAGTTGGTTTATCACGCTCGCTTAGCATGCGAGAGGTGTCCGGTTCAATTCCGGATGTGTCCACCTACGGTAGGCAGACATCTTTTTCTTACCTCTGTGAACAAAAAACCAGGATGCCACCTGATGCCACACCTCGCCACACGGCAAAGCGCGTATTACGTCATCTGTTTACCAAAAGCTTTCGATCCAAACAACCGCTCGCGATTCTTTTTGCTTCAACCAGCCACTTGCAAATGCCTCTGAACACGACGTCAATAACGGTCTTTTCGGTGCTGCGTAGCTTTCCTACGATATTCCCTATCTCTTGAATACCTTGTCTCGACTTCCTCTCCAGATGCTCAATTTGTGATTGCCCCACCTAACGACACGTCGCTGCCACACAGTCCAGGTGACTTGAAAGTTGACGTTCTTCGCTGGCACGTACTGCAGTGGCCTACATCTCTAGAACTGTGTGCCATCATTTATATCATCCCTTGTTGGTACTCGAATGATACGAAACTTCGCTTGAGGACGTGTATCCTTCAGGATCGCGAGCACGTGCTCATCGCTCTTCGAATGCAGCCTGGCATAATCTATCCGACATGGAAGGCGAGATGCGGACCTCTCGAGTCTCATCGATCTCATCCTCGGAAGGTCTCTCGTTTTTTTGCTCATTGCCTTGATATAATGTAATGGGATCATCTTGTCCTGGCATGTTTCACTTGATTTTACCTCGCCAACAAAGGTGACCAATCACATCGCTTATTGATCCGCACCACTGTCATAGGCCGCTTGGACCCGCATCCAATAGTACGTCGGAAGGCTGAAATTCTTTGCAGCGTCTCTAGACGACGGTTCCCAGCATCGCACCGTATCCCACCTTGTTCCTCAGGCTCGCTGGTGGGACATACATACTCTAGATCAACCTGAACAAGTACCATACCTTGGAAGACGCGGGATTGCATAGGGTTCTCGACCTAGGACGGTACGTTTCAAGTCGCTCGCTCGATATGGAAGGGTCAAACATATACTTACGTTCTCGTATTGGGTAAGTAAGGTAAGGTAAGGTAAGTTTATTCGGGGTACAAAATGGGCCCTTAAGGACCAATACCCTTATCCGCAGGAATACATGTACAAATATACACTACGAAACAGCGCGGTATCCTTTACCGCTGTGATACCCACAATGAACTGTGATATAATTGTATCTACTAGATAACATCGGGCCTCTCACGGGTTCCAGAACCTACTGTAAGTACTACGAGACCATACAACATGACTTAGCCAGAGAGAGCAATGACCGTATAAAAACCCATTGGGAAAAATTGGTGGATCTCTCATGGTAATATGTTGTGGGTCTCGCAATACTTGCAAGCGTACCTTGTATTCGGAGGACGCTGAGAACGATATATTTTCAATGGTGTGTACACCCATAATCGTGGGTGACAACACAATTACGCCACCTTGAAAGAACTGTGTGGCGGCCGGTGAGTACGGTGAGGACCGGAGTGTCTCGGGATGTCTCGGGCAACATCGGACGACGCCAACAACACTCGCAAGGATGGACAGAAAAATCTTAACAATGAGCTATTAATTGCCCAAGGGCACCTCTGGCAAGCTAGTTTTTCTCTAGAGCCAAAGTCAATACTCTGTTGTGACATGGTATAAAAACCAGTGTCTGACAATGCCGCAAAGGGGTGGATGGACCGCAAGCCCAACGGATGTCTTTGGTCTGTGAGCGAAGTTTTCGACTGTGGCGAGCGTCTGAGCACGACGATCTGTCGTCTGCGAGTACCGCGAGCCTTCGACAATGCTGAGAGCGAGGGACCGTCTAACTGTGGCATGCATCAGGCAACGGATTTCTGTGGTCTGTGAGTGAAGTTTTCGACTGTGGCGAGCATCAGAGCACGACGATCTGTCGTCTGCGAGCACCGCGAGCCTTCGACAACGCTGAGAGCGAGAGACCGTCTGACTGTGGCATGCATCTGAGCGAGGAATATTCCAACACTTCAGTGCAATGCGAGCCTTCGACCTGTAGTTGAAGCCGACAATGATGACAGTGTTTATGTATCGAGAGGAGATTGAAAAGGGCCAATTCCTCAGGACCTCGAGAATCGAACAAGATCACAACAGATATTCATGCCAATACTTGTGCGCCAAATTTTTGATGTAATATTCCGACAAGATGTATCTAGGGTGTGGCAGATACCTCACAACTCTGGCCAAAGAGTACGTGATGTCTTCTGTTCCGTGCATGCATACTCATCGATGTAAGAACTCCTTCCCGATCCTCGAATACTGATATTCCTCCCTTTCATCTCCAGTTCATAAGCACAGCTCCGCTCACGAGCTTTCTTCTCGTCAATCAAGTCAGCCGCTCAAAGTCCCAACTCCGACGACCGAAGCCTTACACATTCCCAAAAGCGGGATTCTTTTGTTCCCAGAACTGGAAGGCGTACGACCGACTCCTGATTCCTGGCTGCTTTTGGTGTCAAGACTCGAGACTGCCTGTTTAACGCCACTGGGGACTGAGGATGGAAGACGTCTTCGGGACCGTGGTGTTCCATGTGCACAGAAACGAAGGATGATGCTGAGTACAACTTGTTATCGATATGAACATTGGGGAAGGAGCCTGTAAGGGAAGTTCAAACGGCCAGTTGTGCTAATGGTGTGTACGTATGATGTTTGATATCTGATATATGATATGAACGCTTATACACCCGCGAGGTCGAACACATTGTTCCTAATATACGCATCGAACGTCGAACATTGGACCTCCCATTCTAGGAGATGATCTTCGGAGCCGATTGTAGGTGTTACTGACCTGCTCTAGATCTACTTCTGGGTTATCCAATGCGCTACACATCAGACGAAGATGGCCTCAGAAGTACGTCTCACCGCAGAATTCGAAGACCAACGCTTTGAATTTGAAGGGTGAAGAATGAAGAGCCCGGAGTATACTTCCATGCTGTGCCATGCCATGTTCCCCGAACAGGTACGTCCTTGTTCCCAGAATCAGAAATTCCACCTCGCGATCGGCTATACAGTTATACTTATCCTTATCCTTGGCATCTCATCTTCGTCCTCGCCTTCGAATTTGGAGCCTACTCGGGTAACTCCTATGTTCAGCCTCGCCTTCTTTTTGGAGGACAAAGACATGCACTTCGTGGACTGAGGAGCCCCTATTAGAATGTTGCCCGTACGTCTTGTCCTCGTGTTCTCAAATTAACCTCCCGAAGTGGCGTGTCTACGAGCTTACCAGCCCGGAGGATCCAAATCTGCTTCTTTCGATCCTCCGAGTCGTGGTGGTGTGTGTGTCTTCTCTTCGTCCTTTGTTCCAAGCAGGGACGAACTGAACTAGGAAGCTCGTCTTCATTCGTTCATTCGTTCATCGCGTGGGGTTCCGAGGCGTGGAAACTGAGATCGAACTCAGTGATTCTGAACACCGAAGTCAAGCTTCGTCCTTCGTCGCTCGATCTACTCCGCACGGCCGCATCCTTCGATCCACTGTGAAACCTTCGAGCCTCCGACGCTTTGAATGCGAAGCTGAAGCTCCCACTGGGCTGCTGCGACGTCCACGTTTCAGCGTGTCTGCTTTTAGATGCATGGCATTGGCTGTCGATGAAATGTGATCTATTATCGGACGAGAAAATTCTCAGTACCTTTTTCTATCTTTTCATCTCGGGTCCTGGCAGGACGTCGGCCATGCGGCTCACAGGGCCTTTTTTGGAAACTAGTCGGACAAGGACAAGGACACGGGTTTCGAGAAGATGAGTTGATTGGTTCATCGATCCCCTATCCATGCGCAATTGCAAGGGAGGAAAGCATTGTACTGTACCTCCTTCCTAACATGCGGATTAGGGTCCAGAGCTCTGCGCTACAAGTGATGATTCCGCGAAAGCCCCGCGCGTGCTCGTAACCAGCCTAGTGCGTCCATATCCATCCATCCTCGTCCACTTCCACGTTCTCTTTCTGTGAAGCTTGATCTTCTCAGATCTCCGCGCACTTACGCGGACTAGTGCGCTTTCTGACTTCTGTATCCGTATTCAGGACGGCGTTATGGCTTGTTGTGCTCGTACCCGTGGTCATAATGGGATTCGAAGGAGGAATTTGTCATTGTCATTGGGGTGGATGAAGACGAGAAGAGAAGCTCAGAGACACGGATTGGCGAGCGGACGGACAGGGACGGCTAGGAGGGGCGGAGTGTTATTCGGCACAGCGGATTCCGTTGCGCTCGCGTGGGCCGTGGTGCCGTAGCCGTTCTCAATCCGCCTCTTGTCATTCCAGTTTCCACTTCCAGACTCTGACCGTGGCCAACATCGACATCCCACAAAAGGCTCCGACGTCCGTTTCCCCTCTCGGCTATCGCTCCTTTCGATTCGCCAGTTCGGTTCTACTTTGTTGGCGCTCAAGCTGGATAAAGGCTGGACGGTCGACCGGTCGATGCCCAACAACCAAGACTGGCGGACGAGTTGCTTGTTATGGAACTCAGGCGTTGTTTCTTGCTGTGATCGACTGTCACTGGTGGATCACGGAATCGGATGGCTCTTCTTGGACGACGACGACACTTCTGTGCTGGTTGACTTGGGATCTTGAGTCTTTGTCACGAATCCTGGCTGTTGGCTACTTATTGCTATTGCTATTCAACGTCATTCAGTCTGTCTGTTTGTCAGCTCGAGAACACAGATGTGTCGATGACACGCGCGATCGACAGGCGATTGCGCCATTATGTGTTCTATACACTCTTTCGATTATTTCTTGCTCCATGTCCTGGCGCACACTTATGGAACTAATAAGCTTTTGCGACTGACACTGACGTCCTTACGCTCGCTCGAAAGGAAAAGGAAAAACGGAAAGTTTACGGCTTGGGAGGGATTAGGGATAGGGGCGCTCGCTCGTAGTGTCTGTGGCGTCGGGTCGGCTAACAGAGCGTCAAGTTTGAACATTATGTTGACAGGGGAGACTAGTACTAGTGCATGCTCCTTGGGTGTGGGTGCTCGTGCTCGTCCTAGGATATACGGAGTAGCTGCGCACTGGGTGGGGATGGGACTGGAACAGGGACGAGGATAGGGACTTGTGAGGTCTCGGGTTTCATAGAGCCCTCCGGTGGACAGGGATAGATGTGATGGACCTCATACGAGTCGGTCGGCTTTCAGTGTGGAGTGACGGATGAGGCTGAGGCTGAGGCTGGGGGCTGGATGTATGCGGGTGGTTTGTTTTGTTTGGAGGGGAGGGATGCCCTCGAAGGCGGAGGTGAGCTAATTGGGAGACTCGGACTGGGAAGATCAAGGGATGAGATGGATGGATGCATGGACGGGCGGGAGAATGGATAGATTGGATGGATAGAACGAGAAGTGGATTCGACGGATGGAAGGCATCGCACAACTTGAAGGACGGCCGTGACATACGCGTTCTCAACAATCACGTCGCCGGGAACGGAAACGGAAGTAGAACTTGGAGCGCGGAGGAGTGGAGATTATGGACTGGGCAGATCTGCGGTGCTGAATGGGATCGTCAAAGCAAAGCGTCCTGGACGAAATATATAGGCTCGGACAACGGCTCACACGACCGACGTCGCCCTTGTTGCTCCAACCAGTCATTCAGCTCCGCTAAGACTAACTACTTCTACCACCTCCGCCCGCGACGCCACATCCCCCAACTCTGACGACCTCTTGCTCATCGCTACCATCATGGGCAACTCCCACTCCCGCAAGTCCACCTACCAGCCTACCCACTCCGACGTCGACGAGGTCGATGTCAAGAGCCGTAGCTCCCGTTCGCTCAAACACTCGCGCTCCGTGCCCGGCTTCCGCAGACCCACCGTCGTCAACACCAACACGCGCACCCTTTCTCAAGCACAGACCGACACGTTCTCCGACGCGTCATGGTCCTCCATCGGACACCCTCTCTCCGAAAAAGCAGCGCCATCGCACATCCAACAAGTCCAAGTCCCGTACCCTCCCCACCACCACCACCACCAACACCAACAACCACCATATCCGTACCAATACCAATACCAGAACCAATATCCGTACCAGTGTCAGTATCAACATCACGCGTGTGGGCCACCCGTTCCTCCTGGGTTACATCACGCCACGACCGCCCCGCCGTCTTCGACCCATGGCCAGTTCTATACACATTCGAACCTTACGAACTCGTACATCCCACCTCCCACCGCAGGCCTCATCCTCCCCGCTCCTTCTCTTCCCATCCCATACCCACTCGACTCCGCCACCCAGCACCACTCAGCGTCAGAAAACGCCGCCTACGCTTGTTTTCTGTCTAATTATCCGGAGTATAACCTCACATGGACGCTCGACGCGCTCCGGAGGTCAGAGTACGCTCGTATCGACGGAGGTGGTGGTGGTGGTGAGATTGGAGGAGGGAAGGAGAGGGAGACGTATGTGGATTATATGGGCGGGGCTCTTTATCCTGAGAGTCTCGTCAATGTCCATGCGGAGTTCTTGAAGAGCTGTGTGTTGGGGAATACGCATTCGGAGAGCAATAGGTGTGTTTGTTTTCTCTTTCGCTCTTCACCTTTTCATTTTCTCTTCCTTTTATTCTCTATCATTTTCCTCTCTTCTCTCTCCTCTGTTCTGTCTCTTTTACACTTGCTGTGCTCCGCATCCTACGAACGTGGCCTTTACGTGGCCCGACACTAGTCCTAGTCCTAGTCCTAGTCCTAGCACTGGCACGGGTGCGGGTGCAGACACGGCGACGTACTCATGGAGATGTGGCGCATCGACCCGGCACGGCGCGGTCGATAGTCGATATATGCGCATATACCCATCCCTCTTTCGTCTCTCACTGTCCTGTCTGAGTCTTCCCGTTCGTGTTTGAAGGAACATCCTTCTAGCGTGTATCGGGCATGTCTGCGTCCTATCGTGTCATCCGGCATGGCATCCTAGCGCGTATCTGGAGTCTGCCCTGGTTATTTTGGAGTCCAGTTTGGAGATGGACATGCTAGACTCGGTATTGCGATTTCCGTCTCTACGGGTGGCGTCCCGAACTTCAAACTGGGTATGTGGCGCGGGAGCGCAAACTATGATACTATCATAGCGTGTCGGAGCAGGATATATGCGCATATATCCGCCTACTTTTATTGTTCTCACAACTTCTCACTTGGACTTAGAGGACCCTGTCCATGCGACCCAATTCTTCGTTTTCTCCCAAGGCGCAGTGTGGCGTCGGTCTAGTCTCGGTACTCGCATGACCGCGAGTGCTAAGACGCATGGTATTGTGATTTGTATTGGTATTGGTGTTAGTAGTGTGTATCGGCATAATGTGTCGCATCTGGGTGCTTACCCCGAGCGTGGTGTGGCGTCGCTCTCGATCTAACGCATATACTTATGCACCCACCATCCGACCGCTTTTGGGCAGTCTATAATTGCTTTCGCGTGGCTTGGGCGTGGGCGGGATTGCGACGGCTCCGTACCCAATTGACCTTCGAGATTTGCACCGTTCGACGCGATCCCGTCCGTTCGTGCACCTTCATCGAGATTGGGGAAGACAAGGAAGGGAATCTTCCTTCCACGTCCCTTCGAGAGCGTGGGTGGATCGTGTCGCGAAGGGAAAGCACTTCTACTTGTTGAGGCTACTGCTTCGAGATCGGCGTGGCGCTCGTCAGTTATATCGAGATTTGAGATAGTGAAGACTGGAAGACCTGGAAGACTGGAACTCGAAGACTGGAGGACGTGCTTGGCTAGATGGGGACAAGGATTTCCTTATCCAATACATGGTTTGGACACGGTGCCCTACGGTGCCGCGGTGCGGTCATGATGCATGATGGGCAGGGGTTGATCCGTTCATTATGGAGTATGAGCGGATTTTGGATGGGTCCGGATGGGCGTTCGGGAGCTTGGTGTATACGCATATGCGCATCTATTCGCCTTCGCCAGTGGTTTCCGGGGGTCCGAGATGCTAATGGCTGCAGACTGCGGTCAGGATATTGGTGCAGGCATACGCATATATTGACCTTTTTCGTTGGGGAAGTGGGCCACACTGACGGACGGCACGCCACCCCCTATTTTGTCTCGAATCCCTCCTTTGAATTTTATTTCTGTCTTCCTTTCTCTCCAAATGACAAATTTTGCTAACCTCCCTCCTCCTCCTCCCCAATAGCTCCCTCCTCTCCTCCTCCCTAACCTCCCAAGCCCGCTCCTCCGTCCTCTCCTTCTTCAACGCGCCCCCAGGCTCGACCGTCATATTCACCTCCAACGCCTCCACCGCACTCAAACTCGTCGGCGAATCCTTCCCGTTTACGAGCGGGAGCAGTTATGTCCTGCCGGAGGACGCGCATAATAGTGTGCATGGGATTAGGGAGTTCGCGAGGAGGAGGGGGGCGAGGGTGGGGTATGTGAGGGCGGGGCGGAGGGGAGGGGTTAGAGAGGAGGGGGTTAAGGTCAGTGTCGACTTCGTTTTCTTGATGATGATGCGTGGAAGAGCGATGATATTGACTGGACTGCTATCTTGCGTGCTTTGCTTAGGAAGTTCTCCTCGCACATCGACCGATCTCGACCTCTTCATCTGAGCCTTCACAACCCGCACAACCCGCACAACCACCACCACCCTCCCTCCTAGCCCTAACCGCCCTCTCCAACATCTCAAACTCTAAACTCTCGCCGGCGTCGCTCGCTCGGTTGGCAGACTATGCGCGCGAATTAGGGTATACGACTCTGTTGGACGCGGCTGCGTTGGCGCCGACGGGGAGTTTGGATCTGAGTGTCGTGAAGGTGGACGCTGTCGCTGTTAGTCCCTTTCCTCCCCCTCATACCATACACGACATCTGGCTTTTGCTTGACCTGCTTGACCTGCAACGACGATCTCACTCATGCGTCTTTTGCATGTAGATCTCATTCTACAAAATGTTCGGCTGGCCGACCGGCGTCGGCGCGCTCATCCTCCGTCCGGGCGTTGGCGAGTGGTTGAGGAAGAGTAGAGTTTGGTTCGCGGGGGGGACGGTGGGGGTTGTGCAGGTGCCGGGGGTGGTGAGGGGTTGGAGTGGGAGAGTTGAGGAGAGTTTTGAGGTGTGTTTATCTTCACCGTGACTGGTTTCTCTAACCGCCCTCCTGTGACTTTGGATTCTTCGCGTTGGCTGGGTGGGCACTAATGCGTCGCCATCTTTGTTATAGGATGGAACGATCAATTACCTCCTCCTTCCCTCAATCACGACAGGTCTTCGCTTTCTGTCCGCGTACATGCCGTTCTTACCTATACGCATGGCGGCGCTCACGCATTATCTCGCGACGGAGCTCGAGGGGGTGACTTATCCTAACTCGGAGTTCAAAGCGTGTAGGGTCCTGTCCAAGGTCCCGGGCGAGGAGACGGGGAAGAGGCCAAGGAAAGTGGGGGAGGTGGCGGATGCGGGAAGTGTGATTTCGTGTTTGTTTTATGATGTGAGTCGTTCCCTCTCATTGCCACCTCCATCCCTCTTCTACTGCCCAGTTCATCCATGAAAACTCTCATATTTTATTTGCGTGGCCGACAATTCGAATCACTCTACACAGTCCACCGGCACGCAGATCCCCAACTCCATCATATCCACGCTCGCTGCCACGGCACATATCTCCCTTCGTACGGGATGCATGTGTAACCCCGGTGGAGCCGCTGCGCTTCTCGAACTACAGCCGCTCATGGCGAGGTTACATACAATTCCGGGGATGCTCGATGCTGATGGAACGAATGAACGACGAGACAGCGACTGCACCAACAACAACACCAATGCATGTCACAATAGCACGACCTCGGAACGACCAGCCGACCACGGTGCGAAACCAGGATCGGAACCCTCGAAGATGGAAGAGCTGTTAGCCGAAGGAGGGGCGACGCTCGCGAAGTTGGAGGAAGAGGCGGGGAGAGAGCTGGGCGTGGTGAGGATCAGTCTTGGGTTGGGGAGCGATTGGAGCGATTGTTGGAGGATTTTGGAGTGGGTTAGGAGGGACGTTTTGGAGGTTGGGACTGGAAGCGGGCTCGGGAGAGGGAGGGGAGGGGACGAGAGTAGGGGGAGTTGGAGTGAGGGGAGTAGTAGGGATAGTGGAATTGAGGTCGAAAGGCGCGGGAAGTCAGATAGGGGGAGGAAGGTGACGGCGAAGGAGGTGAGGAGGGAGGTGAAGAAGGCGAGGAGTATGTATGTCGATTCGCAGGGGATATGGAAGGAGACTAGGGAGATACAGCAGGTGGGGAGGGCTTTGTGAGCGTCGCCGGTAGTGTTCTTCGAGGATGGGTAGACGTCAAGACGAAAACACACACACGCTGGTCGTTGCCCTGGACAATGTAACTTTCTCCTCGGATATCCGTCTCTCTCCGGGTCATATATACAGGTGTATGTATTCCTATCGCCTCAAATCGTCATCTGCTGTAGGATATTGTATCATCTCAGTCTCTTCCCCCCGCCCCCCCTTCTATCTGGATCTAGAGTCTCCGTTTCCGTTCTAGGACTATACTCAATCGTTCTGTACGTCGTCCACGTCTTTTTCGTACTGTAACTTCTAGCCTCCTCGATCTGTTCAATGTTGATGTACCTCTCAAGTTCTCCCTCCTCGGATCTCTGTTGTTGTTATTATACTTTCTTTCTCGTTTTGTTGTATTATTGTATTTTTTTTCAGGCTCAGCTGTTCGCCGTCATGTCTGGTATCAAGTCACGGTGTCCGGTATCTGGTGTACTGTACTTTTTCGACCGTAGGTTCGTGGGAAGATTACGTCAGACGTGACCTTCGCCAGACCACGGTTCGTTTGGTTGGGCCACGCGTGACGAACCAATGAAATTGTTCGCGGAAGGATCCAAAAATTTATTTTTGGGCGATTTTGGCGCAAATCGGTCACGATTTGCTGTTCGTGGGCCCGCGCATATGCGTGACCATCGGGGCAAATATGTTCGCCGGCGCACCCTGCGTGATGCGTGACGAACCTACGGTCGAAAAAGTACAGTATATACTCTGTACTGTTACGGTTACGGTCAGACTCTGGCCTGAACACTGTCCGTCTGACTACGGGACTCTTCGATGGGTGGACTCACTTCCAAGCTCGATCGAATCCTCTTCTTGGTGCTGCAATCTAGTCTTTGTGCTGCTATAACATTTAACTGAAGCATTGACCGGAAATTAAAGACACTCGAAGTGACGGCACAGTCGGTGCCACAGTGGCACCAACTAGGCTCCTACAAGTCTGCGCAGACAATGATCAGAGATGCACAACAAGAGGGCAGGAATCCACGTATTTTCCCGCTCTCCTAAAATAAGATACAGTAAGTACACGTCAACCTCCAAAACAAAAAAAGCAGTGAGTGGTCCTCGAGCTCGAGTCTCAAATGTCCCGCACATTGAAACTCCGGCCTGTAGTGGCCACGGACCAAACCAAGAAAAACCTATCCCATCCTCATTGAATGTTCCATTCAACCAAGCACCCTCCTCCTCCTCATGTCTTCATTCTCCCTCCTCCCCTATTCTTCATCCTCCCCCTCCTCCCCCTCCTCCTCATCATCATCCCCCTCATCCTCCGAAACCTCCATGCCCTTCTCTCTCATCCTTTCTTTATCCCTCGCTCGCTTCGTGCTCAGCTCATCAAGCAGCACTAAGAGATCCTCTTGCTCCTTCTCTGCCTCTTTTGACTTTTCGCGCTCGGAGGTGAGTTCGGCTTGGAGCGCGGCGAGTTGGGTTTGGAGCGCGGTGCGTTCCTATAAGGTCCAAGCATGGATTCGGGAGGAGCAGTCAATTAGTTGTCGAGGCTTTAACGGAGGGATGGTAGCAATGGGACGTTGACAAGAGGGGAATGGGTGATCAAAAACGCACCTCATCAAACCTCTGACCCTGACTCGCCCCACTCGCAGCAACCTCTTCCTTCGCGCTCTCCAACGCCCCAGAAAGCTCGCGCAGCTGCGAATGGAGCGCTTGGATCTCGGCGGTCTGTTTGTTGATGATGTCGCGAAGGGAAGCGACCAGGACGCTTTCTTCGCCGCTTTGGGCTAACGTATGGATCAAAAAAGATGTTTAGGATGGAGAATATTCAGGGGTATAGGAAGTAGGAAGAAAGGGACTTACCGGCGATGGTGGGCGGCGCCGCTGGATCGGCCACCAGACCCCTCTGCACCGTATCTACCAAGGCAAACCAAAAAAAAACATCAGCGTCCCTCCAATCCACCGCTCTCTCTCTCACAAAAAAAAAAGAAGGAAAAAACTCACAGCAATTACTCTTCCAAAAATCCACAAACGCCCAATCGAACCACACCTCTCCCTCGCCCTCATACATCGGCGTATATCCCGGATCGAGGCTCCTTGGCGTCGGACAGGGCAGGACCCAAGAGTCGGGCGAGACGGATTTGATGCGTTCGTCGTCGCGGAGGCGGGTGGTTAGTGAGACGAGGTTGTCGACGCCGAGGCGGGAGAGGAGGGGGGACATTGATTCGCTGTGGGGGGTGGGGGTCGGCGGGGTGGGTTAGTCGGGTTATGCGGGATGAGTTATGTAGAGAGGAGGGAGGAGGGTAAGAGACGCACCGAGTAATCTCGCCCGGTTCGCGGTTGAACTCGTAACAGATCCCGAGTACGAAAGCGCAAAGGCCGGGAATAACGACGTCCGATTCCGAAGGCGGCTGGTTCAGCTGTTCAACGAGCTACATCCAGCACACAAAAAAACTATTAGCGAACAGAGCTGAGATCAAAGAAGAGGGGGAAGAAGGGAGGGAGGAAAAGTGATGGATGTGGACGGAGATGGAGAAGGATGGACGGCACAGCACTCAACGGCCAATCAACGAAACGACGGAACAAGCTCAGGAAGAAAAACAACGACTTACCAAACTCAACCCCCCACCCTCCAAAAACTCCCTAACCGCCTTCGGCTCCTCCCAAAGCCACTGCCCCAACAACCCCAAACTCGCCACGATCACCCTATCCCACTCCCTCTGCTCCCTGCCGCTCATCCCACTCTGTATCGGCGCTGGCTCGGTATCACCGCTCTTATTCGAGCCCTGAGCGCGTCCTCTGGAGAGGAAAGCTAAAGAGAGATGTTCGGTGAGGAGCTGTAAGAGCGTTGGGGCTTCGTCTTCGTCTTCTTCTTCTTCTTGTGCCTGTTTCTGGTCTGATTGGGGTACAGGCGGGGGCGCACCATCCGCCGGTACGAAGAAGTTGCCCCCCGCTCCTCCTGCTCCTCCTAATCCTCCACCGATAGAGTCAGGACCGTCTGTGTTCAAGGGAGGAGGAACGATCCCCCGCGCGAGGGCTTTACATTGTGGTGCGTGTCGAATAAGATGAGCGAAGAGGATGGTGGCGAATTGGAAAGATGTCACATTCGAGCGGTCGAGCGTTTGTGTCTGTGTGTGCGCGCCGTCACCGTACATGTTGTGGGAGGAGGAGGAGGCGGAGGAGGGTGAGGAAGAGGAGAGTGGGAGGATGAGGCCGTAGAGGAGGGGGGTTAGTGGGGATCTTGGCTTGGAATTCGGGGCGGAGGAGGAAGGAGGGGAAGAGGAGGGTGGGGGAAGCATGCCGGAGACGATGGCTTCGCGGATGTTATCTTCGCGGAGGAAGTTCTGTTGGGGCGGTGAGGGTGATATGGACAGGGACAGGGAGGAAGCACACCACGGACATGACCACAACCACGGCCACAACCACAACGCAAATCATGCTATCAGCCCTCCAGACCACCAATCCGAAAGAAAGAATCATAACGACCGCCACTCACCTCAAAAACCCCAACCGCCCCCGCCCTCAACTCCAACCCCTCCTTCCTCCTCCCCTCCCCATCCCTCCCACCATCTCTTCCGCCCACTCCCGCAGACACGCCGTTATACTCCCCATGCACCACCAAATCCAACAACGCATCGATCCCCGTCGCAGGCTCCAATCTGTCCCATTCTTCGCCTGCGGTGTCCGGGACGGGGGTGTAGGGCGTGAGGAGGAGGGAGGGGAGGAGGGAGGAGGAGGAGGGGGGGAGGAGGGAGAGGGACTTTTTTTATTGCAGAGGGGCAAGGGGGGAGGGGTTAGCGTGTGAGTTGGGGATGGGGATAGAGATTTAGGAAGAGGAGGGAGGAAGGAATGTGATGAGTGATAGAGGGAGAAGGGGAGGAAAGCGACGGGAGAGGTGAATGGTTGCGGAGCAATGGAAATGATAAATAGAATGTCATGAATGGAAAGAGACGGTACCTGGACTTTAAGCCTCGTCGGCGCGTTCGAAGCGAGTGCCATCTCGATGAGCATCCGCGTGAACGCTTGGCTTTCTTTCAACTATTATCCTCCAACCAAAAATCAGAATCAAAAGCGGTAAAAAACGGTGAATCAGCAACACATCCCATTCCTGTCCCCATCCCATCCCCTCCCCTCCCATCCCCACCCCACGCCACACACTCGACAAATACAGAACGAACAGAAGAAGGAAGGGTAACAGAACAGGGAATAAAAAAAACGCGCAACTCACCCCACTCCCCTTCGCCCCCAACACCATCCCCACAACCCCCAACACCCTCCCGACCGCCTCCTCCTTCTGCGCCGTCCAAAACTGCAGCGCGAATTCCTGCGGAACTTGTTCGCCCGCGTCGAGGTCCAGGTTTAGATTCGGATCGAAGAATAGGAGGCGACAGAGAAGGGAGGGGAGGCTTGATTCGCGGAAATAGGCCTGTTTTCGTTGCGTGGTCAGTAGGGCAGGTGGGAAGGGAGGGGGGAGGGGAAGTGAAAAGGGGGTATGAAGGGAGGGGGGAAAGAAGGGAAAGGGGAAGAAGGGAGAGAGGAGGACGTACGAGATTACTCCCATTAAACCGCAACAACCCATCCACGACGCCCAACACCTCACAAACCACCGGACCGCCATCGAGCCCGCCTTCAGAGGTGATGATGGTGAAGAGATGCTCGAAGATGCCGTTGAACGCGAGTAGCTTTTGGATCTCGGGGGAGGAGTGGATGAGGGCTTGGAGGAGGGGGAGGGATTCTGTGGAGATGCATATAACGTCAGTTTGATTAGGGGAGGAGGAGGAGGAGGAGGAAGCCGGATTTGGGGATGTAGGAACGAAGGAGGTAGGAAGGGTCACGTGACGTCATCCCCGTTCATAGTTCCGTGGCCCCTATCCTCCTCTCGCCACGTAGAGAAGAGAAGAAAGAACTAACCACTCCTCAACATCTCCCTCCTATCCTCCAACAACCCCACGACCGTCCCCGGCCCACACGGCGCCTTCAAAAAATACCCCTGCGTCGGTCCCGGGCGCGCACGGAGGAGCGTACACAGAAGGACGCAGGCGGAGAAACGGGTGTAAAATGCTGGATCGCCGAGGAGCTCGAAGAGTTTATACGTTGGATTAGGGGTGGACAAGACGATATCGATATTACGCTGTGCGAGGTCGCGGGATTCCCAATTCGTTGTCTCCCTCGAGTTCGCATTTGGATTTGAAGGAGGGTCAGAAGCACCGGTAACATCACAAAGAATATACAAAGTCTCCAACACCGCCCTTCCCGTATCCGGATCCACCGCCGCATCATTCTGCAATACCTCGAGTAACCCAGGTAATGCGTAAGATGAGATAGCGGGCCGGTGGGTGAGGGAGCGAGAGAGGTTTTTGAGGGAGAGGACGGAGGCGCGACGGTCGGCGAGGAGGGTGGAGGGAGAGAGACGGTCGGCTAGTTTGGTTATTGTTTCGGAGGCGGTTTGCGGGGCGCCTTGCGGGCCGCGGAGGGCGGTGTAGGTTTGGGAGAGGAATTCCATCGCGAGTGACGAGGAGGAGGAGGGTGAGCGCGACGGGAAAGGCGAAGGGAGGGAGACGAGGGGAACGACGTGGAGGTGTGCTTCGGCAATGGCCTGGGTGGCACTTTTGGGCCACATTGCTTTCATTCTTTACGCTTCAGCGCCAGCTCCAGTAGGGCATATTTGTAGTGACGTGAATTCAGGCATCCGAGTTCTGACGGGAGCTCCAAATGCTACAAATATGGCCTAGTACACAATTGTACATGACATTCCAAGAGCGCATGCAGCCATTAGGGGATACTTGTAGCGACTTAACCCGCCGTATGCCATTTAAACCTTCGTATGCCCTGTATCCCGGTGCTGTCGCTGTCAGAAATAGTATACATACATAGCTTGAATATCCTTCACCTTTTGCATGGACGCACCGGTGCTGTGGTATGGCGCGCCTAAATATAGCACTGCCACATCCTCCGTCCGAGGTTTACTTAACCGCGTTACTTACCGAACCATCAACCATCTCTAAACGCTGCGGACGACGACGAAGACGCTGGACACGCTCGTCATTCTTACTTTTATCTTCTTAATTCATTCATTCTGACCGACGCCCGAGGATATTCGTTCTGCGTTGGTGCGGTAGTAGTAGTACGTTCGCTCGAGCTCCGCGTTTCAGACTCCATTGACACGTCGCGTCCTCCATAACCCAGACATCTACTCACTACTCACTCCCTGCTCTAACCTCACCACATCCACTACGATGACCCACGCCCGCTATCCCCCATACACCTCCCACTCCTCATCCTCCGCCCCACCCTCTTCCTCAACCTACACCCGCCGCGCCCTCACACGCACACCCTCCCCGCCCGCCTCAGCCTACTTCGCTCGCGAACTCGGTGATCTCGATTCTTCCGCTTCTGGTGCTGCAGGAGGACTCGGGGGAGGACTCGGGGGAGGACTAGGGGGAGGGGAGAGGGAGAGGGAACCACAACCGCTCAATACAGACGCGAGGGAGCATTTCGCGTATAGTACGACTCTGAGACGACATCATCCTGACTCCCACATTGGCATGGGCATCACACCGGGTATGGGGCTAGCATCATTCGATGGATTGAGAGATGCGGCGAACGAAGAGGGTTTAAGAGGTGTTTGGGGAAGAGTCGTGAGAGGGGTGAGGGGTTTGGTGCCGGGTGGGGAGGAGGAGAGGGGGGCGTATAGTGTGTTGCCGAGGGAGGAGCGGGAGAGGGAGGAGCGGAGGGAGGATAGGGAGGGGCAGAGAGAGGGTCAGGCAAGGAGGAAGGAGACGCCGTCGGCGGTGTTTGCGGGGAGGTCTGTCGAGGTATGTCCTTATTTTCTTTGTTTTGTGTTTCTGATTTTATTCGTTTGGCGGTTTTTCTTTGGTTATGCTGTGGGCGGTTTGGGTCCTCTATACCCTTCCAGAGCCGTCTTTCTGCTCTGTCGTTTCTTGCACACCGTGCATCGTCAGCGCACCCTTCACGGCTCGTTCGGGATTCAACCAAAGCAGAACAGCATCTCGTACATAGGCTGTGCGATCACAGACTCTTCGTACGATCAACCGAGGTCCGACTGAGTTCGTATATAAAACATAAAACATCATTCTCCGCCGCGTCGTGTCATGTCGTGGAAGGACGGTTTCATCCCGTTTTCGTGTTCCCGTTTACGCGTTCGCGGGTGCCCGCGTTCTAGTGTTTCAGGATGCTCGAAAGTCTGGAAGTCTCGAAAGTCTCGAAGTCTCGAAGTCCTGTTTGCCGATGACGTTGTTTCGTGTTTCGTGTTTCGCGTTTCGTGGCGTCATACTTTGGCGGAGGGAGCATGCCATTATAATTTGGCGGAGGGAGCATGTCATACTTTGGTGGACAGAGCACGGTGCATATGATGGCGCCCACTTATACTGCCGTTGCTCGTTGCTCTTTGTCCAGAGTGCGTTGATGAGAGGGCCGACGCACACACGCAGAGTTTTGCTAGCTCTGGCGCTTCTTGTAATAGAACAGAGATAACAGATGACAGAGGTCCATACGTCTCTGTTAGTGTTGCACCAGAGCGGGCTCTGGCTGTCTAAGTGGTGTCAGAGAAAGAACTCGACTTTGAATGTTTCTGAACGGCCTGCATCCCCCTCCAATCCCTCTTCCCATATCCTCGCTCAAAATCTAACTCCCTCTCCTCCTCCCCTCCCCC